AGCAGGATGAACAAATCCGCCGCGGCGATGGAGAGCACGCCGATCACCGTGAGCCCGCAGGCGGCGGTAGCCTCTGTCCGAGTGAGACGTGGGGGAGGCTCCAACTGGTTACACAGGAGGAAATACCAATATCTAGAATCGAGTGAACCGAACCAACATCAATATCGGCATATACCCATGTATATAGTATATTTACACATGGCTACATATAATATAATATATATATATATATATGGATAAGAGAGCAGTTCAAACCGTTTTGTTAAAGTCTAGGTCGCAAGGAACTCTTGCGCCCAGGTGCTTATGCGAGCAAAGCACAACAGCAATCCTCCATCCTTACTCAACACACTTGTGCGACAGGCCCTCCTGCTCCAATAAGTGAAATTTGTATGTAGCAACTCCTGGTCTCCGAATCACTCTTCACTCCAAGGAAGGCAAAGCATGAAGCAAGTGGCCGGCTTTGGGGGTTGGAAGATGGGCTGACCAACCAGTGATTGCCAACTCCGCCCACTGAGCGGCCGACACCCAGACAGGTTGTTGGATCCGCCTGCAGCATGCCAGGTGCGCCATGTGGTTGTGGCAACAAGGGGCCACAGGTTTTAGTCGTTGCGTCCATGTACCAGGGTTCCGTGGGAACCTATTTGGGAACCTATTTTGACCGCACAGCCAAATAGGGGGAGGCTTTTCCATGCTTTGAGTCCGTCGCGGTGCCATGGGGACTGATGGGGACCGATGGGGTGTTTCGAACCCTGGGCGTGAGCCTGTTGGACCCTCAGGCAAATGCTCGCCTGGCACCGCATTTTGCCAGGCTCAAGATGACGCAAGCAAAACTCAGTTCCTTCCGGCTCATTACACTCGCCTCCAGTGGGGTCGGGCTGAAGATTGTGCCCTCGATCAGCTTGGCAGCGACTGGCTGCGTCTCATTGCCTTCCGAGCCCGCGAGGGCAAGCGACGGCGGCAGTTCATCAAGCGATGCCGCAGTTTTTGAACTGAATTCTGAGAAGGCTCCCTTGGATCCCTCAATATTGCAGGTTGAGTATACTGCAGAGATACCGTACTTTTGTGGTGCCGCATGGCAATGTTGTCATTGCTTCTCAGCTTGCGGCAAACATTCACTCCACGGAGGCGAGCAGCCGGGTTTGGAACATGCTGCCAGGCTTTTGGGTTGCGCACAAAATGATTGGGAAGGTTGCCATAAGCCGTGCAACCAAACGTAACAGGGGCAAAGCAGGTCACCCAAAGAGAACATCGTTAAACCGCATTGCCTCGTCTGCCGGTACTGTTGTGCCCATGTTCACCCACAACTGTACCTCCATAAATCAGTACTCAGAAAACATGACAGGCATGGAACACGTGTTCCATACTTTCTACACAGCTGCTGCCAAATCTGGTCTAGCTGCTGCCAAATGTGGTGGTCTAACAGCATAGAGTGACCACCGGAATCCAGGTTTCACCTGGACAATCCGTCAGTTCAGAATTGCTCCCACCCTCCCGCAGTCACCGCTGCCCGCAGAAAAACAAGTCGCCTTCAAAGCTGCAGAAGTCCATCCAGTAGAACCCAGGCACCTGGAGGCGATTCGCATGGATCAAGCCTGGTGGACCAAATTCATCGATTCCAGGAGACATTAGAAGGTTTCATGTGAACTCACTTAGGACGGAAAAAAAGCTGAGCTATAGATTCATTTCCCAGGATTTCCGGTTGCCCAGTTCTAGCTGCCCCGAACCTCGCGGCAAAGAAGGCAGCAATTCACGAGTCACGGGCCTTGCTTCCGCTTCCCGCTTCCGGCCTTCTCGATCTTCCCGGTCCATTCCGGCTTTTCAAAGTCGAAGAAGAAGAGCGTGGCAGTCCTGGGCCCACATTGCCATCTCAGCTCGCGCGCTTCAGAACTTCACTGCCCCCGCCACTTCTTTCGCGACACCTCTTGGCCGTGAGAGTGAGCGGGGCAAGGAAACGTCAGGATGGATCTGGTGGACCGGATTGAGCAAAGAACCCTCCGACACCCACTTCGCGTGCTGTGCACGTCCGGATGAATCTGAAAACAAAAACTGGAATCCACCGGATCCAGAGAACTCCCCCACGCGCCGCGTGCTGCGTGTGTAACTTGACGCCGTCGCCAGCGCCAACAAAAACCTCCGGATCCCTCCCATGGCCAAGCGTCACAGCTGGCGAGGGCCTGCCGGGCAGGGGCTTCCAATGGAGGAGCTCCTGTCGGACCCGCCCAGCACCCAAGCGCCTGAACCCGTAGAATGTATATCTTGTTTGCTTCACTCTGGGTCACTGGTAAAACGTTGATATGTATTCAAAGTCTACCCCGGCCTTCCAGCTTGGGCCCATTTTTGGGTGAACCGGATGCGCTTTTCCCAAAGCTGCACATAGTTTGGGGCTGCGGCTTGCAATGACTCGAGCTGGCCACTTACCCAAAAAAGGTCATAAGGTCGCACGTGTGCAGCTCTGCTGCGCTGCGCATTTCGTGCGTTGTACCATGCCTCCAGGACTCCAAGTGGGGCTGAGGCGTGGCAAGTGGCCTGTGCCCGTGCCCTCTCCCACGCCCCCTCCTCCGAGGGCACATCCACCCAAACGGGCACAAAGAGCAGCGGAACAGCACAGCCCTCAGCTTGCCCCAAGCCCACGGTCCACGGTCTCGGATCCTTTGGGAATTCCATAGCTAGCACAGCCAAACCAACCAGGGATCCGGATCCGGATGCATACACCTGAACATTGCGACTTGTAAATGGTGGTTTCCAACTTTATTTTGGTGTTGAAGAAGCCGACATGTTTCAAGTGGTTGCAAAATGTATCTAAGGAGCCCTGCCAACAAGTACTGGTGTCCAACCACGCAAACAAGTACTTGGACCTTCCATTGCTCCATAAACCGGCGTCACGAAAAAGCACCACGCTCAGGCCATCTATTTGTCGAGATGTTTCTGGTAGTTTGCCATGGTTGCCTTGCTTTTTTCCATCAGCTCGCCGTCTCTCGCTCCAAAAAAAGCGGGGTCAACCCTTGTTCTAGATGTTTCCGGCTCGCCGCTGCTCCCTTCCATCCATCCCGCCTTCCGGACCCAGTGGGGTGTCTCTCTCTCTGCCGTTGCGTCCAGAGGGTCTTGACTCAGCAAGGCAACAAAAAAGCTGCCCAGTGTTCAGGGGCGCCGACAACATACTAAGACAGCCCGGGCAGACTTCTCGAAACATGGGGTCGCGGGTCGCGGGTCGCAGATTCTTGGAGCGAAGCGGCCACGGAGCCGAGGATCAGCAGGCCACCCAAGAGACCCCCGCAGCGGATCCTGAGCGGCGGCAGTTGGGGCGGGGGGCGGCAATCGGTGCAAGCGGGGCTTGTGAGGCTTGAGGAAGCCGAGAGGCGTGACGGTTTCAGCAATATATATATATATATATGTTTTCACATCCATTGGATAAATGATTAAGGAAAAAAACACAATCCATTTGTTTCACACCAATAAGACCACTGGTGTTGCACGGGGCGTGTTTCTTTGTTCACAGGAAGAGGTCTTGAAGTTGTATCGCGAATTCCTCGCTGTGTCCGCGCCTGGAAGAGTCGAAGCCCTGCTTGATCCCGGGGTCCACATACTCCAGTGGCAGCTCCATGTCATGGTGCCCAGGGCTTGGCCGACGGCACCATGGAGACAAACTGAAGGCAGCTGAGTTGCTGAGTTGCTGAGTTGCTGAGTTGGCTGGCTGGCTTGCATGAAACCTGTTTGCTGGAGTCAAGCAACAACTGCAGGAATGATACAGCTCAACACAGCTCATTCATTTCTGGGTGAAGGGCTTCTGACCACCCGCCCGCAAGCGGGCCCCATTTCTGGCTGCCTTGAGCTGTGCGGCGTATGCACGGATCTTATCCGGGGTCGGCAAAGGTAAACCACAGCCTTGACCACACGCAACATGCGAAGGACGAGCACCGGAAAAAAGGAAGAAACTGGTTCACAAGATCCCCTCAAACAGCTGGTCATCTTTCTCAAGTTGGCCCACCATCAAGGAAATCTGAAATGCACATCTGAATTGAACTCTTCTGGTGCTGCCACCCGATTTTCAAAAACCGAACCTAAATGTAACATCACCGGGCTTTCAAATTAATTGCACTTGTCCTGCTCCTTGCCGCTGAGGAAACTTACCCGATTGCTCACAGAATATAGGTCTTGTTCTTTGCTCGTGTTCGTTTCCAAATCGATGCTTATCTTAAAATCCCCGAGGAAACACAGTAGAGTTGTCTTTCCAAAAAAAAGAGATTCCAATAAGGAAGAAACAGCTCCAACTCGTATTCGAAGCTAGAAGATGAGCGGAATTCCCTTCCCGTTAAACATTTCATTAGGAGTTCATTGAATTATATAAGACAGAGTTTGTCCAAATCCACTTAGACATTGTAATTGAAATGTATTATAAGACATCAAACATATTTTCTTGCCAAAGAGAACTTCAAAGCTCAAAATAGAAATTCAACATCATCTAATAGGGAAAGGCTTCACAAGAGTATGGCACATGGCTTGCTGAGACACCTGCGAGCAGAAGCTGATTCACACGTGGGGTAGCACGGCCAAACAACAAAAACAAAAACGCAACTCGGCCAATGCAAACATGTACAAGGCAAAATGCTGGTCCAATGCGCAAATGAGATGCACATCCGATTCGAGACAACAAGCTCGCATGGCAAAAAACACAGGCTCCCATGGGAATTCACTCCAAAAGAAAGGCTCCAAGGGCGTCGGCTCCAAAACAACTTCACTTCGCACGCCGAAGTGACCCCTGGCGTTGGCTGCGAGTAGCGCAACCAGTGTTGGGAGAGCAAGCGGTTGAAAGGGGCGCTGATGGGACATGTGTCAGAACTGCCCTTGTCTGAGGAAAACTCAAAGGGGGATATACAGTACCAGACTTTACTTTTAGCCATCCGCTTTCCCCGCAACAAAGCGCTCGGCGTGCGACCTTGAGATCTGAAATCCAAGCCCTGACCCTGCCGATTCCCCCGAGCCCTCAAGTGCGACAGCGACGCACGTCCGGAAGTCCCTGGAGTGATCGCCGCAGCCTGGGAGGAGCTGATCAACTCAGACCAACGCGAAACATCTCCGCACGTCAAAGGAAACTCATGGAAACTCGGTTGCGAAATCTGCTCCCCATGCTAAAAGTGAGCATCTTTTAGTCGTTTAATTCGGAAAACCCATTCGTTGGCAACAAGTGAAAGTCCTAACATCCCCTGGCAAAATGCACGTCAAAGGCAAGGCACCCGGTAGACATAGAATCCCTTTCCAAGGCGCAGGAACGCTCCGTGGTATGCCTACGCAAACCTCTTTTTTTTGGGGGTGTCGTTTTCCACAGAGCCATCAGTGGTGAAAATGGGTATTGCTCTTGTTGTTAGGGTTGCTAGGGTTTTGGGTTCGGATTTCCCCGCTCGAAAATGGGAGCCGTAGTGGTGAAAATGGCACCTGCACTCGAAGCGACCGATGATTCTCCCGCTGGCGCGTCTGGCGCAGAGACTCCATTTTGGGGCCCGGCAGAGCTAACTCTTGCTGCAGGGCGCGAATCTCCTTGTGCTTCTCCATCAACCTGGGAGATCCCAAAAAGAAGCGTCCTGAAACATGGACGCCCACGGAACGTTCTCTCCTAGAACCCTTCGTTCAGACATTCGGGCGAATGTTCGTGGATGGGGAAGTATATCTTCCAAAACGCTGGGGATGCTTCCTTGCTACAACGCCACACAGCTGCGCTTTTGCCCCAGGTAGCTGAAAGCTATAGGGGTTCTAACTTCTGATAAGGAAGGGAAAGTGATTTGCGAGATTGACGGCTGGGTGCTAGGGGGCGTGCAGTTTGGGTTGCTGGCAGGTGCTGGTTGGGTTTGATCTGGGCACAGTAGGGTCCAAAGGGCATGCAGTCTGGGGTGCTGGCGCAGGTGCTGGTTTCGGGCGCTGTTTGGGGTGGGGGGGGCTGATGACAGGCGCGGGTGCTTTTTTGCGAGATTGATAGTGGACGGCAGGGTGAAATGTGTTGTTTCGCTATCTGGGGTCTATGCCAGCACCCTCCGACTACTGCCCAGGGGCAGTAGATAGAATTCTCCGAAAAAGACCGTAGCTAGAAAAACTACTGTTAACTATTCTAACTACTGCAATCTACTGCTTACAACAGGGAGATGCCATAGCAGGGGTGGTAGCAATGAAGGGCTGGCAGCAAGTGCAGTAAGCGCCTCACAGCGTGTCACCCCGTGTCACTTGCGTGTCACCCCGTGTCACCTGCATGCCACCCCGTGTCAACGGCGTGTCACCCCGTGTCAGCCCGTGTCACCTGCGTGTCGCCCCCGTGTCAGTATGCTAGAACAACAGTAGGTCGCTGTTAACAGCAGTAGTTTGAAGTTTGAGCGTGTCACCCCGTGTCGCCTGCGTCACCCCGTGTCGCTCCCGTGTCGCCTTGTGTCACCTGTGTGTCAAACCGTGTCACCCCGTGTCGCCTGCGTGTCACCCCGTGTTGCCTGCGTGTCACCCCGTGTCACCTGCGCTTCACTGCGTGTCCCTTGCGTGTCACCCCCGTGGGCTTGGGAAGCTGTGTTTACTGATTGGGAAAGAACGTGAAAGGACCGTAGATCGGGGATCTACTGTCTTTTATTTTATATGCGGAACTACTGCGAAATAGACGGTAGTTACGAAACTAAAATGACAGCAGTATTCGGAGGGTGCTGGTGCTGGTGTGATTTTTTTCTTGGGGAGGGGGCACTTGGGATGTTTCCTAATTGGCCCACGCACGGGTATCCTTAAGCAGCCCCAAAGGGTCCAACGCTCCAATCCAGGCTAGAACATTGAGAACACGAGCCACCAATTCAGTTGCCCAAAGGACCTGGAAACAAAAGGTTAACCTTTCGGGGCCATGACTAGAAATGGACGAAAACGGGAAAACCACAAGGTCAAAAGGTCGGCTTTGGGCAGCTAAGAAAACGTGTATGGATCCAAGGGCCCGGCTCTTCTCTCAAGATTTCCAGCTCCTCGCTGCAGCCGTCGAACCTCCGGTTTCCGAGACGCCGAAGCTGATGTCGCGGTGGCTGACACTTGTGCCAGGCCCTCTCAAAGCCGCAAGTCTTCGATCGAAGCACAAAAATGGAAAGACGTGCCAAGTGAAGCGGCACGCAGCCCTGCGATGAGTACACCTTCTGCTCAGACATGACCAAAAAGGGACACACAGCTCTGGAAGCCATCCACTCAGACTCTCCGTTTCTTCGCGCCTTTCGCCCCGCGAAGAACAAATCAGAAAGCCTTTCCCTCCCCAAGCTTTCGGGCGCCCTGCTCAATGCTATCCTCCTGGCCAGGGATAGGGCGCGCGCCAGTTGAAGTCAGCACAAAAGCCGCTGGGCTGCACAAAAAAGCGACTGCACCATCCTAATGGAGGTCTAGACGGCTTCCGCCTCGTTGCCAAATTCCCGCTATTGGGAGGGAGCCTGTCGCCATCAAGGCTAAGGAGTGGGGCATGGCCACGTCGGACTTCTTTTGCGCTGTCGGGTCACACCAGGCTCTGGGAATAGTCCCATGGCCCACCCCAAATTGGCCCCCACTCGGATTGTGGCTGCGCCCATGGAAAAAAATGCAGGCTGGTGTGCCACACCTTACCAGAGAAGAGCCGCTGAGTGGCCGCCCAGCGCCCCGCGTTCTCTATGCCCGTGAGGCTTCCCCCGCTGCCACGGCCGCCCTTTTTCCGGATCTGGGACCTTCGAGCTTCCACTGTCGTCCGTTCACGCGGAAGGGATCCGATTTGGAGCCTGACTTGGGGCAAGCCAAAAAAGCAAAGCCGTGAGTTCCTGCTTCATCGGTGGTCCGGTGGATTTTTTCTGCAAAAGCAAACAAAGGTTCACATCTCAGCTGTCTTCAGACCCCTTGCTTGACTTTTAGTGGGTTACGCTAAAAGTCAAAGACCTTTACCGGGATAAATGAACCCCCCCCCCAAACCCAAGAAAACATGAAAAAAAACAAAGGAATCGTGCGGCAGGGAACCGAGACCTGACGTTCTCACGGAGGAAGTTGCACTGACCTCCAAGCGCCCCCCCCCCCCCAAACAGGCAAACCCACCGCCTTTCTGGAACCCAAAGCCTGGCTGCCGCAAAAAGCTTCGGGCCGGCCGCCCGCTCTGGGCGGCCAACGGGTGTTCCTCAATAGCACTTCGTTCGCCACCTCCTTCGTTTTGGGGGCAGTACTTCGCTGGTCTTGACCCAAGTCTCGCTCTCAAGCAGGGCTGTGGGAAATGACCACTTCTGTGATACAACAAAAAGGGCTTCCCAAAGACTAACTCCCCATTAAAAGGGGGAGATTCCCTTGTATCACAGAAGTGGGGAGAAACCCCTTGATCCCACAACCCTGCTCTCAAGTGTCACTTGTTGCCAGCCCTTTGAGTTCGAACCCCGCATAGACGGCGCATACTCGGTCTATGCCGATCCACCGCAACTCGGGAAACCAATCCAGGCATGACCGAAAAATCACCCAGCCGAAGTTAGGGGATGCCTACGGGAACAACAAATCTGTAAGGTCCACAGGCCCATCTGCGAATTGACGCGTGATACGCCCATCCCCGTGCAATCTGATGGCAGACGTTGCGGCATGCGCTGCTTTGGCGCTTCCTTTCTTCGGCTCGCGAAGAGAGGGGGCCTGAAAGCCTGACCAATCCAAACAACATGCAAATGGCGAGGTCAATGCTTGGTTGACGTTAAAAGGAAAGCACAAAATGTATTTTAGCAGTTAAGTTGGGATTTCCCACTAAACCACAATATGCAAAAATGTAAAATGTTTCCCAACAACAACCATGAAATGGCGAGGTCAATGCCACCAACATTCGCCTCTGTATTGCCCGCTGCTGCATCAGCTGCAGCCCCTCACCAAACATTGCAACTTCCTGTTCAAGGGATGAGAGCAGGGGCCTGCGTTCCATGTTTGGTGCAAGCAACCCAACACAGCCCCTAAAATCCCAAGAGGCAATAGGCAATCAGCAACCGCTCAAAAGGCGAAACAACAAATGGGTGTGGGTCAACATTCTGGCGTGGAACGTTCCGCGGTGACGCGGAACGAGTCAGTTACGTGAGGTTGGTTGTTCCGGACCTCTGGGAAGACATGTGTGGAGTCCTCAAGCACACGTTCATTTGGTGTAAGATGGGATGGGCGTCAATGGGACACCGGTGCACCGTAGTCAAGCCAATGCACAAGGCTGGGAGGCATAAGCCGATGTCCACCGATGCACAAGCCGATGTACATGTCCAGGGCATCCTTCACAGACTTCTTTGGCGTCTCCAAAGCTCTGGCATAAGTCGTCCTTGAAGGCTTCTTGGGCGCTTCTTGGGCGACATGGTGGGCTGCGTAAGAAGCGCAGCTACTTACATGGGGCATGTGTGTGCGTGTGTGGACTTGGAGGCAAATTGCTCCACTGCGTCTGGAACACGTCTGGAACGGGTCTGGAACGGGGTCTCGAACGGTTAGCAAGCAGCATGTAAACATGGCGTTACCGTATCATATCGCACAGATAGCGGCGGAATCGTATCGCGCCGAACCGAAGCAAAGTTCCGGAACACCGATACTCCTTTCTTCATTTCTATCTCCTTCCCTTGCTCCTTGTTTCTTGCTCCTTTGCTCCTTCACAAAAAAGAATGCCCTGGCTGGCTTGGAAGAAGACGGGGTTGACCCTTCACATTGACAGGCCGTTCCAAAAACACATCTGTCAACAGGACCGCTGCCCAATTCCATCCAAGTCCCAATGATTACAAGCCACGCAGCCCTACCAAACCACCTGACCATCTGAATCAATACTCTAAACTAGACATAAATATACATAAGCAAGGTCTGGAACGGAAGGTCTGGAACATGGTTCTATGCAAGGTCTGGAACGGAGGTCTGGAACGGAGGTCTGGATCGCGTGTGGGTTCCGGACCCTGTTCCGGAGTTTATAAATTGACTCGCAGCCAAATGAGTCATAATCCAATCTAATACAAACATGAATTAAGAAGGCGGATATCCGCAGCTATTCATGGCTGGTATTCTCCCTACTACCCTCCAATTACCCGGGTTTTGATTGTGGCTCAAACGAAGACCCCTGCTCGGGCCAGACCTTTCGCCGCCCCTGCCCAAGGCAAGTCGCAGCCCTCACTAACCTGCGCGAGGATGTGTCCCACAAACCACCCTTTTTGGGGCAAAGGAAGCGGGGATGGGATACGGGAACATTGGGATGTAAGGGGGAGGACCCAATCTGGCACCTCAAGTCTTGAGTGACTCCTGTTCGGCAGCCCGATTGACACAGCCCAAGTCGTCAATGAATCAGGGTTCATCACTTTTTGACCGCCAGACATTGCACCATGCACAGATGGCCACAACCGGCCACACCTGCCACACCTGCCACACCTGCCCTTCCAGGTTGGCAAGCCCTGCGGTTCTCGTGGATAACGCCCAATGCAAGTGCCCTGCCTATGCCCATGTACTGAGGCCTCAGCACGTGGCGAATTCCGGTGCACGCCGATTGCAAGGCACCACGAAAAGCAACACTGCCAAAGAAAACCACGCCTGACACCGCATGCTGATCTTACAAATAAACTGGGGTGTATTTAACAATGTCAAAAAGTCATTTGCGTTATTTGTGTGTTTATCGATGTTTATTTGCCGCTGGCAATTTCGAGAGTACCTGGCTCGGCAAGGCTTGTCACCAAACAACTTAATTCATTCAAGGCTTACCATTTACCTTTTATGGATTGAACTTTGTTTAACGTTCATGCGGAAATAACTTAGTAAATTCAAATTCCCATGAAACACTTCTAAGTCTGGGGGAAACCCTGCGTTGCTTGATCCCTCGTTGCCAACATGTTGTGGGTTTACCCCCTAGCGACCGACATGCAATAGTGACTGTGTTACCGTACGAGGCGCTGGGGCTTTCATGATCGTCTCGGCCACGCGATGAGGCCACTTGATGCTGTCGTTCAAAGTCAGCCAAACAAATTGAGCACCAGCGAGCCTTCGTTTTTGGGGCACCGCTTGACTGTTGAAGTTTGGCTTGTTCGGCCCTTTCGTGGCGCGATCTTCAGGGGCTACCGACAAGTAGTACTTACTTGGGAGGTTAGAATAACTTGCCCTGGGCGTCTTGTGGCAGGCCACTTTTGTAGTAGCCCAAGTAACTGAAACGTAGTTTTGGCTTGTTGATGACCGCGCGCTAGGATGAACAGACTGAGACTGGGTCTCTGTGTGTCTCTGTGTGTACAAGACTAAGAGAGACCGTGTAGTCAGTACTCCTGAGGGCAGCGATGAATCCCGAGTACATCACCACCCAGGACACAAGTGGCATCCTCATTTCAGACAGCATCCAAGCTGCAAACATCAAAAAACGGAGGGGCTTCCCCGAACATATTCGAAGAGGACTTGCTGAGTGAGTCCGGCGTTTCAAGCCCACCGCCCCCGATCAGCAATCCTGGCCTCCGCTCCTTCGCCGCCTTGGCGGGTCCTGAGTGAGAAGGAGGCCTTTTTGGAAACTCCGTAGCAGGTGAATCAAGACCGGGCTCGGGAGAAAACTGCCATTGGGCAGCCACGGTCAACCATGCTAAGCTACTTTTTCAATGTGAACCAATTTGCAAACTGCCAAGGAAAAGTGCCACAAGTTCAAGACCGTGGCTGCGAGCGCTGTGGCCTTTGTCATGGAAGGGGAGCAATGCAACGACCGTGAACTTTGCCCAAAGCTAGTTCTCGCATTAAATGCTGCCGCCTAGTTTTGCTGAGTTGTTTTCCTCACAGAAACTGGCACTGTGCAGGGAACTGGCCCATATTCTTCTGAAGATGACGGCTGAGGATGCCATCAACTTTTTCTTGGTTGACACATCGAAAGCGTTCTTGATCCTTCTTGCCGGCACAATGGGCACAGGCTTAAGGCACCCGCTGCAATGAACCAGCTGTGTTTACCAAAAATAAATGAATTGCGGGTTTTGCAAATCTAAGAGTCTCGCATTTAAGCTAATCACTGTTTTAGCGGTAGGGCCGCGGGGGCCCTACCCTTAGGACAGTCGGTAGCGCTACCGACTGTTGTAAGCAACCCCGTGACATTGTTAAATACATCTTGGGTTAGCCCTGGCGCGCTTAAAACAGCCCAAAACACGATATCGTTGAACCGGGGGGGGTTGCTTACGACAGTCGGTAGCGCTACCGACTGTCCTAAGGGTAGGGCCCCCGCGGCCCTACCGCTAAAACGGTGATTAGCTTAAATGCGAGACTTCTAGTTTTACAAAACCCGCAATTAATTTATTTTTGGAACCAATGAGTTCTGAGGCTACTCGGAGTGTTCTGTTTGGACTCCCGCGTGCCCCGCAGAGCTACCCCTACTGGTGCCTACTACACCCCTGAGGCCTACCAGCTCCCCCTAAACATCGCTTTCGATTTGTCAACCTCCAAGAAAAAGTTGATGGCATCCTCAGCCGTCACCTTCAGAAGAATATGGGCCAGTTCCCTGCACAGTGCCAGTTTCTGTGAGGAAAACAACTCAGCAAAACTAGGCGGCAGCATTTAATGCGAGAACTAGCTTTGGGCAAAGTTCACGGTCGTTGCATTGCTCCCCTTCCATGACAAAGGCCACAGCGCTCGCAGCCACGGTCTTGAACTTGTTGCACTTTTCCTTGGCAGTTTGCAAATTGGTTCACATTGAAAAAGTAGCTTAGCATGGTTGACCGTGGCTGCCCGATGGCAGTTTTCTCCCGCGCCCGGGCTTGATTCACCTGCTACGGAGTTTCCAAAAAGGCCTCCTTCTCACTCAGGACCTGCCAAGGCGGCGAAGGAGCGGACTTGAAACGCCGGATTCACCCAGCAAGTCCTCTTTGTGGCAGCTTTTGCCTGTCTGCAAATGAAACACGATATGTTCGGGGAAGCCACTCCTTTTTTGATGTTTGCAGCTTGGATGCTTGTATGAAATGATGATGCCACTTGTGCCCAAGGTGGTGATGTGCTTGGGATTCATCGCTGCCCTCAGGAGTACTTACTACACGGTCTCTCGTAGTCTTGCACACACAGAGACACACAGAGACCCAGTCTCAGTCCAACTCAGCCTCTTCATCCTAGCGCGTGGTCATCAAAAAGCCAAAGTTACGTTTCACCTGCAACAAGACACCCAGGGCAAGTTATATTATATAACCTTCCAAGTAAGTACTACTTGTCAGTAGCCCCTGAAGATCGCGCCACGAACGGGCCGAACAAACCGGTGCCCCAAAAACGAAGGCTTGCTGGTGCTCAGCTTGTTGGGCTGACGTTGAACGACAGCGTCAAGTGGCCTCATCGCGTGGTCGAGACAATCATGAAAGCCCCAGGGCCTCGTACAGTAACATAGTCACTATTGCATGTCGGTCGCTAGGGGGTAAACCCACCGTTGGCAACGAGGGATCAAGCAACATAGGGTTTCCCCAAACTTACACGTGTTTCATGGGTTTGACATTGCTAAGTTATTTAGGGTTGAACCAAGCTTACATCCATAAAAGGTAAAGGGTAAACCTTGCAATGAAGTTGTTCAGTGACAAGCCGTGACAAGCCTTGCCGAGCCAATTACCGTTGTTTCTCGAAAGTGCCAGCGACAAACAAACATTGAGAACACACAGAAACAACACAATATTTTTTGACATTTTTAAATGCACCCCAGTAAACCATCTCTACTCTTGGTATGGTAGCGAAAAACGTTGTTTTTTGCAGACCCCCAGCAAAAATGAACAGAACCAAAAAACTAAAAAACCAAAAATGCCAAGAACAGTGAAGAAACCTGTTGGCAACTCCCCCTGCCACATGCTGCCACACTCCGCAAACACGCCGCAAGCGCCGCCCTCTCCCGGCTGCTTCCCGGGCCCCCTGCTGTGGCGCCTGCAATGGGGACGGGCTGCCGCTCAGCGACTTCAACCTCAGTGCGGCCTCTGACACAGCTTGGGCATCGACCCCAATGGGCTGCGAAATGACCCCGGGAACCCCAACTGGTTGTGTTGTTGTGTTTTCTGAGCCGAGAACTCGTGCAGCCTAGCTGGTAATGAAAACTAAGCTCTTCGCCAAGGTAACTCAAGCCATGCTCGACGTGCGCGACAAGGTGCTGACCGGACGCCCGTCTTATGCCGAGGTGCGAGGTGACGACGCCGGGCAAAGGCATTGGCAAACCGGCAGGACTGCCTCTCGCGACGCGCGTTGTCTCTCTCTCATGGCATGCGCACCAGTATGTGTATCGCCTCTGCGTGCCGCTCGCTGTCGCACGACACCCTACTCATCGGTTTGGTTGAGCAAGACTTTGCCCTGCGCCTTTGAAAAGGCAAGGTTTGTGAGAAGAGAAACATCCCAAGATGCCTTGCAGTAGTCGTCCCCTCTGCTTCAACACAGCAACAAGGGATCGAGCGCCACGTGCAAATGAACAGGCACTTAGAGTGGTGTACTCCTCTAGAGAAAAAAGCCAGGTAGTCCCACAGTTTGCTCCCCAAACCAATTTGGGATTACACACAAAGGGGTGGCCGTTAGTGGCAGTAACAAAGGCTTGCCCGTGATGCGGACCTCAATTGTTGAGCCGCAGCGAAATGACTTGCATTTTTTTGCACAGCGCCCAGTGAAACGCGGTGAGGTGCTCTAAAATTGGGATTCCTGCTGATTGGTGTCACATGGGTAACCAACAGACTCCATCTTTGTCCTGTGCCTAAGACCTATGTCTTGCTGGTTCTCAGCAGTAAATGAGGGAATGACCCCTCTAACCCACCCCTTGTGGTTTTCTTTCAGGGAATCCCAAAACGGTTCATTCCCTGGGTCATTCCGTACTTCGAACCAAGATGTTGATGCACCTCACACCGCAAATCCCTCTGACATGGGACAAACCTTCTGGCCGCCTTGGGGGTTCCCTGTTTGGGCCAGTCCCCTTCGGCCTTGCGTCGTCGCGCCGCCCTTTGCTGCGACCACCATCGGGAAGTGCAGGGAGTCATAGTCTCCGTCCGTGCCAGAGCCCTCGGAAGGCCAGGGCAAAGGCGAGAAAAAACTCTCAGGTCGTCGGGAAAAACCCACCTGGTGCATGAGTCGGACAAGCTCCCCGCAAAAAAGGAGAAGGATTGCCTCATGGGACGAAGGCCCTTCAGGGACTCAGGCTCAGAGGCCCAAGGTTGCTTGATCATCTATGAGCCTGCGCCAAACAAAGGCAAAAACCCGCAGAACCACCATGTGTACATGTATCACTTGTATCAGACTAACATGAATCTATCAACGGAACATGCCGAACATATTTGCGCATACATTGACAAAGCAAATGCACGCCCCCCCTCCACACACACCGGGTCCCCCCCTTTTCCCGGGGCTCATAGGGGTTTGCTCATTGGGCACCGGGCTGACTCGTCACTGCTCCCCTCCTCCCTTCGGGGCCAGCAGCAGCACCTGCACGAAAGCTTTCCACCGGAAAGCTCGCTGGGAGCACGGCAAAAGGAGCCGAGGGTCGAGGGCGCGCGGGCACGTCGAACCAAAGGTGCTGCCGTCACATGGGGCAGATTTCGTCCATGGGTCGTGGTACATGGGATCATGGACTTCTTTGCAACCATAATTCAATTGTGTTATGCCCCGTCCTACATGAGTTGCAGCTGGGGTTTGGGTTTGGCGCACTAGGATGCATGCTCCCGTTTCGACCTTCTGCATCTGCAAGTGTCCGCTGCCCCTCCCGCCGGCCCGCTGGTCAAAGCAAGACACACACACAAACAAACAAACAAACGCTCCAAACGCACAAACAGAACAACATTTGTGCTGAGGCGAACGGCCCCCTAAATTAAACATGACATTGGGCGCTTCTTGTTGGGATGGGACTCGGTTGATTTCGATGACGCCATCCAAATTGCATGGATCTGCTCAAATGCCATGAAGGTAGAATTGCCCTGGAGAACTGCGGAGAGCCGAAAAGATGATGTTGTCCCGCTATGCTGGCAAAAAGGATTGCCCCTTTGCCCAATTCTGCGAAACATGGTGCGGAGACGGCAAGGGACAGCCTCCAAAAAGTTGCCGTGCTCCTGCAATAAGGGTTACTTGTTTGGACACATCCCCGTTCTGCAAAGGTGCCCTGCCTCATTGCGCCTGCTTGGCCGGGCCAATCAGAAGGTGCAAAGCTGGAGGCTGTGGCCAAACGCTGAGGATTGTCCCAGGGCTGGTTTTTTTCTTGCGTGCGGCTTTTCTCTTGACTGGCTGCATAAGGCAGGGATGCTGCATGGAAGCCGGTGCCACTTTGGCAACTTGCAGCTCTTTGCCATGTAAACCAAGCTGCGGTCGCACTGATGCCAACCTCAATCTGCAATATTGTGAGCCATGAAGCCACAGCAAATGCGGAGTTCACCATTCCCCCGCAAACAGCCACAAGCAGTTTGCCCGTCGCTTCGCCAATCCCGTGCATTCACCAAGCCCCCAATCCCCGAACGCAATTCTTCAGTGTATCTTCTGATGACACGGCCCGTAGCAATTCAAAACTTGCTCCGCAAGTAGGCACGGCAGCTGGCTTCAGGGGGTCGTTTGCCACCTTTTGTGGACAATATTGATCGATTCTCCTCGTAGTGAAGGATTCCTTTTTGAGGGGGTCGGCCATTTTCTCACCAAAGGTGGCAAAAAGACCCCCCTGGCTTCAGATTTCCCAAAAAGTGGTTGCTTCATGGATTGGAAGGCTGCCACCCCAAGCGACCACACCTCGGCTCGACCTCCAAGCGAACCAAGAGCTGCGTTCGCGTCAACACGGCAGGCCCACCATGTTCGGGGCAAAGTGCAGGAAGAGCGGGCCTGACAACTCAAGCCGCAGGCACGCACGGCGCCTGGAAGACATGTCTGATCCGAATTCGTCCCACATCCTGAGCACTTCCATGTGCTGAAGCCTCCTGGAAGAATGTCCAGTGATAGTTTCCCTTCAAAACCAACACGGGAAAGTAAAAGAGGAACTCGGTTGCTTTCTGCTCCCCTGCTGAAAGTTTAACTTTTAGTGGAAAACCCATTAGTTGGCAAAAAGTTGTCCAGTCCTAACATCCCTGGGCAAAATGCAAAGGGAAGCTCAATCAACCTTGGTCCGGGTCCCGCTTTCAGTCCCCGAAGCTCAGGTTTCTGGGACGCCTGGGGGGTTTCCGGGTCCTTTAGCGGGAGTAACGACCAAGTTGAATCCGAGGGGCTCAAGCCCAGCCAGCCACGGGCATAGTATTGGGAAGAGACCCGATGCAGGTGCCGGGCTCTCACAACTCTAAGGGTAGCTTCCAATTCCATTCTTTCCAGGGATCCTTCTTTCTAGAAAACCACTAAAAACTTGGGAAACAGCTGGTTTTTTTGAAAAGAACAATGGTAGAACAGAATGGGGAATCAACCCGTAGAACAACTCTCAGAAGATAGGATCCTGCCGGAAAACTTTGGGGGGTCAGCTGAACAAACACACGCGGAAGAAGTTTAAAACAACCCCTCACCCAAAAGATACCAAAATGGCACAACACATCAACATGTTTGCTGCTGACGTGGGCAAGTGGAGGGTACCTCAAGTTCTCTGATGTTTCTGCTGCATTTGCGCTGAACTACCCTTGTGCCAGCAAATTGCAAATAATGCATCTAAAACTCTGCTTGCGGATCAGCACACATTTACCTTTTTGGGCTGGTTACCAACCACCACAACCAAAACAAAAACAGATACAAAGAAAAACACATATGCACATAGACATAAGGACACATGGCCGTGGGTCAAAACCAAAGGTACCATTTTAAAGGTAGGTGCACCACTCATTTAAGAACCTATTTTAGTGGTTGGATTGGGATGTTCACTGCGGGTACGATTTGGCTTTTGACCCATGGCCACATGCACAGTAATGTGCGGAGCTTCTTTCCGCCCTTTGGCACTGGGTCAAAAATAAGTAACCAAAATGGATTGCCCCGGAAAATGGAAACATGGACTAAAACCTGCGGTCCCCTGGTGGTTGAATTTTGACCCATACCCCATTTGGCGTGCTTTCGCACACCGCCGCCTTTGCGCGGCACCACCTCCTCCTCCTCGTTCTCCTCGTCCTCCGCCTGGTCCTCGTCGTCATCCCTGGTGTCCGCGTTGGTTGCGGGGGAGTGCCCTGGTCAGGTTTCCAGGAAGCAGGCTTTAGTGATCCTTTTGGGGGCCCCCTTATTTTGACGCATACCCTGTTTTGTCTTGACCTAACATATGCGAAGCCCGCAGGGAAGCATCTCTCGGCCCAAGACAACATGTTCGTCATGGCCAAATGTTGCAAGCGTTGATGAAACACCAACCGCGTAGTGGGCCCCTTATGCAGCTGCTGCAAAGGACTTGGCAAACAAAGGGCAACAGAAGCCTCTCTCGCTGACCAGCATGCAAATTATTTGAGTTTCAAGTTGGTGTGTTGTCGGGTTTAGGGCTGCTTCAGCGGTGGATAGGGTTGCTCATTGGTTTGTTGCAAGGCTTGCTTGCGGCTTGCTTGGGACTGGTTTCGGGCTGGCTCTGAGATAGGCTGTGTGCTCGGCTGTTGTAGCCGTTGGTCTAGTCTTCGCTCTAGGTCAATTTTGGCGTGATCTTGGGTAGGTTTCAGGCTTGTGGAAAACCAGACCTAACCGACCAACCAAGCGTGAACCTAGACCAAACAGCCAGATTCCAAATCGACCGACCGATCGACCAACAAACCAACAAACCAACAAACCAACAAACCAACAAACCAACAAACCAACAAACCAACCAACCAACCAACCAACCAACCAACCAACCAAACCAACCAAACCAACCAACCAACCAACCAACCAACCAACCAACCAACCAACCAACCAACCAACCAACCAACCAACCAACCAACTTCTGCCCGGGCTTGTGTTCCCGGCTGAGCTCTTAGCAAAAAGCCCATGCCACCAAAACCAGGCCCGGACAAAACAACAAACAAACGCCCAAACAAGGGACGAGAGGCGTCTGCAGCTGCAGCTGGGGCAGCGGCCAAACGTCGTGAAGGTCTCCCTCTTGTGGGTCCTCCTGCTCATCATAGCTGAAATCTTGCCTTGGTCCGCTCGTCCGGCCGAAGTGGGAAATGCAGCTCCGACGCTCAGTTGCCCAAAGGAGATGGAAATTCAAGGCTGAGCTTTTGCAACCTTGACTCAAAACGTCAAAGTTTGGCTTTGGGGATGTCGTCAGGTCTAAAGGTAATGGGGCAAGTTGTGCAAATGCCGATCGCTTCAGCAAACGCGCGAGGAAAACAGCAAAGTGGCCCGGGAGCTGCCGCTGTGCTGGCGCACTATTCTCAAACCAATCTTTACAGCGACAACGCTTCCCTGCACCAAACATACTGCAACCAACGGTCAGCTTTGGGCGCTTGGGGGCTCGACCCCTCAAGACTTGGCTCCATTTACAAGAGGCCTTCCGGGAGCTTCCATGTTGGCCTTGTAAGGAGTGTAGATACATGCATGCTATGGATCCGTATGACTATACAAGAGCGCCCCATCCCGAAGCCTTCTGAAATGTATGTTATACTTGGTTGCTTTCTGCTCCCCTGCTAAAAGTTTAACTTGTAGTGGCTTAATGGGAAAACCCATTAGTTGGCAAAAAGTTAAAGTCCAAACATCCCTTGGCAAAATGCACCAAAGTATAAATGCCATACGTATGACTTCTGATCTCAAACCGCGAGCGGACTATGCGCCCGGCATGGCCCGGGTGAGTCGACTCTGCGACTCTCGCGCGGCAGTGTGCATCTTGCTGAGGTCCTCGACCTCGTTCGGTTCGTTCCCACAGGTCAAGCAACTTGGGCTCTTCAGGATTTAAGTCCTTGAGTACCTATGTCCTTTTAGGGTAAATAGATGGCCCTGGTAACTGGAAGCAACCCCATCTAAAGCAGTGGAACCCATCTATTTCTAACCAAACTAGCCTAAAAATGACCTATGATGAGTACATAGGTGTCCGTTTACGGTAAATACATGGCCCTGGCAGATGAAATTAAACCACCAGGTAAACCAGGGCCATCGATGTCTCTAAAAAAAAAGAAGGACACCTATGCTTGAGTAGCTCCATCCTTTATAAAACCAACACCGTTCAATGATGGATGAGGATGGTTTTGGGGTCCCTCTGAAAAGATGCAAGCAAGGTCAAATAGCAACCAACGCACTTGGAATCGATGCCTCCAGAGCCTCTGATGCAAGACGTCATATCTCGCCCTGAAGCATCCCAGTACTGAAAAGCCTCACAATGAGTGCCCCCCAGTCCAAAACCGATTCACCAGTCCAAGGTTTTTAATGTCGCCACCCTAGTTAGTACCACGCCCGGATTCATCAGGGGTTCCCTGTTTTCAGATTAGGGCGCCCGGCGATCTTCATCGACTTCTCAGTCTTCACCTCTGCAAAAGTTGGTCAAGCCGCGCAAACCGAAAGGCAAACACCACTTGCTGGTGCGATAGGTAGGGAATGTGGGAATGAACCGTTTTGGGATTCCCTCCAAGGAAACCACAGGGGATAGTTTACTTGGAAGGGTCATTTCCTCCTTCCCGGCCAACTGGGTGAACCAATGGGAACAACAGTTCGGGCCCACGTTTTGGGGCCGGCCGCGAAGACTGACATTCACAGCCTGAGAGGGGGAGCTTCACGCCACGTTCTCATTGACAGACCTATGAACTGCACGATGCGGGGAGAAACTCCAGACTAAAAACGGCCGCCCAACTGTTGCAGGGCTTGTCACGGCTCTAAAAACCTTTCCCACGCGTCACTGGGGGTCCCAGTTTTCCTTGTGACCATGGCTTGCAATCGAGCCAGCACCACGCTCTTTCGCCATGTCCCGATCTGCTCCTCCTGGTCTTTCTCCAACTGAGGCGCGGAATGACTGGTTCGCGGAAGAAAAGTTGCAAGACATTCTATGCGGAGCTGCCTGAGGGATGATTCGTTTGAAAAGGTTGCCTTCCCCTCCCCAGACTAACATGGAAGCTCACAGGACCCCTTTGGAAGACTTGGTTCCATTTAGGGAGACCAGTCTGACCTGCCAGGACAACTGTCGTAAGGCTCCAGCGACCTTCGCCTTCACGCGCATGTTGATGATGCGGCGCCTGCCAGTTTCCAGACTGCGAACCTTGCGAACCAAAGTCCATAAGTCCACACTTGACACCCAGAGAGTACAACGCCTGGCAGCCCCAGCCAATTGCCAACTCGTGAAATCAAGCTTCGGCGCTTGCCCACGCCCTGGCTCTCAAGCTGAAAGAAGTTACAAGAACATGGACCAGGTGGCCTCATGCAGGTTCCGTGTGTTAAAGATCGTTTTTTAAATGCGCGGCCGTCCAAACTCAGCCCCTGGGTGCCCGGCTGGGCGTCTTCATAGAGACGCTGGTAAGCCTGGCTGACCGCTCACGCCTTTGCATCTTGTCCGACCAAAGGCAAACTTCAGTCTTCGAACGGAAGTGTGTGGCTAAACCTTGATGGGGCTCCAACTCCATCTCTGTTGAAACCGCTCTTGCCCAGCGAAGCCAAGACTGGAACTCAGGCTTCGAGTCGCGAGAGCCGCATATTTTCCAGTCCAGGATCCTGCCTGAAGCTTCTTCTTCTTTCGCCGTCTCACTGGCGTCCTTGGACCGGAGGCAGGTTGAAGCCTGCATGTGTTTAAACAAAAGGAAACCACTAACACACACATAGGTGTCCCTTAGATTAAATAGATGGCCCTGGTAGATGATTAAACCACCAGGTAAACCAGGAATCGCCATCTATTTTCCTACCAAACCAAACCAAACCAAAAGGACACTCACACACACTAGACCATCACCATGACCCCCCCAGCAAAACAACATGTCAAGCAAATCCAACTCGGATTGATTCGCTGATGTGCTTTGCTCGGCCGGCGTGCAAGTTGCAAGAACGCGGCATTTGCGCCCAACTCAGAAATACAGTAAGCCAAAGTGACAAAATCCCTCGCAAAACCGACTTGGAACTGGCGAATCCAACAATTATGAGAGACACCTAAGTAGGGAAAGTGCTCTTTGATTGGGTCACTCCCACTGACAAAAATAACCACCGTTCCGAGACCCCCTGTTGCCTGGGAGGCAAACATGCGTGGCGTATCCCGCTGGCAAGAGGGGAGGAGAGCCTGCTCATCCAATTTACACTGGGCACATCGGAAGAGCACCAATGAGGCCACCAACCTTTTCCCGTCACTGATCTTCTCTTGCCAGGCGGCAGCTTGATCTTCTCCTCCACTTCTCTCACTGCTTGATCGCCTGGTCAAAGAGGAAATTAAGTCGCTCAAAATACAAGAAGAAAGCTCAGCTGAATCAGAGCTTTAGCTAGTGCCGCTACGTTGGCATGTCACATGTTGGGCATTTTACACGGGAGTACAAGCTCTCTACCATCTCTACCCGTTCTTGGTAATTCATCACTTGCCCACCTGTCTGGAATTCATCACGCCCCAGTCTTGTGAGCTATATAGTCACAAGAGATCCGCATGGCTGGCCCCTCAAGTGCGGACCCCAGACCAATATACACCATGGCTGGCTGACCCGCTGGCGAACAATCAGCCAGCTTGCCGACACCAGACGGATTGATTGCTAACAGACTGACTCGGACGTCCCAACTAAGGGGAAGCCAAAAAGCTCAACAATGCTAAACAGCCAACAAACCAAACACGCCAACCGAGAGCAATCAACTCAACATCTACAGCTGCTATAGCTATTTCCACCGTCACCGCCTGGGTTACTCCAAGGTGAGCTCGTCTTAAAGTCGGCAGATACATCAACCTGGTTTGCGACACCCATGCAAGTCACAACCAAGACAACGGTATTAAACTGGTCGTAATCCCAGCACCATGCTTAATTCCGAAGCCAATTTATGGCTGGGATTGTCCCTTGCTACCCTCCAAAGACCCGGGTTTTGAGAACGTGGCTCATGAAACATGGCTGTGGGTCAAAACCCTGCACCCTGGTGAACATCAAAATAGGTGGCATTTCTTTTTAAATGTTCATCCACCCCAACATGGAGGGAGGTTCATAGGTTCTGCCATCCACCGGCGATCAACCTGGTGTCCTTTGCGAAGCTGCAGCTGCCACAGCCTGGCCTCCCACTTCCTGCAGCTTCTCTACCAGGATCTGCACCTCTCGACTGCCGCTCGACCGCTGGCGCTCGACCGCTCGGGACCCGTGCGCTTGACAACACCGCGGGGGCCCCGGGCAGCCTGGCGGAACCAAAACAACACACACACACACCCACACACACATGCACCTTCCGTACCCTGGAAACAAGTGGCATGTAAGGTGAAAGGATGAGAGATGCCACGGCCAAGTTGAAATTAGGTTTATCTGTGAACCGCACCAGGCCGCACGCATGCGGCACAGTTGTGAATTCAAAAGCTAGGAGTGTCCGCATTTCAAGCTTAATTTGCATGTGGGGGGCCAGGTGCAAAGTCAAACGCTGGCGAGATGCTGCCAACTTGACCCTCTTAAGCAGCTGAGTGATCTGGACACTAAACCGCACCAGCAAAGTGGAACGACACATGTGGCAAATTTCTACAAATGCGTGGATTCCAATACTGCAGCACCAACTGACAACCGTTCGCGACATTCGGAGTTTCGTTTTGGCTCTTAAACATCACCCCACCAAGGGAACACCCACCTAAACTTGGCTTAATCAAGCGATGCTTAGACCTGCTGGCTAAAAATGCAGGGAACCAAAGGCTATGGCTCATATACGCAGTTGTTCAGTGACCCTGGAGGAAAAAAAGGAACCCTTTGTGGGGAAGACCATTTTTAGTGGGGCAGCCCCCCCCCCAAAAAGGAAAACAGGGTGCCAGTGAACAACTGAGTATAGGCATCTCAAGGCATTCAAACCACGCGTTGCTTCCCATGGCCGTCCGGCGGCCGTCCGGCCTGCTGGTTCAGGTCCGAGACCTGGTTCTGCAAGTCCACCTTTTCCTGAGGCAACGGATATGTGCAAGCGATTTCCTTGGCAAAGGGACTGGAACCCTTTTTGGCGGCTAGGACCATCTGGCGGCTAGGGCCATCAATTTGTCTCTGCGAAGAAAACAACCCAGAAACCGAATTGGAACAAGGGCCTGGCTGGCTGCAACAAAAGCACTGCCTAGGCAAGGAGCGCAGAAAACCCGGCTTGCAACCCCCGCCCATGGTGAAGCTTGCGTTTTGACGCAAGCACTAAAGCAGACCCCGTCAGTAAAAAATCCATTGGTCCACTTAAAAGGCTTCAGACTAGCCCAGGCATCTATAAAGGCCATCCAAGTTTCACTAATCCAACGGCTGGTGTGGGCCCTACCGCAAAGGGTATCAGGACTTCTGTGAAGGCGCAAGCCTGAAACAATCCGTCCGTCAATAGCAACCTCCCCCGTTCCAAGCTCAAAGGCGAGCACGGCGAGGAAACACCTTGTCAAAGAAAGTGTAACTAGAAACTCCCGCGGGAACTAATTGAGTTTAGCTCCAGCTATAAAAAAGCAAGCAATCGCGCGAAAAAGCTATGAATCAGCAAGATATCGCGAGAGCTGGGGCATAGCAAGGGCCTCCCTGTGCGCCAACCACCTGTCGCATGCCTGACGGACGCGGTCTCGGAGTGGGTGTGGCGCGGGTTCGGAGACGGGACCATTGACACGGCCCTTCATCGGATTGCCCTCTGCGCACTTTGGGGTCTACGTTTTTTCCACTTCGCTTGCGCAACCCTCTGAGGACGTTCAGTGGGTCGACCTCAAAATAAGTATGAAAAAGATATCGACGAGCAAAGGGAAAGAGAAAAAGAACAGACGCAAGATAAGATGCAGGAGAAGAGCAATAACAAAGAAAGCTAAAGACAAGATAAAGATAAAGCAAATACAAAGATCACGAGAAGAGAAACAAAAGAAAGGAACAAGAGAGAGGAAATACAAAGACAATGATAAAGCGAGACAAATAAACAGAAAAGGGAAGAGAGAAACAAAGAGAGAAAGCGTGAGCAAAAACAGAGGGGCAGAGTGAAAAAGCAAAAGAGAGACGGGAGCAAGAGACAATGAGAGAGAGAGAGAGAGAAAGAAAGAAATAGAAGGAAGAGAAAACAACACGTGCTCAAACTATCGTTCTTGTATTTTGAAACTTCCGCCCGCCGGCTCTGCCGGAATTGGTACTTTAGCTTGCCAGGCGGCATCTTCCAGCAGCATGCACTTGCTCTGCCAAACGGTGTCGTTGGAAGGCGACAAAGGCGGCGATGGGGCGCCTGAGAATGGCAGACCCGTGCTTGATTCACCATATGCCAGCGTCCGCCAATCGGGCGCCCCTTTCTGCTGGCGAATGGGAAACTGGCACGACACCAACAACCAACCAATCGAGGCGCCTCCTACGTCGCTGAACTTCAGCAAACATCCCCGCCCACACCTTTGACATATCCGAGAGGCACAGCCCAAACCCGAACATGAGGCGAAGTCTTTAGAACCACAAAGCTGGCTGAATCAACTTTGTCCCGAGTGTCATGCTCAGAGATTACCAGAACTGACGCTGGACACTGCGCACAGCTCACCAAAGAATGCCGCTCAAGTCCTAACAAGCGAAAACTTATGGGTGGCCAAACGCACCCGTGCCACTGCGAAGGTGACTTAAAGCACAGCCTTCAGCCCTTGCACTTAACAGGCCACTCCCTTGTCCTCAGATGAAACGGGATTCGGAAACAACCCTTAAGCAAATTCACACGCTCAACAAGTTCAAAGCGAACAGCCAAGGGTCATGATGTTGCCAGTTTTGTGGCCAAGTGAACTCCGAACTCGTACTTCCTTCATGTCAGTCCCAAAGTATGTTGCCAACGCGCCATCAGTTCCAAACAGCCAAAAACAATCGGGCCGTTTGTCAAGAGCCAAGCCTTGGACAAACGAACAAGCGGAAATTCGGAGGGAGCGGAAATATGTGGAATTCGGAATTCCCTTGGTGCAAACGGGGGAATCCAGATTCCCGTATCCCTGGTTCCCCCTGGTTCCCAAGTTGGTTTCCCTGAAGTCGCCTCGCCTCGTGGCCGCTCCGGGTCAGGATCCTTCGAGGCCTCGCTCCGGCAACTTGGCAATTTGCGGCTTGCGGCTCCCGGCTGCGTAAGTTGCCATGGAAAAGATCGATCTGCTCTTCGTGCCCTGCGCCACCCCAAAACTTGGAAACAAGGTTTTAACATGTAAGCTAGGTCCTCCGGTTAGGAATACTGTATATTTTTTTGGTAGGGGAACCCTACCCCAAAAAAGAAACGGTAAAAGGGCACTACTGGGGACCGGATGTTACCACACGATGACCGAGCACAAGCCAAAGCGTTCTGCCTTGGATGCGGTTTGGCCCCGTTCGAAAGGGCCAAAGCTGCCTGTTGGGGAACCGTGCCCTCAGGGGACATATCCATGCTGCACATGGACTGCGGGCTGCGGGAGGTCAAGTGCAGCCCCGCAAATGAATGCCATGTTGAAGCATCATCCTCTGCAAAGGGATGCCTCAAGCGTCAAGTGCAAACAGCTGCCTGGTTCCCTGATCCAGCCTCAAGTACCACGGCGACCATGACCCGAACTCACCACCGTAGGCTTGCCTTCCGGCAAGGATCCCTTGACAAGCCGAAGGTCTTTGGGAAGTTCAGATGGAAATGAGTCAAACCTAAGCCCACTTTCTAACAAACAACATGCTGTGACTGTATTCTAGCGGACCCCCCCAAAAAAAAATGCGGCTTCCTTTGGTTTTCTGTTTAAAGCCGCTCAAGAAAGTGGGTACCCTCAACCAACCCCAAGCCCCAAATTTGAACCCCCCCCCCCCAACAAAAAAAAATCGCGTATCTCGGTCCGCGGGCCGTCCTCGCCTTTGGCTTCTCCGGCTCCTGCCGGCCAGCTGATCAAAAGGCAAAAGTCGGGGCCTCTCTGTCCGTCAGATCCCCTTGGAGTGCGGCAGAGTGCGATCCATTGGTTAAACAAACTCCAGGGGAGGGGATCCCAGTCAGCCTCTTGTCAAAGTGTGTGAGAGGGGACTGCAAACTCCAAGTGTGTGAGTGGTTAAACAAACAAACATTTTGGCGCTCATACACTTTGACAAGAGAGGGGTGCCCCTGGAATCCCCGGAAAATCGACCCCAGAATATTCAACCCCAGAGACCTTGGTTGCTGTTGACCCCTCTGCAGAGAGTTTAACTTCTTGCGGTTTGAAGTCTAAAGATCCAACTCAGTAGCACTCGAGTGTTCAGTAAGATGGGGGTGGGGGGCCCTCCAAAAGTGGTCTGCCCACGGACACCCCCCTATTACTGAACTGGGGTTCATTAATACGGGGTCAACATTAAAGGTTGTCCAGCTTTTAGTGGGTGAAATATGGAAAACCAACCGCTAAACCAACTAAAAACCTAAAAGTCCGAGGGGACGGCTGGGAACCACCAAGTCATTCTGGCCCTTGAAAACTTGAGCGAGCCCAGCACGAGGTAGTCAGGTTCCTACTAAGGATAACTAAAGAAACACCTGGGCACCACCCTGGACGGGCTGGCCGCCGCCTGCAAGCTGCCCGGGTCAAGGAGTCGAGCCACGCGCAAGGACCTGCAACCACCTGGAACCAGCGCAGGTGCTCCAATCAGCGCAAGGACATGAAGCGATGGCCCTTGGGCAAAGTGGCATGACTCATGGCGGCTGAGGGAAGCGAGCGAGGTCTCAAAGCCAGGGCGGCTGTCACAAAAATTTGTCCTTTTAGGGTAAATAAATACATTTCCCTGGTAGACGATTAATCAAACCACCAGGTAGACCAGTTGAATCGCCCTCGATTTTCCCGGCAAAGCCACCAAAAAAGGACCCCAAGAAGATTTCAACCCGACTTCGAGCCAAACCGCAAGCTCCGAACTTCCGAAGCTCCTCGATCTCCACAGCCTCCCAGGAAGCCACTCGCGGGTCGTGGAGGGAATGGCCCGGGGCATATACGTGTGCTTTTAGGTTGGAAATTGATGGGTTTCCCTGGCAGATGATCAAGCCAGGTAAATCAGTTGAATCGCCATTTTGCCACCAAAACAACCAAACAGGACACCCATGACCCCATGACCCTGGGTTTTGGGAATCAACCGTGGGATTCCCTCAAAGGAAGCCACCTGGATGAGTGAACCTGGTCCTCCAGATTTGAGAGGTTAGAATAAGTTGGTACCCGATTTCAAGGTCGCAACTTGGTGGGTTGCAACTCGTTTTGCGGGGGTCCACGCCATTCCACGCCATTTGTTCAGCAACCCTGCTAAATCAAGGCGGCCATTCCAAAGAGAGGGAAGTAGGGATTCTGCCATTCCAACTTTTTTAATATCCGAACGGCCAGTGTGAACATGAGACAACTGGTACATGGCACGCGCAGCCCTGCCCGCCCAAACGCAGCCTTTTCGAGCGTTTGCATATTCGGCGTGTCACTCGCTCGCATCGTGTGGATTGAACCCTGCAGCATGCTAGGGCAAGCATCAAGCAAGCAGCCGAACCCTTGAGAGGCGCCTGTCAGTAACGCTGAACGGACTTCACCCAAATCCTCTGCTTGCATGACACAGCGCATGCGCTCACTGCAGGCCATCCAGGGCAGCGTGTTCCATGACGCCTGGTCAACGGATCAGGTTCCACCAAAGAAATGCCAACTTCTCACGTGGCCCAGTGGTTTTGCATTGGGAAAGGCAGAGGTTGCTTTGGGTTGCTCAAGCTAACCAGCGCAAAACAATGTTGAACAATTGGGAGTCTTTCTTTTCAAGCAACAGCACAACAGGCGGTTGCTACACCTTGCACCAATGGAACAGTCCACACGCGCGACTATTTCTTCCAGGATTTGTTTGGTGAGTGGTTTCTTCACGCCACACGACAAAGTGGGAGGGCTAGATGTCCGAGACATTCCGAGACATTCCGAGCCAGCCGTGGCTATGGCCTTTGGACTTTGTGGCAACGGATTGCTTGGTGCCCCTCATTGCTTGGTGAGTGCCAGGCTCTCGAAGCCAAACAAGCGAAACATCGGCAAGCCAATGAGATGAGCAGGTGCTTTTGCAATCCTTCGAGGCGACTACAAATTCGCATGTCGGGCAAAGGAAATTCACTGGGATGGCATACTCCAGAGAAACGGTCGCGCCATGCGCTTTGATGCTAACCCCGGATGAAGCAGAACCCCTGGTTGATTAATAGGGGGGTGTCTCCTTTTAGTGGGGATTCAGACCAGTTTTGGAGGGAACACCCCCCTTTTGTGGGACGGGTTTATTAATCCTGGGTCAACATTTACCTCGATCCTCAAGATGGCGGCGCCGGAAGTCGCTCGATATTATTTTTCCTTCGCGGCCCCCTGGCGGGGGAAGTCGAACTCTGCGCAAAGCTATCCTGCGTGATACCTCTCCAGCGGCCAGCGCTTCCTTTTCCGGACCCCCGTTTTTCTTTTCTGTTTTTTTTGAATTGCCAAGCCGACTGGAATAAAAATCGGGTGCTGAAGGCTGAGCTTTTTTCTTTTTTTGAATTGCCAAGCCGACTGGAATAAAAATCGGGTGCTGAGCAATGGGACACGTGCAATGCAAGGAGTCACGAAGTCCCAACCCTGTCTGGAACGATCCCCGAGTTGAGAACCATGCTTGAAGAAGTCTCCGAGGCCTTGTGAATTAGTTCTGAGGCTAAAGCACAAAAAGGGCTCCCCTTGCCGCTTTCCAAACTGAGAGGCTCCCAATGAAAGACGTGTTCATGGGCGAGGTCGCAACCCCTGTTTCTGAGGCCACTTATGTGCCGCCATCTCTCCTCCCCCCCCCCCCAAAAAAAGGACACCACATCAATCCTTTGGTCAGGTTTGAGCTTCAAGAAGTGAAGCTCTACGCCTGAAACCGACATGCTTGGCCAGGCAAAGGCCAAACCTCGCGCTGGGCACTGGAGCAACTTTTGCTGCTTTTTGTGGCTCACGGCTTAGATCCGGTCGGCTACAAGCACCCCATGTTCACAAAGGCCAAAGGTGCAGGCGGGCTTCCAGAAACTCAACCAGGGCTGTAGGCAACGGAATCCACTGTGATACAACAAACAAGGGCCTAACCCCAAAGACATTCCCCCCATATCAAGGGGGAGATTCCAACTTGTATCGCAGAAGTGGTTGGATAAACCCCTTTATCCCACAACCCTGCAACCCACTACTTCGACAATTCATGCCAAAGAAATGGTATGATCCCTCCAGAACTGGCGACCAGCTATCCCAACTCGCACGATCTAGAAGGGGGTAGCGGATTGCCCGCCAGGTGACGACCTCTCATGGCCCAATGCAAGGAAGGCTCGCACACGTTGAGTCAAATTCTGCACGTAGAACCGTGGGCGCCTCCCACCCCAAGACACTGCCAGCCAAACTGTCATGAAACTTTGTGTACTAGCCTTTAATACTTGGAACCAGTCGCAGAACTACCAGTCCAGATCCGGATCCACCTGACAGCGATAGCATACATGGGCACCAATATCGGTGTTGCCCCGAGCACAAATTTGTGAGCACTCTCTTGCCTTCATGCTGTGGTGCTCTTCGGCCGCAAATCCTCACAGTTCGTCTCATGCCAATGACTTATGGACCAGCGGAGCTCGTTTTTTGGCGGCAAAACAAGGAGCGCTCAGTCATTGTGCTTTCGGGCGACCGCAGCCCTAGGCGGAAACGTGCAGCTTGTGCTGCCCAGCCTGCCTGATGCGAATCCAACCTTAACAATGATGTGGCTGTGGTTGTCAAAACCGTTTTGGGATCCCATTTTTGGGGTAGGTGAATTCACCACCCATTTTGGAACCTAGTTTCTTGGGGATTGAATCGGATGTACTGGGGTAACCCTACGGGCTTTGGAGGGAAATCAAAAGGAACACCACTTTGGGGTCTGCCGATTTGAAAAAAAAATGGGGTCCCCAACTAAAGAACCTACCCCAAGTTAGAGATAGTTCACCGAGGTTCACCAGTTCTGGGGTCTGGTGGGATTTTAACAGAAGGAAGAATGATTATTCTGCACGTTTGAATGGAATTGCAAATTCTGCTCCACGACTTTGTGGTTACAAATCGGCGCATGTGACCTTCACCGGTTGCCATCACCCAGCGTCCCCAGCCAAAAAAATGACCAAACCAACCTTGTGCCACGGGGCAAATGCATGGAGAAGCCTCGAATAGGGCCGTCATTCAGTCACTTCGGCTAAACAGCAAGACGCATGCTCTGGGCTGTGTCAAGCTGGGTGTCAAAACATGCTTTCTCTAAGGCGCGCTACGGGGCGCATCTGCATCTCTGTAACTGGCGTTTTTCCTGGGGGGGGGGGGGAAACAGAAAACCCCAAAGAGGTGTTCTACGGAGGAACCCACATCCTACAAAGTTCAACTGGGCAAACTCGAAGCTGAAATTCTGAAAGCGCCATGGACCATGTGTCGCAACGGGCAGTCTGAGTATCCACGCGCTTGGCTGGTGGCATTACTCCATGGGATCCAACATGCCAGTGGACTGCCGAACCAATGCCCTTGCACTTGCAAAAGCTCCGGGGACAGTTCACTGCTTTTGCAAAGACTCCAAATCGCTATCTGGCCTTGGTTGTTGTTGACCCCCTGCAAAAAGTTTAACTATTTTGGGGTTTAGTGGAAACCCCCTTGATTTCCCAAAAAGGTAAAGTCTAAAGATCCAACCCAATAGCAGTCAAGTGGCCAATGTGTGAGCATATCGCATTTTTTAGCTTGGGACCCACGGCGACCTCACAACCTCAGAAGCCTCTCAAATACTATGCCCCAAGCAGTGGGCGGGTTCTGCCACCCCTTCCAATCCATTGAGGGACAAACGTGTGTTTCGTGAAAGGGGTTTCGGTGCATTTTGATTGGATCACCCAGAGGTCAGCTGACTCCACGGATGGGTCCTCAAAATTACCGCAAGAGCCGTGCTTCTGTTTTGCGTCGGTGTGCCCGCCGGGCGAGCAGCTGCCAGACCTGCTTGGACCCCATGTCTTCTTTAGGCGTTTGCCGGCGACCGTGGGCCGAAGGGCCACCGGGTGTGTGAAACGTCAGCATGCACTGACCACCCTGAAGCAACTGAACGCCTTACAGGGTCAAACTGGAGCTTGCCAACATATGTTAATTGGGTCCATTTGGAAGATTTGGACGCCCTCCGAGCTTTTCCAGGGGCAACCCCCAAAAAGCAAGAAGTCAACAACTAGATCTAGAATAGGAACTCGAACAAGAACGTCGGGCTGCATGGCCCATGCTTGGCTTCAGAAAGAAAGGCGTCCAGGAAGCGCAGGGCGTAACACGCCTTTCACGCGTTTCACGCGGTGCGTCTGACAGACGCCCCGCGTAGTGCAATCACCCCATCAGGTGTTCTGCACGGGGTGCGACCCCAAGAAAATGGAGGTCTCTGGAGGCCACAAGGAGCGATCCTGCATGGAGCAGTTGTACCGATTCCAAGAACCTAGAACGGTGAAGGCTGTGAAGCCAGCAGGAAGACAGTACCAAAAACGTGTACCACAAGAGCTTGTCTGCTTCGGTGATATCTCAGGCTCCAGGATCACTCTCTGGGCGCCTACTCAAACCTCAGCGGCGGAATGTGAGTCCTCCTCTGTCCCTCCCTCCCTCCCCTCCCCTCCCCTCCCCTCCCTTTCCCTCCCCTCTCCTCCCTCCCTCTCCCTCTCCCTCCCCGCTCTCCCGCTCCCGCTCTCTCTCTCTCTCTCCCTCTCTCTCCCTCTCTCTCTCTCTCTCTCTCTCTCTCTCCCTCTCTCTCTCTCTCTCTCTCTTTCTATCCCTCTCTCCTTCTCTCTCTCTCTGTCTCTCTCTCTCCCTATCTATGGATCTATCTGTCTCTCCTTCTCTCTCTCTCCCTATCTATCGATCTATCTGTCTCTCTCTCTTCTATTTTTTGTTTCTCTCTCTCTCTCTCTTCCTTTTTTCCCTCTGCCCCTCTCTCTCTCTCTCTCTCTCTCTCCTCCTTTTTTGCCTCTGCCCCTCTCTCTCTCTCTTTCTCTTCCTTTTTGTTCCTGTGTCCCTCTCTCTCTCTCTCTTTTTCTCTCTTCTTTCTCTATCTCTCTCTCTCTCTCTCTCCCTCTTCTTGCTCCCTCAGGTGCCAGTACTTTGCTGCCACCTAAGAAGGCCCACTACCTGCCAACCCATTCCCCCAAGGCAGGATAAATGGTGCCAACAGGTAGGACATATAGCAACTCCACAGGTTGTGTAACAAAACCTCTTGGGTAAAAAACAAGAGGCTTTGGGTGTAGAGAGAGTCTTGGAGGCTTTGGGCAAACAGCCTTGAGTCTTTACAGTTTGGCCTTCAGCTGCCCAAACTTATCAAAACGCTTTGCAACAAGTGCAGTAGCTGGGCTGCAAGTTCCTGCAAGGAAGGACAGCCCAAAGTTTGCCTTTTGCGGTAGCTCGGGGGTTGCTTCTTTTTCTTCCTAGCCTCGGTTTGTTTTTGCTTGCCCGAAACACACCCGAGACTCAAACAACCACACCCCAAAGCCACCCTAAAGCCACTGCCCAAAAAAAAAAAACCGAGCAGCACACCTAACGCAAATAAACCCAAAGCCAACTCAAACAGATCCGAAACCACCCAAGAACAGCCCCCGAAGCAACCGACCGACCAACCAAACCAAACCAACCACTGACCGGGGTTAGCTGGCCGGGGCTAGTTTTAAACAGCAACATGTGCCTCCTCTTTTTCTTTTTTGTCTGCCTTGCTTTCTGTACTTGTTGTGTGGGCAAGGGGCCCTGCTGCTTTGACACTCAGAAGCCAGAAGGCAAGCAAGGGGTCGGAAACGCGGCCCCCGAGAAAATCGATGTGGGAAAGGCAACTCAATATAAGTTGATGTGGGAAAGGCAACTCAATTTAGGGCCGCCCGATTGGACGGTCTGTAGTCTTGGTGTAGCATCAGGATCAACTCGTCTTAAAGGGAACCCGCTGTCAGGTGCAACTTGTTGTCTTACCGATGCAGAGACACAATAACAAGCCACTCTTCTAAGGGAAACTTCCCCATTCCTTCTTCCCGGATCCTTCTTTTCAGAAAACCATCCAAGCACCAAGGGAAAAGCCTGGTTTTTGAAAAGAAGGGAAGTCATCCCCTAGAACTCTTAGTTAACTATTAGAGGCCATGGGCCATGAACTGTCCATGGCCCGGCTTCGCACTTGATTGGATTTGAGCGCAGGTATCCAGATGTGCCATGGGTCCAATTCCTTCATTTCAGTGCCTATGGTTCCTGTAGCAACCCTTGCAATTGTCAGGATGGATCGCCGCCCGCCGAGCAGCAATCTGATTGTCCCGCGCTCGCCATGCTTCTCGCTCAGCTGGAAGACTGGTGAGAGATCTGAGGCGAACGTTTGGGCGAAACTCGGCGGATCGGCTCGACAGGGACCCTCCGCGCTCCAGAATGGATGCTTAGATCCTAATTGCATGGACCCATGGGGAGGAAAAAAAAAAGCACTGGCGGAGGGACCCGATCAATTGGTAACCCAAGGGAAGAGAAGGGATTGCTGCCAGAAGCCGGAAGGGAAGGGGAACTCCAAGCCACCACTCAGCCGTACCGCGACCCCATGCCCAACCAAATTTGCGGTTCCAGCAAAGCCCTGCCTGCGCACCACACAACGGCTGTGGATGAGAAAAAGCAGTAACCAAGTCTGATTATCCGTTGTTGATCACGTTTGCTTCTGCACATCCAACCCAGTCCGCCAAGCCAATCCCAGCCAGCAATGACAGGCGGTAGCATCACAATGCTGACCCATGCTGAACTGATAGCCCTGCGTTTTCATGAACCTCAAGCGTATCCTAAGCAAGCAATGCAGCCTTCCCCATATTGCAACAGCCTCAGGTAGCACACGGCATTGCAGCTTGCAATCATCCAGGGGAACGCCTGTCGTGCTGTCGTGCTGTTGTGGCGCCGCGCAGGCAAAACGACACAGCCCCAACAAGTGGGCGCCAAGGCACCTCCATTGAAAAACTGTGAAGCTCCTTTGAGCGCGGCTTGTTAAGCCATGGGCCAAGAAGAAGTACCCCTAGACCCTCTTTCCATGCTTCTCCCCATCCGTAAAGCGCCCCATAGACATTGGAGACTTCTGAAACCCCCGCTGCTCCGCTCGGAGACTCCGACGTCGGAGGACTGGGCGCCCGGACTGGCATCGGCCGAGGACCTGAATTCCGGGGGCCTGAGGGCAAGTGGATGGCGCGAGGTAAAACTGCACCCGAGAGGGCCTGGGACGAAACATCCACGAGGGCAAAGAGCGGCGTGAGACGTCCAAGGAGACTGACTTGCCAACCCCTGAAAGTCGAAAAGACTTGCCCAGGGCCCTCTTTTTGCCCGCAAGAGGACCAGGACAGGACACCACTTGTGGCATCCCGGGGATTCGACTGCTGACATGTTCCATATGTTTTGCTTCTTGGAGACCCAACAAAAAAGGCCCCAGCTAAAGGTAACTGGTCAACTCACCCAATGGGTGCATAGCCTAAATGGATTGACTCTGGACCATAGTGAGCTTAGTGAGCCTCTCGGTGAAGTCGCAATTCAACTTAAAAGTGCTGCTCCGATCCGTCATGTTGACCCCAGATTCATCAACCCCAGTTTGTTAATACGAGGGTGTTTGCCTCCAAAAGTGGTCTGAATCCCCACTACACCCAGGGACACCACCTTTTTCATGAACTGGGCATAGGTGTCCCTTTTGGGAAAACAGATGGCCCTGGTAGTTGATTGAACCACCAGGAAAACCAGGGCCCTCCATTAACCAAAAAGAACGCCTATGAAACTGGGGTTTCTTCCTCCGGGGTCAGTACTTAGTCAAGGCGCTTCTCCCGGACTGCGTGTTCGACATGCGTCTCATCGGCCCGGCGTAGTGCTCCTCCTCAGTGCCAAGTGGTTGCTGTGAAGGTGGGCAACATACCAGAGAAAAAGAAGAAGAAAAACAAGAAACAAAAACGCAAACCTAACCAAGCAAACAACGAACAAACACTGTGCTACATCTCAAAGGAAAGCAGCTCATATGCTTTTTAGACCTGTCTTACACACACATTGTCCACCAACAACTGTTGAAAAAAGAACGCGTCGCTTAAAATACTCTGGCAAGGTAAAGGTAGATGGCACGAACCTCTTTCTGATAGTACCTGGGTTGATGCTTTAGCTAAATGGGGACAAGCATGCCATACATACACATACCTAGATCTTCTTTGAGAACAATTTCCCAACATTTTCCTTAAAAAGCAAAAAAAAACGCGCATTGTTGGAAAACACGCTCATTTACCCAAAAAACACACATTTCGGTTCGACCAGCCATGTTCAAAACAAGTTGGTTTTGGGCTTTCCGCCGATTTCCGCGCATTTTCCGCCGATTTCCGCGCATTTTCCGCCGATTTCCGCGCATTTTCCGCCGATTTCCGCGCATTTCTGGTGGCCAAATTTGCAGGATTTGCCACAAAATGGGTGCGGAACATGAAATTTGCAGTTTCCGCGTAGATTTCGGAAATTCCGCTCAATTGGCAAAATGAGCAAAAATAACGTAATGAGCAAAAAAATGTTCCTTTTTGAGGGTCCAGGTATACATATACATGCATTGTTTGTTGCCGAACTATTCCCACCCTGGAAAAGGAATATCATTCGCTTCACCCGCACAAGGAAACCTCGAAAGCAATTGCAACAAACCCCGGTGCCAAGAAGATTGCAGCCGTGAAGGCACGGCCCCCGCAGCTGGAGTTCTACAAGCTCAGCCCTGAAAGCCTTACTAAGTGATGAGCTTCTGAAACCAATCCGTATGATGCTATTTGAGTCATAGCCTAGAGGAACGCGGCCATGGACAATTCACCAAGTTGGTCAAAGCCCCCTGGGTTTTGGTAGGCCGACTTCCTGTCGCAAAAAAAGGGGCTCCCCCCAAGAAAATATGACTGAGATGTGCAATCCCAAGGGCGGCGATGGTGCGCACGGTGTCCCGCAGAAGCTCCATCATCTCCTCCTTTAAGGGCCCTTCCATGCGCTCCTGCGACTCCTTCCAGGCTTCTTTTTTCGCGGGAGGCGCTTGCCCAATGTCCACACGAGAGACGCGACGTTAGCTTCGGCAGTGGTCAACAACACCTCCATGCAACCAAACAGGCTTCTCAGGGTGCTCCTCCCAGCCTCCCAGTGACTGCGAGCGAATCCTTGTAAGGATCTAGGCCGATCTACATCTTCACCTTTTGTCGCCTTCAAGTACGCTTGTCTTGCCTAAAGTTTCTGAAGTTGCATCTGCGAAGTGCATGACTTCACTTTGGCCAGCTAGCTTTAGATACCCTCCCACCAATTAGCATGAAACCTGACATTCGGGGGGTCCTGGTTGGGGCCATTGTCCTTCTCAAGGGGCCGGGTCCCTGTCAGGTTTCATGTCATTTGGTGGGACCATTCTCCCCCATTGGCTTAAGTCCCCTGGAAAGAATATTGATTTATTTGTTTAAACATATTTCCAGTAGTGATAGATTCCCTTTAAAACCAACAGGGGAAAATAACACAGATTCGTAACCAGACGGAAGTTCTAGTTGCACAGCCACCCTCCGCTCGGTGCCCCTCCCACACTTTTTCGCCCAGTCCCCGTCGCGGGACACCGATCTGGTAAATCTCCTGGGCTAGCGGAGCATGAGTGGCATCCCATGGAACCCATCCAAAAGGGATCCATCCCTTGCTTTTAGGACACCCCGCACCGGCAAAAGCAATGAATCGGTCCAAATTGGATACAGCTCAAGACAATGCACTGACAGCTCTGTTTTTCGTGGCATCCAAGAAGGAGTTTTAGCATATCCTGCCCAAAAACGCACTGCTCACCCACGCGGTCGGCCCGTTTTTGACTCGTCCCTGGTGTTTTTTCTTGGGTCTGTAGGGGAAGCCTTGGGGATACGCTCGATGCATCTGGATGCTGATGCATGTCAACCCGTATTCCTAGCATGACGGGCTAGTCAATCCAATGCAAAAAAAAAAATCGGCGGATTTCAGCCATGCCTTTTGCAACAAGCAGAAAAGACCCCTGCTTGCTGTAAGCCAGCTCCCCTGCAAGGAGCTGGCATTCAAATTGCAAACCCTACGGGCCCTTGATCGCATTGGAAGGCCTCGGAACAAGTGATTGCTCCAAAGGCAAGCATGGCAGAAAGGGGGCAGGGAAAACATCGAGTCGAACCCCGACTTGTTTGCCTTCAGGGCCGGCCGCACGCAAAAAGCGGCGGTTCCAGTAGCTTGAGTAGCTTGCAGGGCCTGCAAGAGCAGGCGCAAAGACGCCCTTGCCAGAAAGCCAAGCGTCGGTTCACTGTGGCGTGGCGAAGTTGTACTCATGCCACTCTCCCTGAAGTGCACGCTGTTGGACCTGACGGCGAATCGCCATGAAACCAAAGCTTCACCGCTTGCCGCTTGCCAGTCATGAGCGACTGGGACAAACAAAATCGCCTTTTTGCCTGAACCCAATGACGGGTTCACCCCTTGCACTTGCAAACCCGGTATGTGCAAAAAACTCGTGGGGACTGGAAGCTGATATGGTCATGGGTCAAAACCCCGTACCCCCAGTGAACATCCCAATCCAACCACTAAAAAAGGTTCCAAAATGGGTGGTGAATTCGCCTATCCCAAAATGGTACCGTTGGCTTTGAACCACTGCCATATCCGCGCACCGATTTCTGCTCCAAAACCGATTTCATCTCTCTGAGCCCCCTGCCGCAGGAGGGAGGCCGCAGCCTGGTGTGGGCTTCCAGCCCTCTGAACCCGCAGTAGCTTGCGGATTTGGAGGGAACCAGTGGGGGGGGGGAGGGAGCCACCCCTGGGGGCTGGAGGGGAGGGAGGGGAGGGGGGTTCATCCCAAGGATGGCTGTCCGGACCAAACTTGCGCAGTGGAATGAAGAAGGAGAAAAAAAAGAAGGGCACCGATGGGTGTCGCGCAAAGCTTCGAAGAAAGCAAACCGTTGTTTTGCCCGGGCATCCTTTCGGCTGCAGCCCTGAGTCATGTTACTTGCATGCCATTTTTCCATCCTTAGGGCAAAAGCCTGCGACATTCTTGGAATATTTACACGAACGTTCAAGACCTTTAACGGCGCGGCGAAAAGCGCCGCAGGTCAAACATGCATGTCAGGATAGCAGCAAACGCAAGGATGTGAACATCCCGGATGATACTGGCGACGATTGGCGCTATCCGATTATTGGCACCAGCGAAATCCTCCACAAACTCTCAAGGACAACCCTCTTCCACCCAAGGGCAAGCTCCTCCGAATCCTTGGCAACAGTTCGCACCTGGGCATCCTTGATTTTTGTCCCCAGAGTTGCCTCAGATTGAGATCAAATTTGGGCCTGGAATCGTCTGAAATGGCTCACCAGCTTGGAACACCCCACGTCGCAGCTTGGGCAATGGAAACAACTCCTGCGGAGTTGTAACACCGATGATAGGGCCGAACATAACCAGACACGCGCCGCGCAGGCCAGAAATTTGGAGTGCTCGAAGTGCAAATGATGGAATCGCCAAAAACACCATTTAAAAGCGTTCCTCTATGTGGCCATGGGTCATAACCTATGGCTCGATTTTGGGGCGGATGAACACCCATGTGCCACCTCTTTTGATGTTCACGGGTAGAGGGTTTTGACCCGCAGCCATGTGTTTTGTTGAAGGGAGTGCTCTGTTTGGGCTTCAATGCTCAGAGTGGTCAACCCTCTTGCTCCGGGACCCCGCCTGCTGTGACGAGACCGACTTTGCAACTTTCTCTGCCGCGAACTCGATGTCCATCTTCTCCTGCCCAGCGCGGGCTCGCTATTGGGACCGTCAAAAGTAAAACCTCAAACACCTCATGAGCTGCAAGTCATCATGAAGCGCTCCACAGCCACTTTCAATGCCATGTGCGCCATACTAAGCACTCAACCCCAACCCCCACCAGTAATTCGGCGACGCATGCTCCAGTGACTTTTCCGAGTTAGAATCTGCTTGGCACACAAGTCGAACATGAGGTGGGGGGCGAGTTCAGAGAATGCCTTCAACCCGGCTAAACGCACTCCAAAAGGCATCTTGCATTTGAACTGGTTTCAAACAAGTCGCGCAACCTTAACCCCGGAAAAATAGTGGGAATTCATCACTTTCGGAGGGAACGCCCCCCCCTAATCATGGGACGGGTTTATTGGTTTATTCATCCCCTTGAGCGCCAACTCCATCGGTCCTCGAACTCCTGTCTGCTGACGTGCCCCGTGTTGTCCGCGTCCATCTCGGCCCAGAGGATCATCCGGTCCGCGTCATTGACCTCGGGGCAAAAAAGAACGCGCCGAGGCCGAGGTGGCCGAGGTGGCGCCTGGCCTCCTGTGAGCTCCTGGCCCAAAGGATCTCGTTTTTTTTTTTACCTTTTGGGGCCATGACTTCAATGGGAACCCACTGGGAAAACCAAAAGGTTGAAAGGTCGGAAAGCCGCTTTGCTTTTCATGTTCGCATGCCAAGGACTGGTGGAAAAACCTGCTGCCGAATCCAACAGATCAGCCAAGGACCCCTGGTGGAAAAACCCACCAAATCCAACAGACCTGCTAGAACAGGTGGAAGAAAAAATAAGACAAAAAAAAAAACACCTACCAAAATCCAACAGATTAGATCTGCCCTTGGCGTCTTCCGTTCCCGTTGGTTCCTCTCAATTGCCAGGCCGCCCCGAGGAACTTCAGGACCCACTCGAAGGACTTGGCCTTCAAGAGGGGCTCCTCCGACCCAATCCTCGCCAAGATCGCCGCAAACCCGCCAGGGGGGCGGCCAGGGGGGGGGGAGATGGAAACACACACGACTTGGTACCATCCCAGTGTGTGAAACCAGGGCGTCAAAGGCAAAACACAGTGTTTGATATGTCTCATTCATAAGCAAGATGAATGAACAAGCAAACAAACAAATAGATATTCAAAGGATAGAAAAGGCCGACCAATCTGTTACAAGTGAGCATGCTAGAGCATACAGCACTGCCCCTTGAAGCCTTGAGAATGTCGTAGCATTGTGAATCCTGAAGGCGAAGTCTTGATGCAAGATCCCTCGAGGGATCAAACCCGGGCTGGATTAAAAGCGCCAGTCCGCGTTGCCTGCGCCAAGGCGTCTCTTGGCCTAACCGCCGTGCCATCGCCGGTGCTATGGCAATTCAATAAATATGCCTTGGGGCTTGCAAAAGGAGGGGAGCAAAGCCGCAAAGCATGCAGCCGGAGCTTGCACTGCGGTCACATCATTCAAAGGGTTTGGCTACAGGAAAATCTACAGGACATTGCCCAACACATCCTAAATAAGCAATTTTCCGGTAGAATTTCCGGTAACCCAATCCTTTGAATCATTGCTTCTAGGCTAAACTGATTGAGTTCACGATGGTCCAGCCCTGCTGCATCCTCTTCTAGAATCACTGGACTCAGTGGCCCAGCCGCACCGCCTTGCGTCCGAACCCAATCAGAACAGTCGCTGGGGCATAGGTTTTTTGAGAAAAATCGATGGGTGTCCCTGGGAAATGGAACCCCATCTAAAACACGGCCCTGTACTCTTTCAGCAAACCAAAAAGGACACCTATACCTTGCCAAGCTTCGGGTCGCCATCGCCCTGCTCACAGAACCAGTCGAAGGCTTCGTCCGTGGTGGCCAAAGGCACTTTCCTCAGCGCAAATGAAATCCTCCATGGTCCAATGTTGACCCCGGGTTAATAAACCCCTGTTTATCAATATGGGGGTGTCCCTGGTTTTAGTGGGGATTTATCACTTTTGGAGGTAAAAAACAGTATTTATCAACAGGGGTTTATTCATCCGGAAAAGAGCCAGAGCGTGCCTTTCAGCCCGCGAAGAATTAAACCCTCTTGGAACCCCTCGAGCCTCCCCCAAAGGCTAAAAACCCCAGCCCTGCAGTCATTGCCTTACCGGGTTGTGGGATCACTCGGGGTTGAATTATCCCCACTTCTGTGATACGTTTGTTGGAATCTACAACCCTTTATATGGGGGGAATGTCTTTGGGAATATCTATGGGGGGAATCTCCCCCGAAAAATATGGGGGGGTTGGGAAGCCTTTTTTGTTGTATCACAGATTCGTGGATTCCGTTTCCCGCTGCCAGCCCTGTCTTACAAAGGCCAGTTCTGGAGTCACAGGTTTCTCAGGCTGAGAAAAAATGCCCAGGCGAATCTATTGGACCGCAAGGGATTTCTTTCAAGGGCTACGTGGAGCATGTGTGTTTGCAGGCTGGTGGCAGAAGACCTTTAACGGGCTCCTGTCCAGCGCCATCAAGGGTCAAGCTGAGGACCTCACATGTCCCAAGCTATGTTTCCACCTAGCCATGGCCTGAAGCATGGAAAAAGGGGAAAGACATACTCCAAGAGCAAGCTATTTGAGCCACCTGTCTCTCGGTGCGCCCTATTTCAGACCCACAAAACACCCAGCCGCAAGCCAGGGATGTTGGTCGAAGCTTCAGCCACGTGACAGATCGGAACCCGCCAAGCCAACCATTGAACACAGGCAAACACTCACCACTTGCCTCGAATGTTCTTAAAGAAAGGCGTGCTTGCCTCACATGAAATCTCGCTTGGCCTCTGGAAGCCATGACTCTGGGAACACTTGCGGCCCACCAAAAGCCGAGAATGCAAATTCACGTTGATCTCATGTCCAAACGGCGCCACCTCCCTCCCTCCATGGGCTAGTCATAAAAAAGAATCCGGACCTCTCCCTGATCTTCCCAAACCTCCCGACAACCACAACAAACTAAAAAGTCAGAAGCGGCAGTAAAAGGCCCCCCTCCCCTCCCCCCCCCCAAAAAAAAAAAAAAAAGCATCGCGCAGCCAAGGGGCCGCAGTAAGCGCACGGCCACATTGGACCAGGTGGTGGAAGGCCTCGGACCCGAGGAAAAATTAACCGTTGGTCGAGGCGCCAGTTGCTGCGGGATTCCCTGCATACCCCGAACAAACCAGAAGGAACACTCACCTCACCCGGGGCAAACGTCAGTTTCAAAACCCCCAGTTCTGCGCCAGATGGAGAAATCACCGCTAGCCCCCGTAGAAGGGGATCAAAACAATTCCTCTCACCGCCGTTGGGCTCTTTGGTCCTTTCCAAGCCTTGGGAAAGAGAAAAAGACAGCAGAAATGCGTGGGATGATCGCAAAGCTCTGGCAAAGTTCTCGCAACTCCGGCAAACAACAACCTCACGTCGCCCTTTTGCTCGGGAGATTTGAAGCCTGGCTCCCAAGAAAGACCCACCTCCACTCAACCAGAGCAAAAGAATCTCAAGCTCAACGCATCCCAAGCAGGTGGTGCCCCAACCTGGTTGCACAGAGTTGCTCTGCAAAAAATCAAAAAAAAACAACCTTGAACAAAAACACAACAACGGTGCATTCCACGGGAAAAGACGGTGTTTATGTCCCCTCACTTCCCATCTACAGATCCAAGCATCACCAGCCATCCACCCCACCCGAGGCTCGGATCCTATGGTTTGAGGCCGTGAGGCCCTGAGACCTCCAAGGCCCCGGGCTCCAGTTTGAAGACCCGCACCATGGACTGCACCAAAGTGGTAAAGGCCTGGCCGCCGGCACGCCGGACCGGGGAGGCCCGGAAGTCACGGAGAAGCCGGAAGGTGGGTTTTGTTGCTGGGCTGCCCGTGTTCGGATTTTCCGCTAAACGTGACGAACTGTTGGTGGGTTAGATGGAAATACAACCACTAAACACTACAAGGCTAAGAAGCTAAGGAACCGGATGGCTGGGAACCACCAAGGTAAATGTGGGAACTGCCAAAAGGCGACTCTTAGGAAAACCTGAAGTTCCTCAAGGAAAGTTGGTTATGCAAGGGGAGCTCAACGTGTCTGCGAAACCCAGGCTGGCCGTCCGCTTGATGGAACCAATGGAATTCCATCCCCTTCCCCAATTCCAACACTGGGGCTTGTTGGAAATAGGGGAGCCCGGAATTGCACGGCATTGTTGTGCACCCCTTCAGCACTTCTGTCGGTGCCAAGTACCGGCAACTGGACTAGCATATGGCATCGTCAAAAGCTGGATGAACTTATTGAAACCCTAGAAATAGCGGGAGATATTGGGATAACCCAACTAGCAACTGGAAGATTTTCTGAATCCACAAATCCCTAAGGAAGCCATCACGATGCCTCTGGATGCTGATCACGCAGCAGCTCCACCGTCTGGTAGGGCAACACCTGGTGCAGCATTTTGTGGCCCGAAGCGCCAGCACTCGAGCTTGAAACGGTTGGTCTTCTCATGTTCCAAACGAAACCCTCAAAAAGATCCTGAGATGGTCCAACAAAACGCAAGACCCAGTTTTGGCAATTCCAGCGTACCGCAGTATATGCAAACGTGCGTGCAAGATCCTCAAAGCGTTCTTTTGCGTGCAAAGGTGAACACGGAAAGCCTGACTGGCCCTGTGGTTCCTCCCGTGTTGAATTTCAGCCCCTGGCATGTTGGCAACGGTTCCTTGCGGCTGCAAAGGATCCCAGTGGTGCCTCAAAATTGAATTAGATACCCCATCAAGCCCTGAAAGTTCAACAAAGACACCCAGGCCAATTTCGAAACCTTGTTTCGTCCAGTGCCAGATTATCCTGCTGCACTTGCGGCTTGGAACTAGCAACTTTTGGAACATATGCTTCGATCAAACCCGTGCGGTCTGTGACCATGCACCCGCAAATGGACGCGTAAAACAGCCTGCGGACTTCATTTCGCTACAATTCGCCGGATCTGGCCATGGGTCAAAATCGCGTACCCCCAGTGAACATCCCACTCCCCACAAAAAATGGTCTAAAAAATGGATGCTGAATTCACGACCAAAATGGAATACCAAAACGGCCTTGACAACCACAGCCCCTTCGCTGCCAAGCGCGCCGAATCGATCCATCCGACGTCTCCATTTCCGGGGCGCCGAAAGCACGCAGTAGGTCTTGGCCATAATCCAGGCGGCCCGGGGCCGAGCAGTGAGCATCCCCAGCTCTCCGAAGTACTTCCCGGCAGTGTACTCCTAAGGCTTCCACCCATGGCCCTTTTGCCCTGGTAAGTGGGTGGCCTTTTGGAAAAATTCATGGGTTTTCCTGGTAAGTGGAAGAAAACCCATCTAAACCAGTGGGTTGCCCATCTATGTTTAACCAAACTCACCTAAAAAGGACACCTATGGTTCCACCATTCTCCCATGTGAGGCCTTGCAAATCTCGGTTGCTTTCTGCTCCCCCGCGGAAAAGTTTAACTTTTGGTGGTTGAAAGGAAACCCATTAGTTGGCAAACAATTAAAGTCCTAACATCCCCTTGGCAAAATGCAACAAAGAAATTGGGCCCCAAATGGCCAACGCGTGCGCCTTTAGGAAATTGCCGAGCCTCGGCAGCTCTAAACAACTGCGGTTGCCCTCTTTCTACTTCTAGTCCTTGGGACTAGTTTGGGCCGCTGTCGGGATGGCCACATCACGATTTCTAGGGAATGAGGGTTTGTGAGAGTTCTCGTCTCCTAATTACTAGCACGACCAGCTTGCCAGATTTGAACTCAACCATCCTATGTCAGCTGGGTGCTTGAAAACCCAAGCTGGCAGCTTAACTTTGGCTAGCCCTCAACGAACCAAAAGCTTGGACCGCCCACGCTGTCAAAACTCCCAGGCATCCTTCCATTTGGCTAAGACCCCTGGATTTCTTCTTTGTTAAATATATGTTAAATATATATATATATATAAATAATAAAACAAATCCGCTAATAATATTTTCCTTTCAAAACCAACAAGGGGGAAACCCACAAATAATAATAATAATAATGATAAAAACATATTCATTTCAGCCACTGGAAGCATCAAAAACATCTGCCAAGAGGCCGCCACTTCACTGGACTCGCCCCACACCGGCGGGCACTCAGGGCCGCTGGGGTAGACGCCTCAGACCGCCAAACTCTTTGCCCGCAGGCCGCCAAAAGAAGAAGCATCCGGATTGACCGGACGTGTTGGGGGGGCCGTTTTCCCGTTGGACATGAAGGAGGCACCGACAAAAATGAATGGAGCTTTGGGGTTGGAACCATCCCGATCATCCCGATCCGGTTTAGGGCCCAACAATGGAAAATCCTCCGGTTTAGTCCTTGCCCAAAAATGAATGGGTTCTTTCTTTCTTTCTTTATTTCTTTTTTTTTTTTTGGGGGGGGGGGGGGGGGCGATTTTTCCCGTGGCACCGAAAAAATGAATGGAGCTTTGGGGTTGTGCGGGAGCCAACTAACTCAAACCACCAAAAGAAGAAGAAACAGCCGGATTGACCAGTCGCCCAGCTCAGTTGCCCAGTTCGGACCCAGAAATACAAGGTTAACCTTTCTCGCCATGACATGACTAAAAATGGATCAACATCGGAAAACCAAAAGGTCAGCTTTGGGCAACTGAGCCAGTGAGTCGTGCCAATGCAAACTAACATGCCCCCCCCTTTGGGTTGATCATCTTTGAAGGGGAGGCTGTGGAGCAAAGGCTTCGGAGGGTAGCCTAACCTGATCTGGAGAATGCCTCAGTTGTTCAGTGACCCTTTTTGGGGAGACACGGATGGTCTTCCCCAAAAGATGAAAAAAGACTTGCTGGCTACAAATGTAGGGAACCGAAGGCTGTGGCTCATATACTCAGTTGTTCAGTGACCCTGGAGAAAAGCGGTGACTGGACTGCATGTGGAACTCAGCTGAGATGGGTGTGGGTCAAAATTAAAACAACAGGAATTGGACCGCAGGCTTTGGTCCATGTTGCCACTTACCAGGGCAGGCCATTTTGGGGTTACCCTATTTTTGACCCACAGCCATGTCTGCCTTCAGACGCAAGAGTAGACCCTGCAGGCTGCCAGGCTGTGGCTCAAAAAACCGGTACCAAAATGGAACCCTGACAAGTGGAAACATGGACCAACACCTGCGTGAGCCACCCCCACCAAAGGTAAAAAACCATCCCCTTTGGGCCGAATCCGGGGAATCCATGGGAGAGCTTGTTTTTGAGATGGGTGGCAGCTTGAGAACCAAAAGACGCGGCTAGCTCAAGTTCTGCAACCTTATCATGCACAGGGAATCCAGCAAAGGGAATCCTCAGGTGCATGTGTGTGTGTGTGGGTGTGTGTGTGTGTTTTGGGTGCGCATTTGTGTTCTAGAGTAGGTTATCCTCGATGCCGCTTTCTTGAGGATTTGTTTCATTTGTGTAGCGCCGAGGCTGTTCTGCAGCAAGCAAACAGCAAATTGCCACTTCTCAGCTTCCTCCTACTTTGAATCGGCGGGATCCCCACAAAAAAACGCGTCACCCGGACAAAAGGTCCCCTTTTCTCCCAGCGTTGTGCAACTGGGTACACGTATGTGTATATATATATATGTATATATATATATATATATTCTTTTAATACGAATAAATAGAAAAACGGATCAATACGTACGATTACATTGTGTATTATGTGTATTCTTTATGCACATATATATATATACACTACCAATACATCTGCACTGGGCACCTAAGGCACATCCTCGGATGGCCGTGACTTTAAGTGCACACATTGCACCTGCGGGGAATGGGCCTCTCAGCTCCGTTGTACTTGGCCAAACAAAGGTCAAAACGCACAGCCACACCCAAACTCTCGGGGTTGTGTAGCAAAACTCCTGCCCAAAGCCCAAACGGACCTGAAGTTCACCTGAGTCACTGGCTCATGAGTCACTGGCTCAAAACCCGGTATTAAAATGGCCGTAATCCCAGAACCATGTAAAGAATTTTAGAAGGCGGAATTCGGCAGCTATTTCTGGTTGGGATTGTCCCTTGCTAACCTTTATTTACCCGGGTTTTGAGAACGTGGCTCACCTTGGAGCGTTCACCAAAAGAGAAGTTCGACACTGGAGAACCAAAATGGTCAAAAGGTCAGCTTGGATTTTTCCAGCGGCAAAGGGCTCTATAACACAAGTCGGAGCCTAACCGAGCGGACCGAGCGAACCGAAAACCGCGCCTGCGATGCCTCGGCGCATGAAGAAGAGCTCCCGGCCTGTATCTCCTTGGCAGATAACAAATACATAAATCGGTGTCTCCGAATTTGGGAAAACCAATGGGAAGCTCTAAGAGTTTTCCGTCCCAGATCATGTGTTGAAATATATTTAAGAACCGTTGAGCCAATAAACCCTGAGAAATGTCCGTCCCAGATAACTCGTTGACATCAAGTTGGGAATGGCTACTCCTGGATGAGTATGAAATAATTGTCTGAAACAATCAGCCTTCCAGCCCCGCAGCTTGCGCCCAAGAAGCCGCTGCAAACAATGAAGTCTGCGGGCAGGTAGATGAGGTCCGACAAAGAGCTCACCATCATCGAGATCACCTGGGCATACCACGCATAACGCTGACCGTTGTTCGTGGGGGGCTTTGCCGAAACCAAAGGGGGGCGCAAGAGTGCAACTGAACAGGGGAATAGGCCCCAAAAAGGTCAATGTTCCACTAGAAACACTCCGAATTCTGGTTGCTGCTTGGAATTGGCTTGGATTTCGGCAGAACCCACTCCGCGATTTGGGTGCCAAAGGGGGGCAGGACTCGATCCCTGTTCCTCTTCCTAAGCTGTCCTCACCAAGCCACGTGCTTCTTCTGCTCCCGGAGGAACGGCGCCTTGAGGATCAGCTTGCGATAAGCCGCCAGCCGGAGCTCCTGACAGCTCGATGGCACCGAGTTCATGGCCCTGCAGAATCCCAACGCTTGGATGCTGGGGACCCGCCATCTTCCGACTCCGACCCACCTTTTTTGTCCTTTTGGTCAGGCTTCCCAACAGCCGACCAGTGGACACAAATGCAAGCAAAGGCAATGCAACAGTGCCGGCTACCTCCCAACCAAAGAAATAAGCAAACTGGTTTAAAACCTTCCAGAACTTCATTGCGCAAAAAAAACACAACTTTGGCAAAATCGATTCTAATCTCATTGATTGCATGTTTTTGAGCCACTCCCGGGCATGTTCACACGGCCATAGTGCTTGCGCTTCTTTGCGACCGCTGAAATGAGCTGACTTGGCGTTGGACCCTCCCATCTCACCTTTTCAGTAGTTCTCCTACTTTTAGCCCCAGCACTGCCAACATCAATCCGGACGCTCTTTGCGGTCTATGGGTCCTTCTCCGGCTGGTGGGGTCCTCCAAACGTCAGCCCCCGGTGGACAAATTTTTCCCACCCCGCCTGCATCAACGGCGCGGAGAGGCCGTGGAAGGCCGGCTGATCCAAGTCCTCCTCTCGGTGCACGTGCTGCACAAAGCTCTGGTAGGCCAAGACCTGAGCTCGACATGCTTCATCAAACGGGGCCAAGCTCCGGGGCGACGAATCTTCCAAGGAACCACAGAGAAAGGGTCCTTCCTGATGTTGCTCTTGAAGCCTCAAATGAAAACCAACCCAAGGCCGATTTTTTTTCGGGGTCCCGCAAGATCAAGGCTCTAGATTCGCCGCAAAAAATGTCAACAGACATCACTGCCTGGAGCAATTGTGCCTTTGAGAATCATGGCCGCGCCTGGAAATTGCGGCCGAACTGGGAACAAACTTGCTTTCCTGAAACGCAAAACAAACGGCAGCTGTTTCGGGTACCAGGTAGCACCCCCGAGCCACAAGTCCCACACACAAGCACTGGCCAACCCTTGTTATTTGCGGAAAATTGGGCGGTTCCCCCTTTCCCTTCCAAAGGCAAGATCCGAACAGGGTACCCTCAAAAACGAGTACCCCGGCATTTAAAGAGGGGTTTCCCTTGTATCACAGAAGTGGGGATAAACGGACAAACCCCTTGATCCCACAACCACCCTGATCAAAAACAATCACAACACACACACACACACATCACCCCCCATCCCCCCCCGGCGCTCCGCTGGGGCCCCGGCTCGCTCAGTGAGGTCTTTGGGCACCTGGCTCTCCAGGCGCCAAGGGAAATAGGAAGACCCAGAAGTGGCTTTTGGCCCCAGGAAAAAATATTCAAAAAGAAAAGGTCCTGGAGCTACTGGAGTCCGTTGTTTTCCAAGGTCACCCAGATCTTGGGTGAAGGGAAAAGGATAAACAACCTAGTCTTCCATTTCCTTCTTCGCAACCTGGAAAAAATGTCCAACAGTGATAGATCCCCTTTGAAACCAACAGGGCAAAACAACAACAAAAACTTAAGCAAATGGAAGTTTTCGGCGGGGTGGGAGCTGGGGTCCCTTGCCTGGTTGAGAGCAAACCCCAAAAAAATCCAACCCTTTCGAGCAGGGCTGCCTGGCTAAGTGCAAGCTCCGCGCAGGAGAGAAAAAAACGACTGGGCGTTTCCTCAGTCAACTCGGCGTGAGAACACATTCGAAGGACACACGCTGGCAGAAATAAGCACACCACCGAGGATTACGCAATGCAGCAGGAAAACACACACACACACACTAGTCACTACAAACGCCGCACTGCAAATGTATGTGTGTCTCTACTTTCACCCAGAATCGAACCGTGGCAGCCATAAAAAGTGTTGGGATGGCACACATCCACGGGGCTTGACCTCCAAAGACCATCTTGCTTGAGTATTCACACCACATTCTTTGCAGACATAGGTGTCCTTTCTAGGAGGAAAACCGGTCGCTTTCCTCTTGGCTCTCCTGTTTAAACGGACAAACGGAATAGCATCAAAAAAGGACACACCCATTGATGTGCGGAAGTACGGGGGATGATGAAGCCATCCAGGAAATTCCGTTTCCGCTTCGGCCCGTTTCGCGCCCGTTTCGCCTGCAGGTGCTTCAGTGCCACAGAGGTCTGCGCCTTCTGCGACTGATTCCTCAGCGGTGCGGCCCGAGGAGTTCTTCTAGGAGGGACCTTTAGAGGCGAAGTGCAGGACTTAATCCACCACTAGGTCCTCCAGATTTGAGAGGTTAGAATAGGATAAGGCTGCATGAGGGTGCATCAGGTTGCAAAGTGGCCTGCCCTACTGTGGATGGTTGCGAAATCCATTTCGCACCACCTAAGAAACCCTGGAATGGTCTGATCCCCCCTGTAAACACCAACCAACACCGGTTTCCCAGCGTTTCAAAGTGGTGCAAGATTGCGTCCATCCACATAGGTCCTCCAGTAGAGAGGTTAGAATAAGGGTACCGTTTCTTTTTCTGTAGTCTATTTTTGTAGGGGAACCCTCCCCAAAAAAGAAACGGTAAAAGGGGGGACCTAAACCACTTTGCGAGCTGCAACTTGGATAAACGTGTCGAATAACTTCATAGCTGACCTGATCCGATTTTCTGATGGGTAGATTTCTATTCGAGCACAAACCCAAGGAACTCGCCTTAGCCTGGCCCAAGATGTGGCCATGGGGCAAAACCCGTTACCCCCAGTGAACATCCCAATCCCCATTGAAATAGACTAAAATGGGTGGCCCCCAAAATGGTACCATTGGTTTTGACCCACAGCCATGTCGCAAACTATAAGAGCGGCAACACTCAGCACTGGCAGATCCTTTTCGGTTGCGTCCCAGGCGCTTCGTCTCCTCGAGGTTGTGCAAGGACGTCAGCCACGTGACGTCCGCACAAACCTCGCGACTGCACGCGTTGGCCGGGCTGCACCCTACTTGGTTGACGTTGGAAGGGGAGCAAACAAAATCTTGTTTAGCAGTTAGGTGCTTGGATTTCAACCACTAAACCACAAGAAGCAAAAATGCAAAATGCTTCCCAACAACAATCATGCCTGGGGCCCCATGACTAGATCTGCACTGGGCACTGGTCACTAACCTGGATAAATTTCTTACCCCAGCTGAGCTCAAAGGTAGGCAAACAAAAAACCAACTTGGGCATACTTAATGTTAACCCCGGATTACTAAACCCCTGGTTGATTCATAGTTTAGTGGGGAATCAGACCACTTTTGGAGGGAGCACCCCTAATAAGGGGACGGGTTTATTCACCCTGGGTCAACATTTCTCATGGTTTTAAGACACGAAAACGACCTCTTCACCCCCTACCCCCTACCGCCAAGTCATCTGACCCACCCTTTCACGCGCAAATCTGTTGCCCGCCTTCGCCACGAAGAGCTGCCCCAAGATGAGGAGAATGGAGTTGATCGCTCTTTCCGCTGGAGACAGCAGCACGTCGCCTCGGCGGTTTTGCCGGATTTGGGGAGGTTGGCCAAGGCGCAGCCGGCAAAAAGCTCATCGCCAAAGGACACAAACACAAACATGGGGGGTCAAGAAAGGCGTTTGAGACACTGGGATGACTTTGTGTTACCCTTGCCCTTGCACAAGGGCGTCCACGAAAAGAAGCGCTGAGCACTTCTCAAGAACAAGGGGTCAAACAGAGCCACGTCCGTCACGTCCATGAAAACCCAAAGGTCATTGGCCTGTGACTTGGGGCTGGGTGCTCTTGTCAACAGCATGGCTGGATTTGAGCAACGTAACCCAGGCAGCCCAGGCAGATCACACGGCGGCTCTTTACTCACACCACTGAACCAAACATGTTGCCGGAATCTCCACTATCTTCAGGATTCGGGTTCCGTGTGTCCGAGGCTCAGGCCAACACCTGCACAGAACCTTCCAACATTTCAGTCAGGAGCTGCCTTCTCGCATGGGGGTGCCCCAAGCCTGTCACAGATTTGGATCTCTCCAGTGACTCGATAGGCAGACTCATGCAGCTGTACTCCTCGCGGTCTTGTGCTTTATTTCCGTTGTTCAGTGAACCTGGAGGGAAAAAAAGGGAACCCTTTTTGGGGGATCCGACCATTTTTAGCGGGGCAGCTAACACCAAGAAGAAGAAGGGGGAAACAGAATTGGTGCCACTGAACAGCTGAGTTCTCCCATGCTTGGCTTGTTCGGAACGCGGGTGTCTCCTTCCTTGGCCCTGATTCTCGCCCAAGCGGCCGTACCCCACCGAGGTGATACCTAGGTGACACTCTGAAGGGCCCACGGAAACCATCTCATGCAATCGTGACTGCCACTGTGGTCGGGGTCCAAGTTGTGCTTTATTGGCAGAAGCCTGCAGGCACTCCCTTGTAATCGCTTGTATGGTACACCTGCACCGGCACAGGTTGGCACGCACGTTTTAAAACAACGGCCCGCTGAAAGCAAACCTTGCCCCCGCGCCAACCATTGAAACAGAGCCTCCACATGCCATGGCTTATTGCGCCCCTTTTCTCGTCCAATGAGCTGAGAGCCAATACCGCTTCTCACCAGCACGTTGAACTTGAACTGTGCGCTCTTGTCTTGAAACATGCACCCTGGCACACTTTGGTCCCAGAAGGGTAGACACAGACTGTCTTGCACACATTTGCACAGAGCACAAAACGTCAAACTGGTGCACCGAACAACAAGCATGTCCCCCCCCCCCGCCCAGCGCGTTGCATCGACAATCGACAGCGCGTCATGTTAGGTGCAAGGCTCACACAACACACGATTCGGCCAATGCCCGTGCAATTTCCAATCTGTGGGGATGGAAATGGATGGACACTTGCACGTCCTCATTCGTTGAACCACCAGCGGCAAAGAATGCATCCCGGCCGAGCCGCTGAGGGCAGTGAAGTAGAATGACTCGACGTAAATCACAGTGCAGCTTTCGCCTCTGTTGACCATGTCGTCGATCCAACCTGACACATTCGCGTTGCCTGTAGTAATGGACACCCGTTCGGATGTTGAACAAGGACCTACATGAATGCCGCCACTGCAAGGCAAGGAAGAGCCTTCTCTTTCGCAAGCGGTAGCTGTTGCAATCTTTTTCTTTCTTGGGAGTTAATGGCCTGGGGGGGTAGCCAGGAAAAAAACAAACAAACAACGTTTCTTTCGCTGTGTCTTTGCCGATGCGAGCACTAGGCTCCACTCATCGATGTGTGCCACGCGCCCATGAGGTCCGAAAGGCGAGTATCAAGTGGAAATAGGGCCGCAGCTACTTTGAGGTTCTGTGGGGTACCAACTGATAATAACTGGGAACAAGCGGGAGATAGGGCAAACATGGAAGAAACCCGAAACAAGGGAAACCAGTGCCACCTTTGATCGGTGGGGAGTCTGTTGGTTTGCCAGGCGGCTTGGGCTGCCGGCTGCTCGTTCCTGCACGGCTAGGACCAACAGCCTCGGAGCAGGTCGTTGGTGGCTTATTGGCTGAGCCCCTGAAAATTTGGGGCTAAAAGGACCCTTACAGAACATGAGAAAACACGGAATCGGTCCTATCCTCCCAAGGCCGAAAATCGGAATAAGTTCCTCCAATGCCAAAAATCAGGGGGTCCGATCCTCCAATGCCAAAAATCAGATCCTCCGAAACGGGATTGCGCTTCAGGCTCCATCGTGTGTTTGAAGGTGGAGATGAGGATTGGCAGGGGTGACAGCTTCCACAAAAAGTCAATAATTACATTTCTTACAACTGCTTCTCTCCAATGAAAGCAGTCTGGCGGCACCAGCTATAAGGTCATCGGCGCAAAAGGCCATGGTAAGAAACAAGTCCATTCGTTGGTGGCTGATGTGGCTGTGCTTTGTCTTGGTTGCTGTTGACCCCGCTGCAAAAAGTTTAACTTTTTGGGGTTTAGTGGAAAACCCCTTGATTTCCCCAAAAGTTGAAGTCTAAAGATCCAACCCAACAGCAATCAAGTTGTGATCCACAGAACAGAGACTTCGGGGGAGAGGCACCGTTCCACCAGCAAACAGAAAACCAGTGCCTGGCCCCCGGGACCAGGCCAAAAGCGTTTTCCTGCACGAGGACTGCATGTACAAGTAAGGCGATGCGCAGAGCTGGCAGAATCAAGTGGGTGCCGGCAGTGCTGGAACTCTGTGGGGAAGCTTTCCTGCTGCGCACGAAAGCTTCATTCATTGGTAAAAGCTCTAGGCAGGTATTTAGACTGCTTTCTCGGGTCTTCACGCGTTCAGCTGTACGCTTGCGGCATTTAATTGAACCAAGGGTCACATTGCCAAGAACAAGCCAGTGCCTCCACAGAGTTGCTAGTGGATCCGCCGACTATCTCCACGAATATGTCAAGTGAGAGGCCAGGCCGCCGAAAGCAATGCTCTTCAGGAGTGTGAGCTCTCGTGAGAACTACCCAAGACGCGCGGCAACTCTTGTCTTCGGGCGGAGGGTCCGGGCTTGTTTGGTGTTACTATGTGGCTTCCTTTTCAGCAAGGTTAGCCGGGGTTTTGGGAACTTCTGGACCCTTTTTTTCGCCTCCTTCGGCTCGATTTGGTCCATTTGGAGCCTCCGTTTCCAGGTCACACTGTCTTTTCTAGGGAAAGAGTGCCCAATCTTTCCAGGGATCCTTCTTTTCAAGAAACCATTAAACATCCCGGGAAACCAACATAAGAAAATCAAAGAAAAAGAAAAACAACAACTGGAAACCAGCTGTTTGTTGAAAAGAACGGTGACACCCTGAAAAACCAACATTAAAAAAAAAGATGGTTGAAAAAACCCACACACACACAAACAATGGTTGAAACAAATACAATGGTTGAAAAAGCAAAATGCAATGGTTGAAAAAAAAATGCAAACAACAACAACAATGTTTGAAAAAAAAGGTGGTTGAAAAGAATGGAATTGGACAATTCCACCCCTAGATCTCTCTCTCTCTCTCTCTGTCTGCCGCGGCGCCCCACCGCAGCCGCGTGGGACAAGAACACCAGCCACAGGAAGGAGCTCATCACGCCCCGCGCGTAGGAGTCTGCCCGGCTGTCCCTTGGAGCACTGACTAGCTGACTGACGTGCTGGGCTGCATTTGTTTCCTGCCTGCCTGTGCTTCTGCCTCTGGTGTTGGGTGCTGGGTGTGCATTTTTCAAGTTTTTTTTTGGGGTTTCTTGGGGGGGGGGGGTAGACAATAGATAGATGGCCCTGGTTCACCTCCTGCCTCTGCTGACCATAGGGAACTTTGGTGTCCAATTCTTGGCTGTTTTGGCAGGCGCTTAGGCGAATTGTTGGTGTCCTTTTGCGTAGACAATAGGTGGCCCGTAGGCAAGAGTTCCGTCCTTGTTTTTGCCGTTTTGGTGAACAATAATTGGATGGTTGACCTGGTTGTGCCATAATCTACCAAGGCCATCCGTTTTCCTCAAAAGGGCACTTATGCTGATGACCGTCACCGTCTTTATGCTTGCTAGAGGTCCCCCACAGCTCGCGGTAAAAAGTCGTTGCACACCACGACTGAGGCCTTCAGGACTTCTTCTGGCGCCACTGGTCTGATGTTACCTGCTGCCCACCACTGTAGACAACAGGAGGGCTTCAAAGCAGGAGTCCGGCCCCCCAGTTCCCTTACAACCTCGCAACAGAAATTCATGTTGCTTGATTCCAAAACGATGTTCATCTAGGAACCCTGGCAGTCATCTGGGTTGGTGTCTTCTTGAGGCTCGGTGCCCTTTTCAGGTTGATTCAAAGGAACGGAAAGCAAAAGGAGCACCAAAAATCCCACGTTTTCGGGGTCGCTCTCTCTAAGCCCAATCCACATGACGCCCATTTTTCCTCCACCGGGCGGCAGAACCACCACGGTGGGAAACACGAAGCGCCACATCTTCGCGCAGTGCAGCAGCATGAGCCACATCGCCACGCTCGGCACCTACCGGCGGTGGGTTTTCGCCCCGAAAGGACCCAAACTCTCAACTCTGAGCTGGCAGGGGCCTCTAGGGCCTAGGGCCTCTAGCCTTTCGGAAAAATAGATGACCCAGAAAAAGTGGAAGAAACCCCATGTGAACCAGTGGAACCCATCCTGAACCGAACTCACCTAAAAAGGACACCTATGGCCTCTAGCTCCTTGAAACAGAAGTTGGAAATTTCGGCCAACTGCACTAGGACCCCTACCTGGCATAGGTGTCCTTTTAGGGTCAATAGATGGCCCTGGCAAATGATTAAACCACCGGCTGTGCCCCAACCATGCCCTCGACAGGGATGTAGATACCGCCACAAGCTCAAGCTCAAATTCCGGGTGTTTTCCAACTTCCTGGGGACAACTCCCAGCGATACTTGGCCATGGGTCAAAACCCCGGTTAGCCCCCAGTGAACACCCACGATAGACTACAATGGGTGCACCTAATGGTATCAGTGGTTTTGACCCACTGCCACTTCTTTCTTGGTATCCTTGAAACATGTAACAATGACCCATCAGCAGATGTTCTGCTTCGAAATGTTCCTTGCCCGATTGCTTTAGAAGACACCCCCCCCAACTACATTAAGCTCAGGAAGATTTAGGGCTTTGGAAACTGTCCTTTGCCTGCTGGTGCAGCTGCTTGCAAGATTGTTGGGGATGTCAGTGCCGCCTTCTGAATTTCTGCCGCCCAGCAGTCCCAAAGAGCATGCTCACAAGAAAAACAAGACTGAAATTGTGAAGAGGCCACGGCCTCATAGGACGGGCCTGTCATTATCAAAGACCGCCGGCGCGAACAGAACATGAGAGTCTCAATCAAAACCGATCGGCAGCAAAATGGACCCAGAACCATGCTTCAAGAATTAGACAGCCGGACATCCGCGACGATTTCCGGCGAAAACTACCCCTTTGCTAACCTTGCTCATGTCAGACCCCGGCCCATTGGAGCTGAACTCCCGGCTGCCATTCGGCTTTGTTGGACCTCCAGACTTGAGAGCTTAGAAGTTGGTGCCCGATGTGTTTTCCCCTGTAGTCTGTTTTAGTAGGGGAATCCCCCCAACAAAAGAAACGGTAAAAGGGCAGGGTACTCTCTTTTTTTCTGTAGTCTGTTTTTGTAGGGGAACCCTCCCAACCAAAAAAGGGGTGAGAAAGGCACTACTGGGCGACCTAGTGGATGCCCACATGCTCTTGGCTGGCCAGGAGAAATGCCACAGTAGACCACGGACTCTGGCGACAAAAAATCAACCCACCCAAGTTCCAGGGCCCCTGCATCTGCGATCGTCTCCCCGAGATGTGCCATCCTTGGATCGCAAAAAACAAGTGGGATTCTCCGAAACACGACTTCCCTGCTACCCCGCATTCCGGAAAAATGAATAACACAGCAAGGGAACTTTTTGTGGGGAGTACGAATTCTTCCTTTCAAACGGGCGGGGAAAAGCCAGCAAACTCTACTTTCTTCTGATTCAACGGGAGGTGGGGCCAGTTTAAAGAAACCTTCTGATGATTCTGAGCATGTCATTTGCATCAGCATACTTGAGCAAAGGGAGCGCGAACAGAAAAACCTTGACAGGAGAGGCTGCCAACAAGGGGATATTAGTGTGCTTCATCCAGATCGGGCATCACAACAAACACGAGGCTCTGTCCCTTGCTCTTGCCGCTCGCTCCAGCCAAACATAGAGCAACAACTCTCGGCCGTAGCCTTCTCTAGCAATGGGGGTCCCACAGGCTCGGTGGCATTCTGGCTGTGCGAAAATGGTGCGCCTCACGCTCCCCCAAATAGGCCGCCAGGTGGAAAAAACCCAAAGGTCGGCCTCCGGAAAGCCCTCGAGTTTTCCCACCCTCCCCCACCGGGCCCTGTGCTTTTCTTCAACGACTTGGAGCCTTCCCCCCGCTCTTTTCTTCAAAATACTCAGTCCAAAGGAGCCAGACATAATAAGGTGGTCACCGTTTGGGGCCATGACTCAAAATGGACCAACATGGCAAAACCAAAAGGGCTGGAATCCACCGAACAACTGAGTTATAGTCAAAACCTGGCACTAAAAGAGTATACCCAAAACTTGCGCTACAAATAAAGCCCGGTATGAAGAGGGCGCGGTGTATTTTTCAGCAATTTATTCGCTCTGGGCAAGGTGGGAATCACAGGTGTCCTTTTGGGGGAAATAGATATCCCTGGTAGATGAAATTCAACCACCAGGTCAACCAGGAATCCCCATCTATTTTTTTCTAGCAAAACAACCAAAAAGGACACCTGTGGGTCCTGGGCTCTCCGATTTGTTCTAGCAAAACAACCAAAAATTGGACACCTATGCTGGGAAGAAGTCGAAGCAACCCCGCGTCTCTTCGAATTCCAGGCGTCTCTGACACCAGGCCCAGGAAACCCACGAAGTCGAGGGCCATCGCCTTCATGTGGAAGGTACACCTGCGGGCGATCGGGCGATCGATCTGGACATACTCATCGGGCGTTGGATTGGAAAATCACCGCTGGGTTTTCCGGATTTGAGAGCTTAGAATAAGTTGGTACCGTTTCTGTTTTTCTATAGTCTATTGTAGTAGGGGAACCCTCCCCCAAAAAAAGAAACGGTGAAAGGGCACTACTGGGGGACGGAGTTACCGCTGGGTGAGCGATCGAGTCAACTTTTGCAGACAGAAGTCTTAAGACACCTGGCGATGTGTGGCAACATGATTCACTGTTCCTATCACTCGTATGCTGCCCATTGGATGTCCCATCAGCCAGACACCACGAGGCCCCACCTCTCCGGCGGGTTTGCATCCTGAGATTCATGGGGGGCCTTCTATTCCTCATGGCCGGCTTTCTTTCCCAGTATTTCTCTCTTGTCACTGCCACCGCATGCATAAAGCCGTAAATAATAAACGCACACCACAGGATAAAGCAGCAGCGAGCTCGGTATCGCAGAAAGCTACACCTCTCCTCTCACGCCTGGCTGGCGGAACGTGGGCAACTGTGCGCCCGCCACAGACCACGCCAGGCGGTCAAGCAAGCAGATCGGGTCGTTTCTTGCGATGCAACTCACGAGTCGCCGGCCTAGTGTACAGGATGACTCTGCAATGATTGCAGCGTCCCATCTTAGCGAAAACCTCTGTAATTAAATGGCACCCTCTCCGAACACTTGCTGCAACATGTTTGTTGGACACACCATCTAAAGAAGCCGGAATCCCCCGCAATCATTGCGCGAGCCTTGCGCGACTGCGCGACCCTCGGCCCCACCTTATGGGGGGTTGGTGATGTGCGTTTCTGCCACGACCCCCATGCTTCGCAGTGAGGTCTCTAAACCTTGCAATCCTGGAAAGTCGTTGATTCCATGGGCCGAATTCCACGCCCCGACTCTCTTGGATGTTAAACATGATCCAAACCGGTTCAACCCAAAATCCATCCCTGGTCGGTTGGTTCGCATGTCTTAAAGGGCGGTGCAACCTGGTACTTCCGTGACACCTGGGGTGAGACATGGGTGAAACGCAAGGTGAGACTGTGGGAGCCTTGCCACGGTTCAGCGCTCTTTGGCGTCGGAGTCTGTACCTTTCCCTCGTTTTGAAGTCGGCGGAGCGCCAACCTGCAGCTCTGAAGCCGCACTTTATGCACCAAAGCGAGGGGAAGCTGAGGTAGATCCTTCAGTCTATTTTAGTAGGGGATCCCCCCAAAAAGAAACGGTAAAAGGGCACCTAGCTGGGGGATCTGGTTGAGTAGACGCAAAAACCACTGCGAACAGAGATTCAAAGTCTAAGTCTCTCCCTCTCCCTCTCGCGCGCTCGACGCAGGTGTGTGGTTTTTCAACGGCAACCAGCCACAAGTTCTGGCGCTTGCACCCCCTGGCTCGCTCCCAGCCGCTCAGGGTTTCTTTTGAGAACTTCCGAGGGGCGCGATCTTCAGGTGTCCAGTGAGGTGAGCATGGCCACGCCCCGCTTGATCCAGTGCGACTCGTCCACGTCGCTGTTGATCTTGATGGGCATCACAAAGTTGGTGGAGTGGCCCGTGGTGGACAAGACACCCTTCCGGGTAGACACCTCAGAGAAAAAAAAGCAGGGGGCACAAGCAAGCAGGCAATGAAATGTTCGCCATACCGCTTTTTCTTGAAGCACGGCTCAACAACCAAAACACACATTTCAAGGATGTGCCTTGTTCCTTCGCCGAAGATCTAAGAACACAGGGTCCAACCGAACATCTAAGAACGCAGGATCCAACTCCGTTTCATCCTCGGGGCACTTGAACCAACCTGGCACACTTCCCGGATCCGGCTCTCCAGCGCCCGGCCTTGTAGCATGGACACTCGTAGTGCGCGAAGTCTCGGACTTTCGTCTTCTCCTTGGCCGATCCACACATTGGCTTGACCCGTGTTTTTGGCGAGATAACAGAATGTAGCAAACAAAGCAAACCAGGCCTTGAGAATATTAACCCGTGTTTGGAGGGATAACAAAATATAGCAAACAAAGCAAACCTATATTCCAGCTGGCCAAGCAACCCGTTGTGAGGGGTTTCGTGTGGGTTCCTTTCCTGGTTTGGGGCAACTGGCTGCCTTCTGGCGACCTTCAGGCCGGACCGATCGCTTCACTGGTAGCTAGGGACCCTCTAGCTATATTTATGAGGCCCACGCATAGGTGGCCTTTTGGAACATAGATGGATTTCGCTGGTAAATGGGGCATAAACCCCATCGAAACCAGGAATCGCCCTCTATTTTAAGCAAACCAACCAAGAAGGACACCTATGCCCCCGAACCCAACAAGCAAGTTGCCTTGGGCATGTGCCCTGGTCACATTGCATTCTATTCAAAATGACACGTGCCGCGATGGAGGCTGTGAAGCCAGCAGCCAAGCCAGCAGATTCATGCGCCAGTTGCCGAAAGCTTTCGGCAGAATGAAATGTGTTTTTTCCACATGTCGCGGCATAACACCAGGGTCTCAGTCGTTCAGTGACCCTGGGGAAGAGAAGAACCCTTTTTGGGGAAGTCCATTTTTGGTGGGGTGGCTGCCCCCCCCAACAAAGAAGGAAAAGAGTGCCACTGAACAACTGAGGGTTTCTGACAGAACGCACCCAACCATAGATCGGAAAGCAACCATCTGCAACGTGAGGGTTCAACCTAAGGTCCTGGCAGCGAACCACGCCTGGAAGACTGCTCTTGGCGAAAATATTTGGGTGCTCCGAACTCCAGAGATTGTGTTTTCAGCTTCTGTTTCACAGTTGGTCTACATGGCCATGCTCAAAATCCCATACCCCCAGTGGCTCTAACATGGGTGGTGCGTTTTACCATGTTTTTACCCCAAAATGGGACCCCAAAACGGTTTTGACCACCACAGCCACATGAAAACTGGAAACAGCTTGGAGGAGACTCACAGTGGCACATGGTATATGTCATCAGCTGCCCGTGGCTAAGCCCCGGTCGCAGGGCATCAGGTGAATCAGCGGCACCCCAGCCTCAGTTGCCACATCGGGTGCCTTTATGGGCGTGCGTCACCCCAGGTTTTAGTCCATGTTTCCATTTACCAGGGTGCATTTCGGGAAGCATGCCACAAAGTGCGGGGGCTAAAAGCGAACCCTGGCCGAATTCGGCTACACTTGCTCATTGACTTTATCATAGGCATCAAATTTACGGGGATTAGACCTCTCAAATGATCTCAAATGCTCTTATTGTTGTATTCAATGTGCAAAACATGCTAACAAATGCAAAACTGCAAACATATATCCTGCAAGCCTTTCACGGTACAAACTGTTGGGCATGACTTGCTGGGGCAAATCCAGCCCGCTCGGGCTGCGCTGCCTATGATAAGTCAAACACCCCTTTTGGGCCCTGATGGCAGGAGACAGAGGTCTCTTCTCCAAATTCGCGTGGGGCCTCAGTCACTGAAGTGCATAGGCACGCATACATGCATACTATGGCATACGCACATGTGGCCATGGGTCAAAATCCAAATCGTAGTTTAGTGAGCATCCCACTCCAACCACTAAAACAGGTTCTAAAATGGGTGGTGAACTCACCTACCCCAAAATAGGATCCCAAACCGGCTTTGACAACCACAGCCATGTGTATGAGTATCATGTTGCTTGACCAAAAAACATGTGTACAGGTCCGTTCGTCCCTTCGGCCAAGCAGCGTAGAGCACCTTGGGCGCGGATTCCGCGAGCTTCCACTCCTCCCAATCCCAGCGGCAGGCTTCGAAGAAAAGGCCGTAGCTGTAAACGCCGTCGTCCGGCTTCACCGTAAACTCCTGCTCCTGGGCAAAGCTTTACCCTCCTAACATGGCAACCGACAGGGACCCGCTCCCTTCAAAAGGAAATGAATCTTCCAGGTACCTCCCCACAGGTGGAAGGGTACTTGGCCAGTCTTGGTCATGGCCACCTGATAGCCACAAACCCGAATGCAGGTTACTTGCCCAAAGCTACCGTTGTGCGTGTGCCCTTGGCTATCTATTTACCTGCCCGTTGGCCAATGCTTCTATCTACCCCTCTGCCTCCATGCATCTCTTTGTGCATCTGTGATAACCATCGCATCTGTACATCTCGCCGCCTAATTCTAGTTGTCTTTGTGCCTGTTGCACTTTGACCAGCCCAAACGGGTCGGCCCTGATTTTTTCAAGCGTTCGTGGCCCCTGCTGTGCTCCAAGCATTTCGTTAACCATGCCTTGGATTGATCAACCCAGCTTGCGTCTCGTGTGGGCCCTCAAAACGTCACAACTCCCCTCTGCTCGACGCAGCTCGAACCTCGACCCGGCGAAGGGAAGCGCATTACGCGATGATCTTCAAGAACAAAATGCCCGCCCAACCAAACAACAAATCAAACAAATCGCGGGGGTAGGCGCCCAAAGTTCACCCAAAAACCAACCACAAATGACCACAATTGGGGTAGGCCAACCACCGCGTGGACTTGACACCTCTCCAAGCTCGCTGGCGTTCTGAACGCGTGAGTGCCCAGGCCTTCGGATAGAAGAAGTCGAATGTCAGGGTATCGATGGGGATCCTCACTTCAACGTTGCTCAGGACAAAAGGTGAACACTGCAAGTGATCACCCTGTCAGGCCGCTGGAACATAGAGTGAAAACGCAAAAGAAGCAAAGGTTGATTCTCTTTCATTGGCTTTGCCTTTTGGAATACCCAGGGAATTTGTGATTGTCCGGAGGGCTGGAGAACAGACAGCCGGGGGAGCGAGCAGAACATTGGTCAAATGAGACGTCATCGAAACCCGGTAATAAGAATGGTACCCAGAATGCAAAGAATTAAGAAGCCGGAATTCCGCAGCGATTTTTATGGTTGGGATTATCCCTAACCTTCATCTACCCGGGGCTTGATTGTGGCTCAGGTGAACACTTGGGGTGTCTTTGATGGTATTCCTTTGGGAAATGTCTGTAAACCGGAGCGGTAGCCTTTGCTTGGTGATTTTCTTAGGGGACACAGAAGGTGAACACTGCAAGTGATCACCCTCTCAGGCCGGAACATGGAGGTCCCACGGGGTGAAAACGCAAACGAAGCAAAAGGTTGATTCTCTTTCACCGTGGGCCATGCATGACCTGAAGGCAAACAAAAAGCTGCAGCAAGCACAGCTCAAAAAGGAAAACAAATGGTGGCTTGTTACAGGGGTGTGTCTCACACTGGCGGACAAGATGCTTATGTTTGTGTTTCGAAAAGCCTCCTGCAACAACTGCAGAAAGGCTACCCTCCCAAAACACAATCACAAATTCCCCAGGTATTCCAAAAGGCAAAAACCAATCCTCTGGGTATTTTTTCTCCTCCACTTCCGCGCCCATCTTCGGACGCAACAAAAAAATCCTCTCAACGAGGCCGGGGCACTGATACTTCCTCGCAAAGTTCTGGGAGGCTCCAGTGGTAAAGGCCTGGGTGAAGTAGATGCCGCTGAACCAGAACATCACCGGCGCGCCGTTGTCCACCCACTTCCTTGTGACGTGTTTCTGTTGTTTTGTTTGCATACACATATATAAAATAATATATATATATATATATATGTGTTTTTTGGTTTTTGTTTTTTTGAAAGAATCCAAGGGCACTTATATACACAGAAGGGTTCGGAAGTGCCCCTCAAGCAGTTGGGCGCTTACACGACCAAATCCCAAGCCGCCAGAAGCTCAAAGCTTAAGCTCTGAGCAGCTCGAACACCTCCATAACATGCGGGGATCCAAAAAAGGCTTCCGCAAGAATTGGGGACCATCCTCAGGAACACCCTTGAATGGTTTGTGCGATCCTTTCTTGGCTGACGTTGGAAGGGGAGCAAAAAATTAAATTTTAGCAGCTAAGTGGGGATTTCCCACTAAACCACAATAAGCGAAAATGTAAAATGTTTCCCAACAACCACCATGCTTTCCACAAGGGGGAAAAAACGTCACCCTTGAAAAAAACACCCAGCAAGGCCTTGGCCCTGTTGCACACAGCGACGCTGGGAGCCGTGCAGCCCGTATCGCAACCCAACCCCTGGTTAGCAATATGGTTTTCACTTTTGGATGGAATCCTATGAAATTCGCTGAACCCTCGTTCTTGGTTTCATCATCCCGTGCGAGCGGCTGAAAGAACTTCAGGCGCTCCACGAGGTCGTTGACGTAGCCTCCCAGGGGCTTCAGTGAGGGATAGGAGTGCTTCAGCCACATGGCCGGGGTCTTCCCGTCGAAGATCTCGAAGAAGGCCGTCTCCTTGAGCCAAGCGAGGCTCAAATGCCCAGTGGCCATTTAAAAAAAGAATCGGCCTCCTTTCTTGGTTGGTTGAGGTTTTTCAGGGGCAACCCTTCCCAAAAAAGGGGAAAAGGGCGGAATCCACTGGGCAACTAGGATTTTAACCTTCTCAAAGTAGGTTGAAGGGAAATCACCCCAGTGTGATAACTCCAAACACTGAAAACAAGACAGCCACATGCCTACTCTCTCAATTCGAGGGTAAGCCATCACTCCCCAGGCATTGGTTGCGGTTGAACCCCGTTGCAGAAAGTCTAACTCTTTGGGGGTTTCGTGGAAAACCCCTTGCTCGCTCGAAAAGTTAAAGTCTGACCACATGCCCAGCCGCAAAGAAACTCAATTTCAACTGTGGGCCACCCGCCCCTCTCTCGCCTCCCACCAAACGGAAAACAGCGGACTAGCACATCAAGGTCAGGCTATGGGCATCGCCGACGGAACCTCTTTGTTCTCAGTTGCCCAAAGGACCCAGAAATAAAAGGTTGACCTTTTGGGGCCATGACCAAAAATGGGCCAAAACTGGAAAACCAAAGGGTTAAAAGGTCGATTCGCTTTGGGCAACTGAGTATTGCATCCAAAGGTGACATTCGAATGAAGGACCCTTGCCCCAAGAACGCCAGCCGAGCAAAATGGACACCAAACGCCTATCGCCTGGGGGCCCCATGATGGACCTTGCGAAGCACAGCGCACCCCGAGACACACGCCTCCCCCCGCTCTCTCTCTCTCTCTCTCTCTCTCATTTGTGCCATCCCGCAGGTCCCAAATCTCCCCCCCACATAGTTTCACTCATTCTGCATCCAAAAAAACTCATCCAAACCAAGTTGGCCGCCATGGGCCCTGGCCACCCACGCTTCCGCCTACCGCTACCGCCTTTCTCTCTCTCCGGCCGTGGCGCCAGGTCCGAGCTCATGAGCAGCAGGCCCTTCACCGCCTTCTGGATGTCCTTCAAGGAGTTCTGGATCGCCTCACGGCCACGGCTTCTTCTGCTTTTTCCCGCCCGACAAAAAATCCAGGGAGCCGGGGGTGTCCCTAAAAGGCCCGACAAAGGGCTGGAAAGGGAGACACATTTGTCCACCGCGCAATTGTTGCTTTCACAAAATAGGAGCTCCATCCCCGTACAGGGGATTCCTGGTTTAGTTGTTGTTTGTGTTTTTTCCCTCCTCAGAACGTCCGGACATCCGGTGCCGCGTCGCGGCAGCTCTGGTCTTTTTCACTTGCAAACGGGTTCCAGAACAGGCTGCGGTCTTTCTATTTGTAGATGGTGGGTCTGGAAAGACAAGCGGCACATATCCACGGATTGCCGGCCCCCAGGCTTCTTTGACAAATATGAGCTCCATCCCCTTATATGTAGGTTTTTCCCAGATTGTCTGTTTGCAGCATTTGCTCATATCGCATTCTCAAGCCCAAGGGCATAGCCTGCTTCACGCGGCCGTGTCAGCGCATGGCTTTTTGGGAGGCTGCAACCACCACAATTCCAAGTCTGAGTCAGAGCCACAGCAAGAGGAGCTGTGACAAGGTCCTGTCCAATGCTGAATGGTCTTTAAGGCGCCCCCATCTCTAGTGCTCATTCTTGGGTTGCTATGACTGCCATTGCCATGACTAAAATCACAGTATGTCACATATGACCCATACCTGTTGATCGCCAGGCTGTCTGCCAGCTTAACCCAAGATCTCAGCCCAGCCTTCAGCAAGCCGTTGAATCTCTTTAGCTCTTGTGCCAGCACAGTGTTCATACTCTCCTCGTATAGCGTGGGGTACTTCTCCTGGCGAAATGGCGTCCGGGCGATTGCCCGGAAGGGGCATAGCCTCCAAAGATTGACATGTGTCAGAATAGGGAACCCACCTGGAGATTCATTCTCCATGAATTTCCTGGTAGTTCTCGGCTTTGACTTGCTTTTCGTAAATATCGAGGTTTTTTTGGTGAAGTCGCCTAAAACTACTAAAGCTCCTATATTTTTGTCAGATTTCAGAATTGGTACGGTTTCACGTTTTCCCCGCCCAGAATTACCCGCAAAACGCCCGCAAAAAGCCCGCAAACGCCCGCAAAACCCCGCAAACGCCCGCAAATCAGAAAAAGACGCTTTTTGGGCTTGGGAGTTGCGCAAAACTCCTAGAAACCACTTAGAACGCCCAACACGCCCAAAACTACCAGGAAACTAAAACGCCTAGGAAAAGGCCGGAGAATGAATCTCCAGGCACAAAAATATTGGTTTTCTTTTGGTCCCTTGAAATAAACCAACCTGAGCAGAGTACCCTCAAAAACGGCACCCTTGCCAGGGACAAGGAACATTTGCAAAAATCAAACGACCTGACGGGCCAACAATAGAAAAAAGCAAGTGAATATCAGAGGGAATTGTGGACGCTTGCCTGTTAACATCCCCCAGGCATCTACTGCCAAATGTCTGCAGAATCTATGGCTTGATCACCCCCTGTTTCCAAGGAATCATCCATGACGACAACTTCCACGATAGTGGAAAAATGGAAAGAACATGATGCTTCCGCGACATGGGCAGCATGCCCCTGGGTGAGCCAAGGCGTTGTAAAGTTTGCTTTACCGTGCTTCCATGTCAGCTCTTTCATCGGCTCAGCAAGTCGTTCACTTCACGTGGCTCCGAAACCATGGTTTCAGCCCTCGTTCTTATCCTGGACCCCCCCCCCCCAACCGACCCTGACTTTCTGGATTCTCCAATCAAATCGGCCCAAACAACAACCTCCCGCGTGGACGGTTCCTATATGACCTGCTGGATTTTTCAGACGCGAAGCACGACCCATGCCGCCGGATCCGTCTCAAAAAATTGCCCCAAGATGTGGCTTCTCGTCCCCCAAAATGTGATGAACCTGGTCCAAACCTGGCATGTCTCTACGCACATGTGATCTTCGCTTCAGGTGAAAATCACTTGTTCTTTTAAACCTGGGAACAAGTTGGCATTGGCTTGGTTAACTATAGGTTTCTAGGGGTTCTGGATGCTCCTTTTTCAAGTTTTTGGCTTGTCCTTGCGGCATGTGGGGCATATGGCCCCCTTCCCTTGGCTAGGTCCTCCAGATTTGAGGTTAGAACAAGTTGGTGCCCGATTTATATATACATATATGTATATATATTTGCTTTCCCGGTGGTCTATTTTAGTAGGGGAACCCTCCCCCAAGGGTGAGAAAGGGCACCTAGCTGGGGGACCTAGTTAGTCCACGCCAGGCCTGCACCTTGGCCACATCCCAAGGCTCCGGGAGGCGCTGCAGCACATCCTGCATCGAGACAGCTCAGCTCGAGACTCAGATCCGGGCACCGCTGGTTGGAAAAATCGTTGACATCTCATTCCCTTTCTCTATACTATTCCATCTTGAAGTTAGGGATGGAATGGAGAAAGGAATAAGAGATAGGAATGGGATGAGCGACGAAAGGAGCGAAGGGACCCGTCTATCTCCTCTCTCTGTTCCTCCTCTCTCTCTCTTCTCCCTTGGTAAGGGGAAACGAGTTCACCGCCGCAGTGGGCGGGCCCGACCAGAAAAGCCCAGGGACTCGTTGTTTACCACCTGGTCCAAAAGTCCAAAACTCAAAAAGCGAGTAAAACCAACCGCGCGCCTAGTGAGAACTGCCGTTCCCCGTGACTAAATTGGCCCAGAGTGATGTGGCAAAAAAGAGCCAAGGGTCGCAGAACACCTCCAAAGCACAGAGATCCAAGCCACGGCGTCTTGAGGTATGCCTGGGTGTTGATGAACCAATGCTCAACATGTTTCTTGTCTCAACACATCTCCGGCCCCGTTAAAAAAAGGAAACACATCTCCAACCTGAGAACAAGGGGGAATCAGAACAAAAACGGTTCTTCCCCACCCCCCCTGGCAAGCATGTGATTGTCTGACCGAGTGCAGAGTCTAACACATGATGACACATCATTCCCCCGCAGTCCTGGCAAATACACAGCCAAGGTGAGTTGATCTTGTTGGTTCTCAGTTGGTAATCTCAAGGGATTTGGGAACGAACTTTGAGTCTTGAGATTTTCGCAACGGACGCACACAGGATGGTTTGTAGTTCAATGAGACCCTGACCATGAGACCGCTGAGGGTAAATGGGTTCATTGGTTGTAGGGTTCAATCATTTCTCACTTGCCAAGAGGACCCACAAACACAAGCTTTTCAAAGGGACTAAACGGAGAACCAAGGTCAGTCTTGAGGTTTTGCTGGGCTGCCCTCAGATCCCCTGCTCACAATTCAACTTTTAGTGGGTTAAAAGTCAACATCCCCACTAAACCCCAACCTAAAAGCCTAAAAAAGCTAAGCAGCTAAGGAACCGGATGGCTGGGAGCCAAGTATTTGGTCAATCCCTGAGGCCAGGTGGTGGAAACCCCTCAAATCGGGTTGCCAGGCCCGGCAGTTTAGGGTATACCGATGAAAGCTCTTTTTTGTTAGTGTTTTGCGCTTTTGTTGTTTGTTTTTTAGGTGTTGGGGGTTATTTAGTGACATTTGTTTCTCAAATTTTAGGCCCGGCCTTGGCGATCTCGCCGACCACCACGTCCGGGGAGGAGCCGCCGCCGCCGCTGCTGGAGCCTGCGGTGAGCAGGAGCTCCGTCATCATGTTGTAGGTCTCACCCATCTCCTGGCGGCCAGGCAACTGTTCTGGCCCCATTGTTTTACCGTAACAAAACAGTGTTTTGTAGCATTGTCATGCTAAAATCACATCCCCACCAACACCCGGTTTCTTATTTTACCATGATCAAAGTCACCCCCTACAGTGATGGGTTAAACGGAAACAGCCCCATTTTCTGACATTGATAACCCCCAGAAACAGTCAACATAATGACCCCTTGGACAAATAGATGGCCCTGGTGATGGAATACAACTCATCCAAACCAGTGCCATACATTTCTAACTAAAAAGGGCATGGGCAGCGACCGAGCGACCGCTGGGACGGAGGACCCGAGCCATCTGGCGGTTTTTTTCTCGAGACTTTGGATGTGGGGGCCATTGCACCTGATCTCCTGGCCCGTTTGCAAGAGGAAAGGTGACACACACAAAGTTGGGTGGTCTCAGTTCCCCCAAACTAAATGCTTGCATTTTTGACGGGGACAAGCGGGTTTTAAGACTTCACGGACCCAGCCGTTCGATTCCCTTCGAACTCATCACCCAACTGCAGTTCGCGTCGGGTGATCACTGCTGGAACAAGCCCGCTTCATACAGAAAGGAGTGATCAAACTTTCACCGGTGCAGGAGAGACTGTTGACATCAAGGCTCTCCGCAGTGCTTTCAGCTTTGCCCATTTCAACTCCGCGAGTGCGCGGAGCAAGCGGGAATCCTGCCCAAACACAAGCGCGCACACAACAAACAAACACACAAGCAAGCAAGCAGACCAAAATAAAAATAAAAAGAGAAAAAACAAGAAAGAAAGAAAGAAAGCAAGCAAGAAAACAAACAAAAAGAACAAACATACAAACAAGCAAACCAACAAAACAAACAAACAAATAATCACACCAACAAACGCACCGAAGCCGTATCAGCCCAAATCCCGCGCGTGATTATTGTGGGCAAGGCAACTTTATCATCTCTGGGCCAGCTGATGCCAGCTGCCATGACTCGAATTTACTATTGACCGTTGGCTCAAGATGCTCACAGCGGCTGCCTGCCCTTGAACATGGACTGATGTGGGTCGAATACTCACCACTCGGCTACCACTCGGACTGCCGCAGGCTGACTCGACGCTCCTTGGTGAGATTGGCATTCTCATGGAAGCCAAAGACCCCCGGAGGAGTCACCAGCGGCAGGGAGCGGATGTGCTCCATGTGTGCCTCGCGGATTCTCAGCGTGGGCCCGGGTTGATGACTCCCTTAAGGCTCGCCGCAGCCCTACAGCCAAACCTGAAACCTGAATGAGAGCCTCTGAAAAAAGATGTCGATTCGCCCAGTTCCCCTATTAACTGGGAAGCCATGCCGGCCGCAACCACCCAAAGCACAAGACTGATTTTTACTCCAGGCCTCATAGCCACCTTTCGGTGGCGGAACGTAGGTTTCTCCACCCTTCTCCTGGTACAAAATGAAGTCGTCCTCCAATGCCTCCTGAAGCACCGCTAACATCACTGATCCATCTGCACATGAGTTGGCTACCATCCGATGGGTCGATGGTGAGCCACAGTCCCGGACCATCACTGATCCATCTGCACATGAGTTGGCTACCATCCCATGGTTCGATGGCGAGCCACAGTCCCGGACCAATAAAACGCGTCTTGCCTGAAAAGGACCCTTGACTCAAATGCTTGAACCTTATTTCCACCTCAAGAACCAAGAAAACCAGGGAAGTTTCTTGGATGATGAGAACCCAAATGCCACCTGCCAGTGGACGAAGTATTGTTGCTGCTCTGGGCAATCTGCAGAAGAGCTTCCTATAGCACGTGCATCTCACATGTGTGTCCACCAGCATACTCCAGCACCAACGCTGCACTGCGTGGCCACTGTTTGCATGTCAAAATTCATGCAAGTATTGCTGAGGCAAAAAGCAAATATGATACTAAACAATTGGACGCCAACTCCAAACAAGTGGAGTAACATTCAACAAAGGTAAAGCAGTACACAAAAGGCAAACCATCGGTGGACCGCCAGCGGGTCAGTGATTTCCTTCTGACGTTCAATTCGGCGCACCTCACAGAGGGCCAACCTCAAAGCACACACACGCACAATCTGCTAATGTTTCCTGAAACCGCACTGAAACCGACTCTTTTCTTTTGCACCACTCCTCCCTAATTAGTTGAGAAACTGACCAATTGAGCCGCCTTCCTTCACTGAGACACCCATCCGTTCAAAATGTCCCAACATCCTTCAAGCACTCCCTCCCAAATTGGCGGCCTGAATATCCATCCCAAAAACACAAACCGAGCGCTACGGGTGCATGACAGATCCCCACGACCCCCTCCCCGACATGTGGCAAACAAACTTTTTGGGCCAGAAGATGGACCACCACCACCATCCCCACCATCCCCCCCCAACCCACACCCGACCCCCTAAGAAACGCCAAACTCCCCAGATGGGAGATGGGCCGCCCTCCTGGCAGTAGTAGCTCTTCAGCAGCGTGGCCAAGAGCCTCCGGTCCATCGACTCCGTGACGCGGCCCCCGTAGTTGCACTCCCCCGTCAGGTAGTTCAGCGCCTGCCGCGGGGTTTCGGACGTTTGGGGGGGGGGGGGGATTTCCCGTTGGACATGAAGGAGGCACCCGAAAAAAGACGATTTTCACAATCCAGGCCAAAAGAAGAATCATCCGGATTGATCAGTTGCCCAGTGAGTTGTGCCAATGGAAACCAAAATGCCCCCCCCCCCTTTGGGTTGATCATCTTTGAAGGGGAGGCTGTGGAGCAAAGGCTGCAGAGGGTAGCACTAACCTGATCTGGAGAACGCCTCAGTTCTTCAGTGACCCCGAAAAAAAAAAAAAAAAAAAAAAAAAAAAACTGGGAACCCTTTTTGGGGAAGACAATTTTTAGTGGGGCAGCCACCCAAAAAAAAGAAAAAAGGTGCCACTGAACAACTGAGATGCACCTTCGCAGCTTTTGCCCGCCTTGATTGGGGCCTCATCCGGGTACTCGTCCAGGAACATCTGCAGCTGTCGCACGGAGATCCGCAGGTCGTTCTCCGTGAACCTCGGACGGAAGGAGCTTCGCTTGACGCGACCCTTCTCAGCAGACATCGACTCACACCTAGCCTCGAAGTGGGGGGTGTTGATGGGAAATGCTAACTTGCGGTCCAACAACTTGGCAGGCAGTTGGTGGCATTGGTTCCAGAGGTTGCAGCGATGGGCCTAAAAGCTGATATGAGTTTCTTTTGGCCCCAGGGTCATCTAGGTCTGTGCATGTTGTGGGGAGCTGGGGGGCCTGTGGCAGACTGGTGACTGGAGCAACCTCCACCCTGCATGGACGCCCAGAATTCTTGACCACAAGGCATGGTTGTCTCTGGTGACCTAGCAATTCTCACATGAAACCTCTGCGCAGCTACAAAGTCTCAGAGGCGCGCCGCCTGCTGACACCCCCGAATCAATGAAAAACGCGTGGAAGATGGGGTGCAGGAGTTCGCCTTAAGCAAAAACCTTAAAACAAAAAAAACAACTCGCACCGGACCGTCCTTTGGAGCTGATGTCAAGTCCTTCACTTGGCCCTTTCCGGATCCCTTGATGCCATCCGAGCAGCTCGTAGGCGATGTTCCAGCCCAAGGGTCCGAAGAGCCGACGCTCCTGGCGGACGCCGGCGGCGCAAAGGAAAAAATGAGCCAATTCGCACATCCTGGAAAGACTTTGCTCAGGGAATAACCCAGAGTTTTGGGGAAGCTAAGGATTCCCTTGAAGGAAAGCCTAGGGGAGGGTCATTCCATGTCTCATTCCAGGCTGAGAACCAGCAAGAGGATGATGTTCCAGACAGATCTTCTCTGTGTACAGGTCAAAGAGTTCCTTCGTCTCTCAATCAGGCGTCCCTTCAGGCGCTGTTTTTGTCCATCGAAAAATGGTCCAACCAGGTGAGACATTGGCAAATTACTATGATTCACCAAATGGAATGGAGCCTCGAGAATGGGTGAGCTCTACTTGCTTCTTTGGTGAGCTTCTGATAATTCGCATCCAAGGTTCACGCAGTGTTGCATTCGGGGGCTGTGAAAGATGAGAAAGTTCAAATTTGCCGACTAGAATGAATACCCGCCGATGTACTCCGGCATGTTGTTGTTTTGCCACGGCTCCAACTTGAATACGAGATCCAATCTGAATCAGAGAGGGTCTTAAGAGCATCGGGGCCATCACAAGCTCCAGACAGACTGCGTCTCCCCTTTTCGGGGCAAAGTGCCATGTGGCTCTGGGACAACAAGCAAAATCGTACCGCCGGTGAACATCCGATTCAATCCAACCACTAAAATAGGTTCTAAAATGGGTGGTGAATTCACCTACCAACCAAAATGGGATCCAAAAAAAAACTTTTGACCACCACAGCCATGTCGATCCGCTCATGGCGCGTCAACATGCTTCCCGGTCCTGGATCACCGCATGGAAGAAGCAGAGGTTGAAGGCCAGGCGCTTGAAGGCGTGGTCGCAGGTGCAGGCATTGAAGAACTCCTGCGAGGAGTGGCATTCAGGCTCTTCGAAATTCTGGTTCTGACCTAAAGTGGGAAACTGACAATCCAGTTTTTGGTGCTTGCAAGAAAATGAGAGGCCCCATTTCGCGCTGTTACGGATGGCGAGTTTCCTTTCGGCTTCGGTTTTCGCGAGCACAATGCGAAGATTTGAGGACAACGGAAGGCAGCAATTGGCAGGCCATACAGCGGACTGCCAGGGCTTAAGGCATCCAAGTTGGACCGTTCAAACACCCAGTCCCACGAGACCCTGCCAACTCTTCAACTGGTCAGCACCCGAGTCTCCAGAGACTCTGGCCGGCCCGACACCGAAACCCAGAGCGAAGTCCAACCTTTCCATGAATGAACTACCAACCCATTTTTCTCCCCATGTTCCCCCTGCTTCTTCCGTTTCAGCGGCGAAAGAACGAGAAACCTTCCTGGTACTTGGGGGATTTGTCTTTATCACTGCAAAACCTGACTCCGACCCCCCAAACAGCGAACTCCAACCTTTCCATGAATGAACTACCCTCCCACCAGCGATTCCATGGAAGTGCACAGACTTTTGTAGCAAGATGACTTTGCTCTTGGAAAGGCTTGGCCTTTTTGCACTTCCATGTTCGTTGGGAGGGTAGTTCCTTCATATTTCCTCCCCGTGCTTCCTGGGCTCTCCGATTTTTTTCCTCCCCCCCCCCCGCCTCGTTGCTGATGGGGTCCATGTTGTAGGACCCGGTCATGTTGGCGCGGAGACCCTTCGGCGCCTCGTTGGTCATCTTCACCCCGCCCTGCAGGATGGCCACCGGGAACCTGAGCGCCGGCCGAGTCAAAAAACAAAAACACCTGGTATGGAAATGGCGTCTACCCGGAACCATTTCGAAGAAGTTCAAGATCAAAACCGATGGGTACAAAAATGGTGGACCCAGAAAACCAGGCTTCAAGAATTCAGAAGGCGGAATTCCGCAGCTCTTTCTGGCTTTTTGGATCGTCCCTTACTAACCTTCGTCTACCCGGGTTTTGCGCACGTGGCTCCAGACTCAGAAAGCACGGAAAGATGGGGGGTGAAGCAGTGAACGCCGTCTGACTGGACCTCTGGATTTCATCTGGCCTCATGTGGCTTCATCTGCCAGCGGCTCCAGACTCTAGAAGCACGGAAAGAAAGGGGGGGGTGAAGCAGCACGTCTGGCACCTGGCTGGTCCTGTCTGGTGAAAATCTGGGCTTCATCTGGCTTCATCTGCCTGTTCCTATTGGGCAGAATGCGGCTGGATGTCTCTGGATCGGGTTGGTGGGGGTGGGCTGGGGACGCGTGACGGGTGGGTTGGGGTATAAACCCCAAATGAATATACCTACGGATCAAGATATCTTCTTGGAATGAATTTCACCCTGATTGGCAAATTCCCCGTGTCTCTGGGCTGGAGTGGGCTGAATACGGCTTGTATGCCAAGATGCCTCTCTCTCTTTCTCTTTTGTTCTCGCTCTCTCTCTCCCTCTCGCTGCCTCTCTCTCTCTCTCTTTCATGTCTTCTCCGTCGCTAAACTAAGAAAACTCAGAAACACGTTTCCAACTGCATGCCACAGCCCTCAGAGTCCTCTACAAATTGCTTCGTGGGTTCAGCGAGTGGCTTGTTGGAGGGGTAGGAGGTGAGCCAAAGTCGGAAGTCCTCAGAGCGGAATGAGTTGCCCTATTTGACCCGCCTGACCCAAGCAGTGGGACCCGCCTGACGGAACACGCAGGAATACCCTCCCATCAATTAACAGACAGGAATACCCGCCCAGGAATACCCTCGCAAGACAGGAATACAGAACCTGGAGAGTCCTGGTTTGGACCGTTGTCCTTTTAAAGGGACCGGGTCCCTGTGAGGTTCCATGTTGGTCGGTGGGAGGGTATGTTTTCTGGCTGGGGGTGTCTTGAGCGAAGAACGTTTAACATTTTGGAGTTGTGACAATTTGTGTGCACCAACCAGTTTGGAGGGTGTTCCCCAAAAATCATGGCCATCATGCTTGAGTGAGATGATAAGGTTGCAAACCCTCTTCTGAGTGCGCTTCAGGTCAAGGTCAATCAATTCCACGTGCCAAGGATCAGGTTGACTAAGAAAATTTGCAATCTCCCAACCGGGACCTGCATCTTCTAGCCTTGGGAGCAAAGCGGGCGTCCAACATGTCAGCGGGCCTCTGGACTGGGCTTTGAAAGTTTTGGACATTGGTCGTCAAACTGTTTCCCAGCCATTCAACAGTTGAGCTGTTCAGACCCTTTTCAATAGCACCTGCAATGTTGTTTTCATCCTCCGAGAGATATAGGCTTGTTTCAAAATGAAGGGAGCCCGGAACATGCTTGGCTTCAACAACAAAAAACAGAGGAGGAACCACACGCCCCACAACCCCCCCACAACCCCCCCACAACCCCCCCACAACCCCCCCACAACCCCCCCACAACCCCCCGACAACCCCTTCACAACCCCTTCGCAACCCCTTCGCAACCCCTTCGCAACCCCTTCGCAACCCCCCACAACCCCCGACAACCCCGCACAACCCCGCACAACCCCGCACAACCCCCCACCTCCCCACCCCCCCGCCACCAACAAAAGGACCCCCGTCCCCCCATCCCAACGTGTCCTTGTGGATCTTCTTGGGGTCCCTCTCATCCAGCAGCCGCTCCAGGCGCGGCATCCAGCTGGTGGCCAAATGGCAGTTCTGCAGCAGCACCCAACCGCCGTCCTGCGGGAAAAAACCAAAAAAAAAAAAACGAATCCCCCGAGGCCCAAAGGTGACGAAAAATGGCCTGGGAACCCGCCCAAGGGATCTAGAGGAATAAACATGGGGGTATTCCCCGTGGCCCAGTTGAATAAACATGGCCTACGGAACCCAACAGGAGACTAGGGAGGCGAGAAGATGGACACTAGGGAGGCTCCACGCGCACAGAGTTTCAAGGGCTATCCCGCTATATATATATATATAAATAAATATATATATATATATATATGTCGGTATGGCTCAAATTGAAAGAGCTGGTTGGCAAACGCAGGTTTTTGTCTTTGTTTCCATTTGCCAAGGTGCCATTTTGTGTACCGCCCAAAAGGGGATGTAAAGGATGCTACTCAAGAACTGGAATCGAGGAAGCAATGGTTGTGCAACTTTTGAGGCCACAACAACTTGCTAGTGCTCAGGAGGGAATGTGGGAATGACTCCTTTTCAATCATCATTCTCTCATGCCCTGAGGAGAACCGGGAAGACAAGGCAGTGGATTTGCTCATAGCGTCCTAGGTCCTCCAGTAGAGAGGTTAGAATAAGGGTACCCTTTGTTCTGCAGTCTATTTTATTCTATTTTAGTAGGGGAACCCTCCCCAAAAAGGGTAAAAGATGGTAAAAGGGCACTACTGGGGGACCTAGTGTCGCTTTTTCCTAGACCCGGTTGCTTCCCTTGTGGGCCTCCGGCCTCAGCAACAGACCTGAATGAAACCTTGTCTCAAGCCCTTGCCACACCCTTGACCAGATCCCGACCCAAGCAACCGCCCCCAAAAGCCAACCAATGCTGGGCTGTCCTCAGACCTCCTGCTAAAAGTCAAACTTTAGTCGGCTAAATACGGAAACTACCACTCAACCAACCAAAAAAAACATCGACCAAAAACAATTTTGAACGTGATGGCTGAAACCAAAAGTCCACCACATCCGAAAAAAATGAACAAGGTTCTCGCCAGCTCCGGAAAAACATATTTCCCCACATCTGAAGGGCACACCTCGCCGCCTCTCGCCGTTTTTGATTCTCCCTCGGATCCTTGGTGGCGATGTCCATGAGCCGCTCCGCCTTGGGCCCCTGGCCCTGGCCCAAGGAGATGGACGCCACCTCCCGGCCCTTCCTGAGACGGCGTTTCGCGCTTCGCGCTTCGCGCGGTGGCTGTGGGGCTGGGGTTCTGCGAGCTCAGACCCCGGCAGAGCTCAACATTGGCTACCGCTTTAGCTTCTGCTTAGCCTGAGCTTGCCATATAGCCCGCATCAAAAAACGTGCCTTCTGGATCCATTCTGAAGCTTGTGTGGGCAAAAAGCCGACCTAAGGGACATACAAACACTTTGGACAACCCCGGCATTTAGTGGACCGCTCGTCCTGTCAAACAAGTCGCTTTTCCGGGACCTGTCCCAGAACAACATGCCCTCCCTCCAACATAGACAGTGCAAAAAAGCGCCCTTTTCAAAGCGAACGGGCAGTTTGACTAGTCTTGCAAAACAGATTCTGTGCACCAAGGCATGTTTGGTAGGAGAAGGCGCGCAAAACGTGTGCCATGGTCAATACTCTTCGTGTTCACTTAACATCATTGCGTACCCTCCCTCAAAAATCTGACCATTCCCAACCACACGTCAAAGAATTGGCCTTTCGACCCTGGCACCCGTGACTTGCTGGTTCTCAGCAGACAGAGGGAACCCCTGCAAACCAAATCTTTGTGGCTTCCTTTCGGGAAGTCCCTTGCTTCCTTCCCGAAAACCTCTCGTTCATCCCAGCTTCCCTCCAATTGGGCGGTTTTCGGATTGGTGGATCTTGGTGGAGGGGTGCCCCATTTACCCAGAAAGAGCCAGGGGTTCACCACCCCCCAGCCACCAATTCAGGGCTACGCCGCTTCGCCGCTTCGCATTCCGAGGGTCTCCGCGGCGAAGCGGTAGAGGTTGCTCCCGGGGTCCGCGCCCGGGGAGAGGATGAAGATCAGCGGGGACATGGCCTGACCGCGGCGCGACGCGCGGAGTGGCAGCTGCAATGTGTCCCTCGAAACGTGCAGCTTTTTCATCCCAGTGGTTTGGAGGGTGTTTGGAGGGTGGTTTGGTTTCCCATTCCCCCCCTTACAAGAATCACACCCATGCAAAGCACCAACTACGGGTTACCTGAAAAAGGGTGGCTGAAAAAAACAAAACCTCGGACAGTAGTTTGCAGAATCCCGCCACATGTTCGCTTCAAGCATTGAGGTGGGCAAGAGGACGACAAAAAGGGACCCATGGGCCCAAAGAGAAACTTGGAAGCCTCCCCGACATAGAGGGACCTGGCCGATGGCTTCTTCCAGGGCTGTTGGCTTCTGTGTGGCAGGGGCAGGGGGAAACAGAGGACATGATTGCTTTCACTGGTTTCTAATGTGTGCCTGTGGTCACGAACTTTCTTTCCTTTTTGCTGGAGTGTTTGCTTGCTTGCCGTTTGTGCGAACTTGCCTGTTTGCTTCTTTGCTTCTTTGTTGGCATGTGTGTGTGTGTGTCTGCTAAGTCCAGGTCCTCGTCGGGAACTTCCTGGTACTGCGGGCTGGCCAGCTCGGGCTAAGGGGGACCCCTGTTCCGGCGCGGTCAAATAACTTTCTGGTGCTCAGTGGGGAATGTGGGACTGTTGAAGGGGAACCGCCAGGGATAGTTCTTAAGGGCCATTCCCTCATTCCCTGCTGAGCAAGAAGCAAGATAAGCTTCGCCAAAACGAGGATCGAACAAAAAGAAAAGAAAGCGAGGATCGAAGAAAAAAAAAACACAAGAAACAATCCTGGGAATCCTCGCCAAGGCCCGGCCCCGCGCGGCATATCTGTCTGTCTGACCGAACCGGCGGCCCGGCGTTGGAGTCCGTGTAGGAGCCGGCGAGGTCGAAGGGCGGGGGGTTCACAAACTTCTCCCCTAGCCTTGGCCATTGCGCCCCATTCAAACCGTTTCTTTCATGGTTCATAGCAACGGACACATACTTATAACGTGTCTCTCTTTTTTCAAAAGTGTTTCTCTCGCACTTAGAACCGTTGGCCAACAACTCCAGGAAACACCAACTGGCCGCGCCAACTATGGATTTCATCTGCTACTTCTCTCAGGCGAATCCAGGAAAGGCATCCCAAACGTTTGCACATGTTGACTAAGGAGCTTGGACGCGACAAACTCGAGGACCGCCGGTACCACCCGGTCTGGCCGAATGCACCGCAGGATCATCAGGTCCTGTCAGTACTGGCTAGTGACTCGCCAAAACCAGCCTGGAACCCCACTCAGTTGACAAAAAGGAAACCCCTGTTTACCTCCATTTGCTTTAAGCCTTTAGGAAAAAAGAACAATATGTCCAGTGATAGATTCCCTGTAAAACCAACAACACAATAACTCATATTCATTTCAGCAAATGGAAGCATTTAAGGGCTATACCACTTGAACAAACAGAGCTTACTTCCGCACACTCTCTGGGCATCTCCATTTCTTCAGCTTCCGCCCAAATCCGGCTGTCCTGGAAATCCCCGAACTGCGCCATGGACTTGGGCCGTGTCTCAGGGCTTTTCAACAGCTTCATGGGGTTCACGTCGTCATAAACCTCACGCCGGTGACAGCAACGAGTGGAATTCGAGACGCGTGCCACGGGTTCGCGTGTGATGGCGTGATGTCTCCCGTTGTTCGTGTCAATCCTCCAAGCGCCTGAGCAGAGCATTTACTTGTACATGATGCACATGCATTTATCGCTATATATATATATATATGAATCCATGTGCCTTTTTCAGGGATTGCCAAAAACTGAGGACGAATTGCCCAAGAGCATGAAGCCATCTGGAATTGGAACAAGTGCAAGCAGCAAAAGTCCATAACCTTTCCGTGCGCACAAGACACCACCGACGGAGTCAGCTCGGACAAGAGGCCTCTCTCCACATTGGAAGCTCTTCCGCAAACTTCTCGTGGAAGCTGTTGTAGAGTTCCTCCGACAAACCGTGCATCAACTGCCCAAACAGCTGTAAGGTGGTTTGCGATGCGTCACCGCAGCACCAATGTTCCAACCAGATACGCTTGAGAAATAGTATTTTTCCGCTCGGGGGCTTGCTCCAGGTGTCAATCAAAATCCAGAAACGTGTGGAAAGGCAGCCAGGGTGAACGCGCTGCCCGGCGCATTCCTTACCCCATCTTCTGCACCATACCAAAAGCCATGCGTTGATTCTGTTAATATCTTGATGAACCTACACTTGGTTGACATTGGAAGGGGAGCAACAATTCAAATGCTAGCAGTTTAGTAGAAATTTCAACCACTAAACCACAATAAGCAACAATTGAAAAAAAGGCTTCCCAACAACAACCATGTACAAGACCCGAGCAATGGTGAGCCTCCTTGCCATGCAGGCCGGTCCTTGCCGCGACTGAGTCGGAAAAGCTCGCCCCAGCATCTGTCCTCAGCTCGCGCGCCACTGAACCGCTGCAGGTGGATGGGTTTAGGTGGCTCTGTTTTGGTTTGCCTTAAAGGGAAGCAAGAAGAAACCACACATGTTGCGGGGCCCATGTCGGTGCAAGCAGGATGCTCGGAAGATTCGGACCGAACGGCAGGGAAACGAGATCTAACCGCATTGAACAAGTTTGCAAGCGCAAAGAACATGGGCCACAGAAGCCCCCCATTCCCGCACATCCAGCTTAAATGGCTGTGGGTCAAAACCAATGGTACCATTTTGGGTAGGTGAACCACTGGTGAATTCACCACCCACCTATTTTAGCGGAGATTGGGAAACATTGGGATGTTCACTGGGGGCTAACCCATTTGGAGTTCGACCCATCGCCTGAACGAAAAAACAACAACAAAACACAAAACGCATGAGCTTGCGCCCCTTCCCACCACCCGGCCCCCCTTCCCCCGGCCCCCTTCCCCGCCCCCCTGCCCCGGCCGCTCGCCGCTCGCCGCTGCCGCCAAAGGCTCCGGCACCCAGTCCGCCGGGCGGGGCGGGGGGTCCTCCAACGAGACCCCGCCGGTGAGCAGAAAGCGGTAGTCGTCGTAGTCCGCCTCGTCGCTGGAGAGCAGCAGCCGCATACCTCACTTTCGGACAAAAACATCTGCGACCTGAGGGGTCAAAAGGGGGGGATTTGGGAAAATGAAAGAGGTTCTCCATGTCAAGGGCGATTTTAGGAATGCGCTTCACGAGAGGTAATAGTATTGAGATGCGTTGAGGTTGCATACCACTTTTATGATCTATGTTGCTGTCCGCTTCGATGGATTTCTGTCTGAAGAAGGGGTGTGGAGAACAAGAAAGGGAACACGCCTCCTGGAGAGGTCCCGAAAAGACTACGCGACATGAAACTGAAAGTAGGCCAGGCAGCAAAGGAGGAAGGAGAAGAGCGTCTTGTGCTTCTCAAACAAGCTGCGGCAAATGTTGCAGTAGAGCGTGTAGCCTCAGTGGCACTGCCACTGCACAAGAGTGTGAAGAAAACACACGTAAACGTGTGAAAGATGATGAAAGCAGGTTGAACCTGCCTGGCAGAACAAGCCTCAAACACCAAGGTTCATTTTGGTAAAGTCAGGCAAGGCGCGGAAAGTATCATTCAGATTGTCGATGCGCGTGGGCAAGTCATCGCACTTCTCTGCCTTCTCGATTGCCGAGAGGAAAAGGCTGACAAAGAAGGGCAGGCTGTACTGGTACATGGGGTCGATATTTGCCTTGCAAGTACGTAGTTCGTTCGCCCGGGCCGTCTGCAAGACGGGACGGTGCATGACAATGTTGTGGAATCCCCTACAGGTATTCGGGGCAAGGAAGGTTTATGGGCACAGGGTCCACAGGTTGACTCCGAAAGGATCGATGAGCAATTCCTATAGGGGAACCCCTCAGAGTGGGTGTCCTTCTTGGTGCCCTCTTACTTGCAGGCATCTTTGCCCGGGACCCGACTCAACCCTTTTTTCCAACTGTCTAAGCCTCCAAAAATGCCAAATCTGGGGTAAGTGGTGTACCCCCCAAAACCGCGCCAGGGGTTTCTTGGGTTCTTTCATGAAACCCAGCCGGATTTACGAAACACGACTTGGTCGCTGCCTGGCTATGACTTTGGTCGCTGCTACCCAGGTTCTGGGCACAGCTTGTCTACAAGCGGTTTGACCTGGCTATGGTTTTGGTCGCGGTGGTCTCCGGCGCTGGCAACAGCCCCTCCTTTGCGCCGGGGCGAAACGGCCACTTTGACTGGGTGAAGAATTAAAAAAATCACCAAACCTGAAACTTGCGGTGGTTGGGGGGCTATGCCCCACATAAGCCACCGTTTGGGATGATTTCGCTCGTGTGAATTCATTCGGTGGTTATAATTCGCCCGAGACTTTGAGCCTTCGAGCGCCAAGGCGCCAAATCGGAGATGCAGAAGAAGAGGATCGCTGTCTTGAAAGCCACCGGCACATAGCCCAGGCGAGCCTGCCATCGTGGCAAAGGACCGGGGACCGGGGGGGGTGCGGGGGCAAAATGCCCGTAGTGAGGCTGCTTTAGTGCAGCATGCCGCTTGGAAGCATCGATCCCGCACATACATCCTCATCCTTGAACACAAAGGCAGCGTCGGGTGTGAAACAGGAGGCCCAGCACATTTTGTTCAGTATTCTACATGGATGCACCGAAAACCGCCGGAATCCATGGCTACGATTCTCTTCGCAGGGAAAATTAACCACTAAGCAACTGACATGTGACATCAGAGATGGATGGACCCTGAAGACTCCCTTAAAACTTGGATCTTGCCCCCAAACAAATTGGGGTGAGTTCCCTTGATAGGTAGTTTGAGGGTCCAGGGAGGGATCGATTCCCTCACACAGGTCTCAGCCAGCTCTCCTTTGGCCCCTTGTGGGAGAAATCTCGCCTCGTCGATCTGCTTCTCCGTCTCCTCGGCGATCTCCTGGCAAGGGATCAAACCGAAGGCTTGAGGTTGCCGTTGACCCCTGGAATCCTTCAGAAAGTCAGCCCCCTGCAATCATTTCTGAAAGGGTTGGAGGATTCCCTGGAGTTTCAAGGCTTAAACCGAGGCTTTGGTTTTGAAGCTTTGGGGGGGGGAAGAAGTTAAAATTTGGGGCTTCTTGTCCATTTGAGATCGTTCAATCCCCCCCCATGCTACAGAGAATGCCCGCTTGGACTGCCAAAGGAAAACCAACCATTTCAGGCTTGCATCGACCAATTGAAGCCACGCCCAACCCCAATCTCCTGCTTTGCTGCGATCTTATTGGACAGCGCTTTGCTGGAGCTCAAGACGTTGATGGCCGTCTCGTCCTGCATGTGGGGGAAGGCCAGGCTTGCCGTTGGAAGCCCTAGTACGCACCACTTTTGCTTAACCTTTACATACCTCTTGCCTCTTTGGGCAAGACTCTATCAAAACAGGGCTAGGCCCCTACCAGAGTAGACCTCCTCTTGGGCGAGGGCCCCTCCATGTTCTTACAAAGCAGGAGCGGAGTTGCAAGCCAGATGCCGCAAAACAGCTCAGTCCAGACTCCTAGGCTCACATGTCCCAAGAGCCCCCTTGAGGCATCAACCCAAGTACACATCAACTAGTTCTGGTCCTTACGATGATAGCTACCACCAAACAGGGGGAACACAGCCACGATCGCAAAGTCCCAGGGCGCATCCAGGCCTCCAGAATGTTGCCCTGGGACGTCTGCAGCACATGCAGGATCTTGTTCCTCAGGCCGCCAAAGGGCCGCCCAAAGGGTCGCACTCGCACCTTTCCCAAAGTTGCCGGGAAGAATTCTCCTGGCATAGTCTTGGCTTTGGAAGGGGAGCAAACAAAAAAAAATCCTAGCAGCCAAGTGGGGATTTCAACCACTAAACCAGTGGGGATTGCCCACTAAAACCCCGGGGATTTCAACCACTAAAACCGCCACCGGCAAAAAAAAGCAAAAAAACCTTCCCAACAACAACAAGCACGTAGTTCCGTCAAGACCGGCCTCTAGGAATAGCCGGGCCCCAGGCCTTCACAAACCTCTCCTTTTCCAAGTCGGCGGTTCAAAAATCGACAGAAGGCGCCAAGACAACCTGATGCAGAAGGCCACAGCTTCAGCTCACCCCCGAACACGCCCCGATGAAAGCAGCCTCCAACCAATTGCAGAGAAAAATCGCATCTTTCGCCCCTCCTGGTGAAACATTCCTTCTTCTTCCTTGACGTGCTCGAACCCCCCCCCAAAGAAAAAAACAACAACAAGACTCTTCAAAGCACCACATTGGTGCTACTGGTACCTTAATCGCGAAACGGTGCATCCTTTACGCCGCATAAGGATTAGTGCCAAAATGGGAGGATTGCCCAGCTCCACTGGGCAGCTCCCCTCAGCAGCTGATGGGAGTAGAATTGATGCCACTCCCACAGCGAGGGAGGAATCCTCCCACCTCACCGGATGCCCTCCCGGCATCATGGGTGAGGAAGGAAAGTAGCGAAGATCAGCTTGATCAATTCGCTTTCGACTGAGGGGAAGACCCGGTTCTCAGTCGGAAATTGCGGGTCCGGATGAGTAAGTTCATCCGCCCATGTGTTAAAGTCGCGCTTCACATGCGACGGTCCTAACATGACCTGGTGGTCATGCAGTGTTAACACAATTTCCATGAGGATGGCCGCATTGGGCATCCTGCGAGTGGAATCGTTAAGCAGGGAGAAAACGTTTCCCTGGTTATCACTAGCAACCAGAATCCTAGTGTGAGAAGCCGAGCCGGCTGCACAAAGCAGAACAGCCCTCACCAAAAGGAGGAGGCCGAAGAGCTCCAAGGCCGCTATCGCCCGCTGCGGGTCCCCAGTAGTGAAGGCCCACGGCTCGCCCTCCGGTGTGATTCTGTGTTGGAACCACTTCACTCGGGACTTGTCGGGGTTGGGCACGTCCGAGCACCAACCACCAACCCATGCATGGTCCGCCTGTTTGCCAGCTCCCGCATCAGATGCCCCCGTCCATGGAAGTGTGGGAGCAAATGGAGATGCCAGTGGGAACCTCTGGTTGAAGAGCTTCCCCAGAAGGATGGCCAGAGCACGAACCAGCTTCGGTGGCCTGCCCGAAGTGGTGCAGGCCTTCTTCCAGCTCCAAAAGGGCTGGAGGAAAGGTTTCGTCAATGGACACGCCGAAGTAGCCCATTGAATCCGGCCCAGGGCTTGTTCCACCTCCTTGCTGGTAAAGATGTCCCCCTGGGCCAGCCGTTTGAGAGTGGCCAGGATTATGACGTGCTTGACTGGAGCCAGCAGCACACAGGGCGTGATTGGGTCCACCACGAATCCCAACCAGGTATTGACCGGGGAGAGCGCCGTCTTCTTCCAAGAAAGCGGGACTCCCAGCGCCAGAAGAGTGGCCAGGATGGCTGTGGCGTCCCAGTCCGCCCTGCTGCATCTGAGGACCCAGCAGTAGTCGTCCACAAAAACTAAGTGCCAGTCCACCTGAGGGAAGATGTAGTACAAGAGTCTGAGCACCAAGGATGCCTTTCTTCCCCAGTACAGTTGTGCCGAGGCCATGCCGTACGTGCCCACTCTATTGACCCACCACCGGTTCTGGATGCAGGCCACCTGGTATTTCCAGTCTTTCTGGAGCACTTTTATGCGCCTGTGGGCCTTGGTGACATCCGCCTTGAGGATGATGAAGGTTTCCCCCTGTGTCGGCGGCTGCCACGTCAGGGGTTCCCCCCTGCTCCCCCCAGGGCGTTCCGTGCCTGGGGGGGTTGGGGGGAATGGGGCCCTCCTATCAGGGCCCTCGGCACCTGGGAGTGGCCCCTTCCCTGAGGGTGTTGACCGCGGAGAGACGTCCAGGCCGCCGGAGGTCTCCATCATCCGCCTGCCCCTATCAGGGCCCTCGGCACCTGGGGGCAGGCTGGTGCTGTGGGGGTCCCTCTCAGGGCCCTCGGCACCTGGGGACTGCCCCTGCACCGGCTGGTGAACATCCCGAGGTTCCTCATCAGTGCCCGAGGATGGGGCTCGGAGTAGATGAGGATGGTCCGCCGCTGTCCTGAGCCAGTGGATGGCATGGAGGCAGTCTCCAACCATCGGTGCGGTGGTCTTCTCCTCCGTGTGAGCCTGGATGTGTGCGTTTGCTCCCCCTTTTGAGCCATCATAGATCGTCCTGATCTTGTCCGACTCATCAATCCCTGCAAGGGGGCCCGGGCAAAGTTCCTCCGGTTTGCAGCGGCACCTCTCTGCCGCCTCGGAGCGAGTGAAGGGCCCGTCCACCATGTCCAAGGCTCGTTCCTCGTAAAAGGTTGATTCGATTTCCTTGGCAAAGAGTTCAGCCGTTGGGTAGTTATCATGAGCCACTGGCGGGGGGGGATCTTCCCCCAGCCAGGCTTCTCCCTTAAGCTCCTCCTTAGTGGGCCAAACTCCCGGGGAGGTCAAGGTAGGGTCCGAGACTCCCAAGGGGACCCCCTCTTTCAGTGTTAGGGGGAACTCCCAATCAGGGTCACCTGAAAGGGATGCCAAGTGCGACACTAAGTCCAGGAGGAAGGGTTGTCCTGGGCATCGTTCATGGAGGTGCCTCGGTCCTAGGATAGCCCGCAGCTCCTCGAGGTCGGCTTCCTGGAAGGGGTGTGTGGTGGCACCTGATGCCAGGGACATTCGGACCTTGTCAATCCAGGGCCGGGTAAGGGTCATGATCAGGGCGCCCAAAGTAGCCAATGGGGAAATTCTCCGAAAAGGGGGGTTGAGCCTCCCTGGGGAAGGTTTTCCCCCCCCATCCCTCAGGGGGCGTGAGCGGAAACCCAATTGGACAATCGCCACCCGGTCAGTGAGGTGTGGGACCCTGAAAGCGGGCAGGCATTCGGGGCGGTCCAGGACCTGGTCCCCCTGTCCCTCCTTCCCCAGTTGTTCCGCATCTCCGGCCATCGGGGGCATGGGAGATGGGAAGTCTGGGTTCATTGTTCCACGAGGGCTTACGGTGTCTGCCTCAGGGTGGAACTGCCCGTGCAGGCGGGGCTTCGGGGCGTTCTTGCCTCCGGGCTTTGAGCCCTGGTGTGATGAGGAGGGACCGCCTCCTTGACTGGGCCCCCGTTTTCCCCGGGGGGAATGGCCTTCCGGGGGGTCCGACCCCCGCCCCTTAGGTGGTTCCTTGGGGTTTCCCGGAAATTGTGAGGGGATCCGGATGTGCCCCGGCGCTGCGAGTGACACAGCGATGGCTTTGGCCAGGCCTGCCATCATATCCCAAGGGTATCTGCTAAGAGTCGAGGACTCGTTGGTGCCCACATGTGACTGATGCGTGCACCGCATTTGATCCCAGTCCTGGATCGGGAGATCCGTGGCCAGCGTAGTGGCCTTCTTGACCAGCTGGCCCAGGCGGCACTGGTCGAAGGAGATTGCTGTCAAGGAGTTCTCCTCCATCCAAAGCTGCCCCTCCTCTGTGATCCAGAAGGATGAGCATTCCTTGGCTTTGGGCAGCGAGCTGCTCACCACTGGGTCCTCCGGGTGTTCCAGGAAGGACCTGGGCCCTGGCAGAGAAACCGCCGCTCGTGAGGCCCTTGCCAGGCTGGTGATGTACATCTGTCTCAGAATGAGGATGCTGTCATCATCAAGTTGAGTCTGGGCGGCCTGGTCCAGGTGTGGAAGGCCCCAAAGTGTCTCTGGAGTGCGCCCTCGCACCGGGGTGGGAGCCCCCGGTTTTGGTATGTGGCGCAGGATGGACCATGTCCTGCAGTTGGGTCCTCCTCCAATGAAGACCACTCGGCCCTGCTTTGCTGCCGTGCAAAGAGCTCCATACAGCTCGGGTTGGAGCATATCGTGGTCCCCTTTTGGTCCAGACCGTAGGATGTCTACCGCCACCACCATGCTGGAAAGGTGTGGGTAGTTGGCATGAAGACAGCTGTCCAAGGAAGTTGGGTCTTCCTTGCCTGCATAGAGCAGGACAATGATGGGCCCACTGGATGGAACTTTGGGCGATGTGCCCTGTGTCCATCTCAGCCGCTGTACCAGACGCTCAGGGATGTTCTCCATCCACGGGAAGATGTCCAATCCCGGTGACGGCTCCGTTGGACTTGTCAGGGGGGTAGCTGAAAGGCGTTGGCCCCCTTCATTCAGCCCCACCGAGCTCTTGTGGAAAACCACCGGGTCCTGCTTGATGATGTTGGGCGCCGGAAGTGGGATCGGCTGCTTCCTGGGAGTGTCCCTTGGCGTTGCGGTGTGCTGCCAGTCATCCGGCACTCGGGCCTTCTGGGTGCGGCCCCCCGTGTCAGGGCCCTCGGCACCTGCGGGGAACCGTCCCGTCCCCGCCATATCAGGGCCCTCGGCACCTGTGGCTCGGGACTGAGGCGCCGCCGTTGTGCCGGTTGTGTGGCTGTTCTGATCACGGCGAGGGCGTTGTGCACGCTGGTTCTGCCGTCCCCATCCTTGTTCCGCCGAGGATGGCCGCCACCTGGCCTGTCCCCCCCCTGTGTCAGGGCCCTCGGCACCTGCAGGAGGGGGCTTCTGTGCCTGCTTGGGGCGTTTGCGCCCCTTCTCGCCTTACCGGGCCTTATCAGGGCCCTCGGCACCTGAGGCCTCCCGGGGGGTAGGGGTCAGCGCCCCTAGTCAACCCGGGCAGTCCTGCGGGAGGTGGTCCCCCAGGCAGATGCGGCCCATTGCCAGGATGAGGTTGCACTTGTGGGTGCGGCCGCAGTTGCCCGGGCAGCGCCCGCGCATCCAGTTGTTACAGAACTGGTTCCCTTTCGGGTCGGTGGCTGCCTGCTTGTTACCGCCCCGGGACGCCTGATTGTTCAGGTGGGGGGTCTTACCCTTCCCTTTGTTCCCAGGCTTGCCCTTGGACTTCCCCTTGCCCTTGGACTTGTTCTTGCCCTTCTGAGGTGGTGCGTAGTCCATGGATGTCCTGGTTGATGGGCGGCCCCTGGAAAAGGTCTTGATCTTCTCATAGACCTCACGTGTCCAGAACAATGTGTCCTGCCTGACCGACAGCATGGCCGCCTTGAGGGTGTTGCCCTCATGCATCTTCTCGTGAATCTTTCGCCATGCGTTGCGTTCGGCAATTGCCAGGACGTGGTCCTCTGGCGGGGGAAAACGGCCCCCGATGTCCTCACCATAGAACCACTCGTACCAGCTCTCCAAGTCCTCCCGGGTGATGTCGAACTGGCCGAACTGCGGGAACGAGAGGACGCACATGAGGAGGGTGTTGCGGAACACCGCGTGCATCCTCTCGAGCTGGTGGCGAGTTTTGGGCTCGCCCCGCTCTTCCACCTCATCCTCCCGGTCCCAGCCATCAACCGTGCTCTTCTTAGTGGTCTTCCATGGCCGTTCTCCTGGCTCCGGGAGTGCGCTTACCAGGTATTTCATGGGGATGAAACCGATCTCGCCTCCTGCGCAGAGCTTGAACTGGCGCTTCACCAGCTGGTCGCTTCCTTGAAGGGCCAGCTTGGGTTTGGTGAGCTTGGTCTTCTCCTCCCAAACCCTCTCCAGCTGTCCCCGTTCGCACGAGACCGTGAGATTCGGGGCGGTGTCCCCGGGCGTGTGTGGCCCGGGTCCCGCTGTTGCATGCGCCCCAACTCCCATGGATCGTTGAGCCGCGTGAACCACCTGGAACATGCGGGCCGCGATCAGCCGGGAGGTCACATCCGTGTAGTGGTGGTTGTTGGGGGCGAAGCCCAACTCCCCCGGCGCCGTCTCCCTTGCACGGTCGGGCGAGTCCCACCGGGTCGCGAGGTCCTCCATCGAGACAAAGCCCTCATCCGACAGTGTCGCTTGGATGAACCACGGGATGCCCTTGAGGACCATGAGGTTCCTGGCGGTCTTGTGGAGCTTAGCCACTGCGTCCGTGTACACTCCAGGAACTTCCTGTGGTGGTGCCACCAACTCATCTGGTGTCACCGCCATGGTGTGGGTGGGCGGGATTTCAAATCACAAGACAAAAGATCAAAAGGTCCACTTGAGCCAAAATGGTGGCCCAAGTGGATACTTATTAAGAGTCAAGACAAGCGACCACCTACGGTTAACGCTTTAGCCCAGACTCTTCAAAGCACCACATTGGTGCTACTGGTACCTTAATCGCGAAACGGTGCATCCTTTACGCCGCATAAGGATTAGTGCCAAAATGGGAGGATTGCCCAGCTCCACTGGGCAGCTCCCCTCAGCAGCTGATGGGAGTAGAATTGATGCCATCCCCAACGGACGGATCGCATCAGCTGCCAATACCAACGGACGAGCTGGTCGTTGGGGAGGTCCTCCCTCCACGTATGCCGTGTGGTCCCGCTGTCGCATTTCAGGGCCCTCGGCACCTGTGCGTCCAGCGGTCCGGCTGCGGCCCCGTCAATCCGCCGCCTGGGATGCCCGGGGACATCTCAGGGCCCTCGGCACCTGTGTCCCCTGGTTCCCGGGGCACTGGCCCCCTGGGATGGGGGTGAGAACATGTCAGGGCGTGTCAGGGCCTTCGGCACCTGCGCTCCCCGCTGGCCGCGGGGCTGGGCCCCTGGGGGGTGCCGGGCGTATCAGGGCCCTGCGCCCTCTCCCCCTGCCTCCTTGCCTTGAGGCATGGGGGGAAGCGTGTCAGGGCCCTCGGCACCTGCGCTATCCACCCCTCACTCAATTTCCGGGAGGACGACCGCCTCCTTGTCCGACTGAGTGTCCACGCTCTCGTCGGTGTCCGAGGAGAGGGAGATGGAGGCCTCGGAGTCCTGTGCTGCGTAGGGCTCCACGGCCATCCACGTGTTCGGGAAGGTGAAATGCCGGAAACATCTGGTGCATCCCAGGTACACCTCCGGCTCAGCATGGAAGTCCTGCTCCGCCAGCTCCGAAATCTTGAGCGGTCCCGGCCTCCAGCCGCACCCCACTGTGACTCCATCTGTGTCCAGTAGGTGCATGCTGTAAGCTTTGGTGGGACCCTTTCGGGCCGTGGTGGCTACCACCGTCAGTGGACCCCGAGGCGGGGGCACCTCATCCGCAGCCATCTTGGTGATGGCCGGCTTGTTGGCGGGGATCACATCCCAGCTGGCATTCGAGGGCGGTGTGTCCGGGACTTCCTTGAACAAGGCCTTCGGTGAGGCCGGGCACTCCACCTTGTCCTCCCAGTCCTCATGTCCGAGGTCGACTCGGACCGCCCTTCCTGCCTCGAGTTGCATGGACGGGAGCTTCTGGAGGACCTGGTCCCAGATGGAGCACACCACGTGTCGCTTCTCCCGGGTGTAGACATCCGCCGTGGACTCCTTGAACCAGTTTCCCAGGTACTGGCGCTGGTCCCTCGGTATGTGCGCCTGGAATGCCAAATCCGGCATGAAGACCCGGAAGGAGTACCATGAGAGTTCAGCCACGTCCTTGACTGGCGCGCCCTGCTTCCCCAAGGCGTCTTTGAGCCACCTCAGGGACCTGTCTGGGGTTCCTGGGCGGGGGATGAAGCCCGTCCTGTCCTTGTTGATCGTGGGGATCAGGTAGTCCATCTCGCGGAACTCCTCCGAGGCCCTGAATCTCTTCCACCACCGCTCCAAGGGGATCCACCATCTGGCCCCCGAGAAGGAGAACAATGGGGCGATGAGCGGGACCGGGTTCCGTTTGATGGCCACTGCCGACGTGGTCTTCGTTTGCCAGGCCAGCAGCTCCAGGGTGTTGCTCGTGGACTTGACCGTCTGCGGCGAGGTGTGCTGCACGTCGTTGAAGCGCGCACTGCAGGCCAGGTTGAACCTGGCCATCGCCATGATGTACCTGTCCACTGCTTTGGTCAGCTCCGGGACCCGGTTCTCCGGCGGGGCCCCTTCTGCCCCTTGTTCCAGGGCCCAAACAATTGCCCGGGTCGGAACCACCGCCTTGCGCTGTGGCTTGACCTGGGTGTCCACCAGCGTCTCCTGGATGGCTTTCCGCTTCTCCAGGAGTTGTTTGTGTTCGTCAACGTTGAGCATGCCGAGTTTAATGGAGAGCCACTTTAAAGTGCCCCACCACTTCTGGAGCTTCGCCGGGGTGACCTCCAACGTGACCGCCTGGTTCATGAGGTGCCGGACGTCGCCGGCCGTCCAGGGGAGGTTCTGGAAGCCGATCTTGCGCATGCCCTCATAGGCCAAGCAGTGTGCCCGGATGGTACGGAACCGGGCATCACGGTCGCGGGCCCGGTCCGTGTCAGGGCCTTCGGCACCCGCGGACCGGGCCGCCGTCCAGACCGCATTGCCCTGGTCATCCACCGTCAACTGCCAATGCGTGCCCGCCATCTCCAGGGTGGCCGAGTTGGTCGCCGTGTCAATGGGCTCCGTCTTCTTGCCGCACCCCATGCACTTCGTGGCGCCCTTCTTCACCCAGGGCATGGTGCAGCAGGGGCAGATCCAGGATGTGGGCACCTTGCCCAGGGGGCGGTTCTCCAGGCCCCCGTACCCCAAGCCAGCGCGCTTGCCAACCTGCTGTCCCGGGGTGCTGAGCCGGGCCTCATGCTCGTACTTCATCTTGGCGATGTAGAAGGCCTCCACAACGCGCTCCAGGCCCCCCCGCTTGAGTTGGGGGCCCTCAAAGCCTCGCAGGAGCCGCTGGACGTCCTTGGCCTGCAGTCGGCGGAGCCTAGTGGCCGTGGTCGCATCGAAGCAAGGGAAGTCGCCCGCCATCTGGTCGTCGCTGAACTGGTAGAGGCCCTCCGAGACCTTGAGGGCCTTGGTGAACACGCTCCCCCCCGGCGGGGGGGCTGCGGGGTTCTCATCCTCCTCCGAGGACGCCTGCTCCTTGACCTTCGCCATCAGCTCCCGGCGCCTCTGCCACTTGGCGTCTGCCCGGGCATCCAGGCGGGCCTCCTCCAAGCGGGCTGCAGCCGAGGGGGACCTGGGCATCGGCAGCTCCTTCTCGTCCTTCGCCAGGAGCTCCTCCATGGGCACGTCCTCCTCCGGCGGGTTCAGGAGCTCCAGGAACGCCCCTGGGGGGCGTGTCAGGGCCTTCGGCACCTGCGCCACCCCAGGGGCTGCATCTTCCATCGGCTCATCCTCTGCCTTGCGCTTGGCCGGGATAAGGGGGGCCTGCTCCAGCTCATCTGCGCTGGAGAAGAAACGCTCGTCAGGTGCCTGAGGGACCTCAGCAGCCAAAACGGTCCATCCTTCTTCCTCCCTCTTCACGAGGCTCGCCAGGTACTTTGCCATGGAGGCCTTTGCCTTAGCCTTGGCCTCTGCTACCGCGGCACCAGCGTAGGCGGGGGCGTACATGGCTTTGAGAGTAGGGGAAAGAAAGATTTCAAATCACAAGACAAAAGATCAAAAGGTCCACTTGAGCCAAAATGGTGGCCCAAGTGGATACTTATTAAGAGTCAAGACAAGCGACCACCTACGGTTAACGCTTTAGCCCACTGTCCCAACCTCTCCCCACCCCACACTTTTTACACCACACCTGCCCAATCCACCACTCCGAGTGGCTCGGTCTCTTCCAGCTGGGCCTTGTTCTCCGCCCCTTCCACCACCAGCCGCGCCTTGTCCTCCGCGAGCTCCGGGCGCTCCGCCTGCACCACGATGTTCAGCAGCTGGTCCTCCGCATCCGTCGCTCGCTTTTGGCGCTTTTTTTTGGGGGGGGATCCGCAAAAACCAACCAAGGGCATAGGTGTCCTTTTTGGGAAAATAGATGGCCCTGGTAGTTGATTGAATTGCCAGGTAAACCAGGGACCTCTATTTTTCAACCAAATCAAGCGAAAAGGACACCTATGACCAAGGGTTTTTGCCCTTTTAAAGCTTCCATTCAAATCGAACAAGGGAGATCAGCTGGAGTGTAAGAATGGTGGTGGAGGACATGCTCAAGGCAGGTCGTCCAAACAAGGAGGTGAATGGTGCGGGGAACAGCCGACATGTCGGCCATGTTTTGCTCAAAGCCATGCGTCGAAAGTGCCCAGCCGAAAGCATGTGGCGCAGTCGAGTTGTCACAACTGGCTACCTTCTTTGTTTTCCAAAACAGGGCATTCAGAGCCGCCTTGAAAGGAGGTCTGCAAAGACATCCATGATTCGGATGGCCTACAAGCTGGTTGTTCGAAGCTCAACTATTTTTTACAGCCGCTGTTTCGCTGCCACCACTTCCCGACCATAGTGAAGTAACGATGTCAAACCTGTTTTTCTTGGGCGTCTGGCTGTTCAGGAGGCGGCAAGGCTCTCAGCAGCCATCAAAGCACCAAACGGCGGGACTGGCAAGTGCGTTGTCTACTGGCTTGCTGCTCGATGTTCGGCTCGATGAGCCTAAACCAACTCATTGCTGTTTGGCTTTACTCATCGTTCGTCTGCATCAAGTCTCAAATGGCTGCTCAAATCTAACGGACCTCTGCCTGCGCCGTCCAGAAGGCCAGAAGGGGAGGAAAAGAAAGCCTCTGCAAGCCCCAGGTGCAACTTTTTTAAAGCGAAGGGAGGCTCAACATCCCTGGGCATCGCTGATGTTTTGCACCTTTTCCAATGGACTGAGCCACCTGCTTGAGTTCAACCCGACTTCACGTCCCGTACCTTTCCCTCGAATGCATCCCCCCCCCTAAGCTCAAATTGGGAACAAAGCCATCCAAAACGGGGATCTTTGAGTACATATACCCAGAGTGGCCATGGGAACAAGTGGGCACCTTCATGTCTTCCTCTTGGTTTCCTCTGGGCTTCCTGCGTCAAAACAAAAACCCAAAGGCTCCGGTCACCCAAGGATTCGGCTTCGTCCTGCAGACCCACCACGGTGATCATGAAGTTCAGCAGGGTGACCTTTCGGTCCCCGCCCAGGGACCGCGAGAGCGAGCTGCGCGCCGGTGGCTTTGCGTTTTTTTGCTTGGAGGCCATTTGTTTGTGGCATAGCAAAGCATTTACCTCGCGAAAGCAGTAACTAACTGCCTGGCACCACATGTTCCAACCCAGACATGGCAACAAGAACCTCCAACCCTGAAACACCTTGGCTGCACCAAAGACGAAAACCGTTTTAATAAACGATCCCGAACTTGAGCAACAAAACAAAAACATCTTCATGGGATATCGTGAGGATACACCTGGCGAGGTCACTGTGGTTGGCCCAGGTCTCTCGGATTTTTGCGGCTGCCCTTCATATTGGGGTACAATGGCAGGTGAAACTTCAGGGCCCCTGATTTGTTTTACCTCTCAAAACAGGAGGCAGACACACACGACTACCTTTGGGGAGGTAGACGCACAAGATTAGAAACCTCGAACGGAGCCATGACTACCTTTGGGGAGGTAGACGCACAAGATTAGAAACCTCGAACGGAGCCATGACTACCTTTGGGGAGGTAGACACACAAGATAAAATAATTTGAAGGTGGCCATGCCTGACCATTCCACTCTGCCCCCAGCTCGACATGACACCATTGAACCGGGAACAGCCCATCACTGGAAAACCCCCACTCGACATTATTTTTGCGGGGTTCCAACACAGTGTTGGAACCGCAACCGTTGGATGTCCACGAATTGGCTGTCCACAAATTCTTGGTTGTAGATCCCCCAGCAAAAAAGTTATAAACTTTTTGCTGGTTGAAAGGAAATATGAGAAAAAAAAAGTGTTTCTTGCATCCAAAACCGCAGAAAAGTTGGACACTGAGTGGTGACCCCCAACTGGACCAGCAACCTTCACGGCGATCTCTGGCAGGTAGTGCGGGTTCCGCAGCTTCGTTGTGAGATAGAGCTTGAAGTCCTGGCGGCGTGTTTCTTCTTTTTGAGGTCACCCATATTCTTGGTTGCTGTTGACCCCCCCTGCAAAAAGTTTAACCTTTGGGGGGGTTTAGTGGAAAACCCCTTTTTTGCCCCAAGTGAAGTTTGAAGATCCAACCCACTAGCAGTCAAGCATTGGGCGAAGGGAAAGGAAACAAAACCTATTTTGGGCCCGGCCCAGAGCACCAGTTTGATGCATCACATGCACATGCCAATTGAAACAGAACTCATTTGGGAAGAGTTGCGTCGAATCGAAATTGACCCTAGCCATACATACAAGGGACATGCCGCTTCCTCGCTGAGCTGAGCATGACGGTTGAAAAGTCACACTTTTATTCAATAAATAGACAACGTGCACATCTCACTTGATATGCTTCATAATTGTCACATGTAACCGTTCTTTCACATAATTGAATGTCAGTTCAAATGAACCCTTGAACCGCATCAAGCGCAATAGGAAACAACTGGGGATAGACAGGGCATCGAGGAACGTCAGGCTAATTATGAAACAATACTGGCTCACGCAGTTCTGGGGTCGATGCATGACATGTACATGAACATATCGCGAAAGTATGGTGAACATTAAGCGATGGGTGGGCATAGGCATGCGCAATACAAATGTGTACATTTACATATTATGCATGCACGTAAATATAGAAGGCGATACACAGAAACATACGCATACATGTTTCTCATGTGGTGGTGGGTTTGGTGCACTTTCCTTGCCGATCCGGATTCTGAGGATGACATGGGCATTTGACTCACCTTTTGTGCTGGGAGACCCGCTGGTTCCGAAGACGCCCAACACGAACGGCATGCGTTGCGAGGCTGACGCTGATGCAACCACTGCTCCGGAATGGCATTGCAAAAAGGCAACTGACACAAAAGAGCCGAGTAAAGCGAACATGTTGCAGAGGCAAACAAATCATAGATCCATGCATACACGTACAGATAAGATACACATACAGAATCTATTTGTGGACATTAGCCTGCAAAACATCCGCTCCTTGTTGTACTCCAGCACAGACTCCCCCAGCTTGAGCATCATGCGGTTCCCTTGGCGGTAGGTCTGCTTGAGAAGTACCGGCTCGATGGCCGGGTCGGTCTCCTCCAGGATGTTCTCGATGAGCATGGGGTTGCCGTAGGTGATGCAGCCCTGACTGCCGCTTCGACGCGCAGTTTCGGGCGACGGGGAGAGCAACTAGGTCCTGTAGAGAGGGTGGAAATAAGTTGGTACCCTTTCTTTTTTCTGCCGTCTATTTTGGTAGCCCTCTCCCCCCCAAAAAAAAGAGGTGAAAGGGGCACTACCGGGGGACCTTGGCAAGGAGGAAACAGGAAAGGACCATGCCAACATCGCGAAAAGGCATAGACGTTTGAGAAACGAGACGCCTTCAAATCCAGGCACAGTGCAACGGCACGTTGCACATTGACGTTTGTTGTGCCATGTCAGAAAAAGAAGGGTTTCGCAACAATCGCTTTCATGGAGGTCCCACGATTTTTTGCGCAGCACGCGCAAATGAAAATACGGCCCCACTGGCCAGCGCATGGGGCTTCTTCCCAGTCGGAACCAGGCTTGCAGAGCACCACTTTTTAGAGAGACGTGCAGGAATGGCCATCGCCGTGTTTCACAGCCATTGCTCGCAGTTCACGGCCAGACCTGATTTTGTTTTGCTTTACCCTAAGCATGCAGAGAGTCATGACCATCTCCCTGTAAGACACAGGAGGTCTTTTGAGGGGTTCAAATGAACAGTTCCAATAGCACTCTTCCAAAAACAGGGAAAAGTTGACCAAAGGGTTGCTTTGAGGTAACTACAACCAGTCGCAGCGCGGCCTCCAAGCGCCGGATGTAGTCGCTGTCCGTGAACTTCTTCACCGCCAACTTGTTGGGCTCCTCCATCTTCCTGGGCTGCAGCAAGCAATTTGGTCGTGGCTAGGTCCTCCAGATTTGAGAGGTTAGAAGAAGGGTGCCAACTTTTTTCTATAGTCTATTTTAGTAGGGGAACCCTCCCCAAAAAAGAGGGCACTACTGGGGGACCGAAGTGGGAAACAAGACCTGTGCCAAACAATCCTAGGGGTTGATTCCAGTTCCTTTTTTTCAACCAGCGTTCCTTTTAAAAACCGATCGCTGTTTCCCTGGGGTTCTGTGGGTTTTCTGGAAAGAAGGATCCCTGGAAAGAATGGGGAGGTGTCCCCTAGAAAAATGGGGATGGTTACCACTCCACGGTTGTCGTTTTGAAGGCTTTCTAGTGTTCACCGGGGTACCGGGGTTTTGACCCATTTGTCGAAGATGCCCAAAACTGGTGTCCCCTTTGTTGGGCCGCCAATCCGCACCCCGCAAATTCCTTTCAACTGGGGCCTCACGCGTGTTCCCTACATCTACGACCATGAAACACTGCTTCCCTCTTCAACTCCAGCCCAAAAGACCCCCCCCCCCCCCCGCCCCCCGGCTGTTGCTGTTGGGCTGATGGGCAGTTGGGCAGGTAGGTGGTTGGTTGTGTTATGTTGTTGGGCGGGCTGTTGCTGGGCTGCTGGGTTGCTGGGTTGGTTGTGTTGGGTTGTGTTAGGTTCTTGGGTTGGGCTGATTGGAGCCAGCCGAACCCTTCTTTGCCGCGGGGCTTGATCCACTTGTTGGCCTGGCCCTGGGGATCGATGCACAGGGGCCAGCGCCGGCTCTTGTCGATGATGATCCCGTTCTCGATGGAGAAGGCGTCGTTGGGCAAGCCGCAGATGGTCCAGCTCCGGATCTTCACCGGCTCACCCAGGCAGTCCTGGACGCATCCACGTCCGAAAGACTCTGGCAGGAAATGAAACGCACGTCGGAAAGAAAAACAACAAAAGCAACCGGAACAAGGGAAATGAGGAAGCCTGGAAGAACTAGCGACCCCGGACAGGAGACAAAAGGAGCCGTTCTTGTTGGGATTCATCCACCTTTTTTGGCAGGGAACCAGCAAAGCAAAAGGCATCAACGAACAACTGTGTCTTGTGAACCAGGAGCACTATTGGATGTCACACAGGGGTCATTGCATGTCCCACTCACGCGGGTGCTTGGTGGAAAGCCAAAATAGGTGCACCTGCCGCGGACCCGCGTCTCGGTGGTTCGCCATCGGGGAGAAGGGGCTTTCACGCCCTTGCATCGGTTTCCCCGGAGTCGTTCGAGGAAAAGGCTTTGACATGCTCTGACTCCCAAAAAAATCACTGACATGCCTTGACTCCCCGCAAAAACCGCCGGAGTTTCTTTTCGGGGCTGCCCGTAAAACACTAAAACGCGGGCAATCCTAAGACACCCCCCGTCCTGCAAGCTGACCTTCTCCTTGCCCGGGATGCTCTTCTCCAGAGAGAAGTCCGTCCAGGCCTGCCGTGACTTCCTTTGGGGGGCATCCGCCTTGGGGAAGCGGGGCTTCAAAACCGACGTTCGACTTCCAAGGGCTCCCCTCCCCATCCCCGGCCATTGGGCGTTCAAGGTTCCTCAAGTTACATTTTTGGGGGGCCATCCGACTGAGCAGCCCGCATCTCACCAACCGGTAAGAAACAATCCAAAGAGAAACATCCCACTGTGTGGACTTCCAAGGGGTCCCTCCCCAATGTTACATTTCTTTGGGCCATCCGGCTGAACAGCCCCACATGTCACCAACCGGTAAGAAACCATCCGGTGGAAAACCATCGCGTGGTTGATAAGAGGCAAGTGACAGGCGCCAGCAAAATGAAGGCATTGGACTCCGGGCGCCGAAAGTCGAAAGCGCGGGACCCGCTTTCTCCGCCGAAACCACCCTGGTCGATTTCGATCCCTTCGATCCCGTCGATGCCTTCACCGTCTTTTCGCGGTAGTCTGGCGTAAAGGCGCCAAGGTACGCAATGAGCCCACTGCAGACGATGACGTCACCAGTCAGGTTCACCTCAAGTGTCGAATGGAGTGCCAAACAGGGAGCCCCCAAGCGCAAATCTTGGATGCCTCTTTGGATGCCTTTGGGATGCAGCATGCAGCATGCAGCTGTTCAAATTTCTGAGACTGCGTCACCACAGATCTCCAAAGCAGTTTGAACATTGGCCAATTCTTCTTGCACATTGTTTATGTCACTCCCTAACAGGGAGGCCGCCATTGTTAGGGGCAGGGATCCAGGAAAAATCAGATCTGCAGGGGGCTCAACATTGCGGCACACCCAAAGAACCAGAGGACACAAGCTCCATGAATCAGAACATGGCAGAAGGCGCATGTTGAGCTCAGCTACGCCCTCACTCAGCTTCCGCCCCTTTGGGTCCGAGCCTTTTCGTTCATTTGGCGCTTGCTGGGTGACTTTGGGGTGACTTCAACCCCTTCCAAAAGTCTCAGTCAACCAACTTCGGGGGCACCAGAACCCTCCCTCCATTTGCTTAAGTCCCCTGGAAAAAATAAAAATTATTTCCAGTCGTGCTAGATTCCCTTTAAAAGCCAACAGGGGAAAAACAACAACAACTGTTCTTACCCAAAATAAATGGATCGGCTCAAGGCGGTGAGGCCGAGCCGCGTAGTCCACCGCCAAGTCCTTGGCGTTCTGCGTCCAGCGCACCTTTTCGCCCCCAAGGGACTCGATCAGCGTCTCCGCGCGGTCCAGCTTCTTCTTGCAGAGGTCCACCTGAGTCAACTGATTTGCCCGAGCCGAGGCGCTTGGGGCCCAGATGGGCTCAGTCACTTGCGCGCAGAAAGAGAATTGTTTTTTGGGTGTTCACAAGTCTGAGTCGCATAGTTGTGGACTCTACCCGCCTTGAGCCCAAACCCCCAATCCATCCGACCCCTAAGCCTAAAGCCCCACCAGCCCCAACCTCCAAACCCATCACCCAACCCCCCCAACCCCCATCCAACCCCCAACATCCAACCCCCCCCCATCCTTCCCCCCCCCCCCAACCCCCCCCAACCCCTCCAACCCCCCCCAACCCCTCCAACCCCCCCTCCAGCCCAAACCCCAAACCGCCTGGTAGGCCAGGTCGTCCTTCTCCGCCTTCAAACCGTTCAGCTGGCCCTCCAGCTCCGCCAGCTGGTCCAGCACCTTCTGCAGCTCCGCGCGCTTCTGGTTCAGCTTCTCCATGACCTGAAGCGACTGACACAGACAGCGTTGGGGGAACACCCTCGTGGTTTGCCGTGGTTTGGGGGGGTTTGGGGTTGGGGGGGAGGAGAGGGTTGGATGGGTTGGATGGGTTGGATGGGTTGGATGGGTTTGGGGGGTTTGGGGGGTTTGGATTTTTGTGGGTGGTGTCGGGTGGTTTGGGTGGTTTCGGGTGGTTCGGATGGTTTGGGTGGTTTGGGTGGTTTTGGTGGTTTCGGGTGGTTTGGATGGTTTGGGTGGTTTGATTTGGATTGGTGGCTTTCATTTTTCGTTGGGTGGGGAACCCAACTTACCCGCAAGAATCAGGAATCAGAAGTTACAATTCGAGTCCAGAACCATGCGAGAATTATAAAAGAAAAGAAACATGGTCCTACACCATTCAATTCCCTGAATTGTTGACAATTGTCTGGGTAGCCGGAAAGAATGGGGGGAGTACAGCTCGAGCATCCCACAAACGTGGACATAAGGACTTGAGTCCATTTCAATTTTGACATTTGGGCATGGTACAAGAGTACCATAGAGTACCTTTAGAACACAACAATCACAACTTTAATCGGTTGCATGGTCCAATGCTTTGGCATACTTCCAACCCCTCAACCCCTACTCCCCCCTGCCGGCCGACACCCCCGCCGCCCAGTCGGCGCCCGGTGGGCGCCTGGGCGTACTCCGCCTCTGCCACTGCCAGCGCTTCCTTCTTGGGTCCCACCACCTTGGCCACGCGGTCGTAGGTCTCCATGGCCCTGACCCACCTCGGGCAAGCAGCACCCGCCACACCAAGGGGGAGGTTACCACGGCCTAAGGCCGTGGCACTTGATCATTGTGACCCCATATTCATCAACCCCAGCTTGCTAGGGGGATGGGGGGCCCTCCCAAAGTAATGATTCCCCAAACCCAACAACACCCAACTGGGGTTGATTCATATGGGGTCAACATTGTGTACATATGCAGCGCCTACATGTGCAGCATATTTGAATGTATTCATCTGCATGCTCAAACCGCCACATGGGTTGAGATCTGCGAAGCTTAGCTCCTCCCTCGAGGTTCAGACTTCCCACCATTTCGCCCACCGCTTTGTTCAGAAGTTTACTTAAAAAGGAGTTCTTCGCGTTGAGGGGATCATGGTGGTTTTTTTCCCTACAAAAGCTAACGGCTAAACCCAGGTCCTCCAACCATTCCTGCCGCGGCGCATGCAAATGCCCCAGGCTGCTGTACTGCATGTCCTTGGCTGCTCGCAGTGGTTGGGAGTTCAATGACCGACCTGGCCTTTGGCAATTTACTTCTTCTAAACACACTTGGCGCCCCATATGGCAATGGGTCAAAACCCCGTACCCCCAGTGAACATCCCAATCCCCACTACAATAGACTAAAATTGGGTGGTGCACCTATCCCAAAATGGTACATTGGTTTTGAACCATGGCCATATGACCACTTTGCCCAAAGACCATGCAGCTTTAACCAGCACATACCTTGTTGCTCTTCCTGCGCTGCTACCGCCTGGGTCTAAACATGCTGCAGGGGCTCTTCACCCGAGCCGGCTGGAAGTCATCCATCGGTATGAAGGTGGCAATCTTCTTGATGGTAGCTGGCGGGATGTTGTCTTTGTCCTCAGCCGGCAAGCTTTTTCATTTGGCAGCTCCAGCCAACAAAGGCAAATGACACTGGGGACTCACCTGCAGGGGGGTACTCCCTGAATTGGTGGTAGACTTGCACAAATCAGCTGTAGGCATGGACGCCAGCCCCTGACCTACCGAAAGACCTCATCTACTCCTACCATCTTCACCTACCATCTTCACCGAACTGCTTCAAGAAGCAACCGCAGTATTGTTCAGTCTGGTGACCTGGCTGCACGTCTGCGAACAGCAACGAACAGCTGCACCACACCATTTCACGCCCAAACATGGCGCTTCTGGCCAAAACAGGGCGCCATGTTTGAGGACTACTGAATCGTTGAATCTCATCTTGCTCTACCAGTCGAAAAAAATAATCGCTGGCACGCACGTCTGGCACGCACGTCCAGGGCGACTTCCCTACTGCAGCATCCTCCCTCTTGCTGCAAGGCTCAAAGCTCTGAAGAGACCTCAGGAAGTCCGATTCGCCCACCATCTTCACCTCGGACGGAAGCGCCCTCCGAATGCCACAGAAAAACGCGAGGACCACAGGCGGCACGCGGCCCTGAAGGGTATCCAAGGGTTCTGGGTTTAGGCTATGGGGCCGATGACGGGGCGCATGTTGCGGAAACCCCACGTTTCTGGACTCCCCTCCCTTTGAACACTCGATGAACCGCCCAAAGAGCTTGACCGGCTCGTGCCTTCAGCGCCTCGCTCCCTGCTACCTGTAATTCGGATGCCCCAACAAGAAAATCATCCTGCGGCACCTTGCCGTAACTTGCCCCAAGACCAGCCACCGACTCATACTGACCCCCGGCATCAAAAGCCCCAGCCCCTCCAGCTGGGACTTTGCAGCCCAAGGCTCGGAAGGGCCCCAGTAGTCCTCCACCATCTTCCCGGACTCGTCCTTGACGCGGTTGGGCTTCAGGCTCTTCATGATGCACACCGCCTGCAAGACCAGCTTCACCTCGGAGCAAGGCTGCTATGCGCCAAGCTCCCACCTGGCCCATCTGGCTTGTAAGGAAACAAAAGCTCTGCAGAAACAACAGAACAAACTGTAAATAACTAATAAACACATAAAGACATAAATAAATAGACATACATATCTCTATACATATATGTATAATGTGAATCTATATGGCTATGCACATGCAGTTTGTTACATTGCCCTTTGGGGCATATCACTGTACGTTCGTTGGCTCCCCAGCTTGGGCCCCCCCGCATCATGCATTCCGGCAAACCCTTTAAAAACGATTGATCCCCGATGAACTGGCCATTTACCGAGCCTCCGAAACACCAAAAGAAAAAACAACAAACAAACAATATTTCTGGAATAAATATAAATAAATAAATTTAACAAATAACAATAATAGCGAAAAACAAAAAAACCAAGGGAAGGAACAAAAAAAGAAGACACCAAAAAAAACAAATCAAAGAAAACCACGAAAACAACGTAAACAACGTGGAGACCGGACCGCGTCTTGCGCCGAAGCGTCGGGGCCCGGGGGGTTCTTCATGGCCTTGATCTCCCCGATGTCCTTGGCCGAGAGCGTGTCCAGCGCTCCCAAGGCCTCCATCAGCGCCGGCATGGCCTGAGGGTGGCTGTGCAGCGAGGAGAAAGCAGATTGGATGTTACCTCCATTTGCTTCTTCGCCCCCTGGAAAAAATATGTCCAGTAGTCATAGGTGTCCTTGATTTCTAAAAACACATGAAGGATATTGAATTTGCAAATGACAAAATAACTAAGCGAACGTTCAGTATATTGAGTTTATGATATTTATGTATGAGACACATTTTTTTTAAAGGAAAGATCATAATATTGGACTTAGGGAATTATTGTTGCGGCTGGTTTCTAGGTTCCCGGAGTTAAAATGGTCGGTTTCCTTACATGTTGGTGTCCTTGCGCCCCCCCGCAAATCCACAAACTCAAGCACGACCCTGACAAAAATGCGATCGGTACGAGAGATGTAGGGAATGGGAGTTATGGGTCTGACCCCGAGAAGTGTCTATTCCCAACTAGTAAGTTGTTTTTCCTGTCCAGAAAGGGAATCCCAGAACAAGGTCCATTCCAACTCGCAAGAAAACAGAAATCAACAGGAATACGATCCCTAACAGAAGGCAGCTCGGGGAGGGCGGGAGGGCACCCAGAAGATAATCTTCCTTTTGGGAAATGTCTGTGTGCCACGGTGCCACGTTAGTGGGAGTGGGGGTAAGTACCAGAGGGAAGGAGACTTCAGGAAACCACAAACAACAAAATAATTCCAAACCGGATTTTACATGAATGAGGACAGATCGTGGGATGATGAGAGCCCGGCAACTGCAACTCTCTAGCCCTCTGCAGCAACACAGAAGCTTTGTCGAAATCCTTCTCCACCCGCCCTTCTCAGGATGTGTCTTCATACAGGTTTCAACAATGGCTTTCCGCAACAGCTACACATCTCTCAAGTTGGCGCCAACCCCCGATTTTCACCGTCACATTTCTTAACTAGTGGCACCTTGCCACCGTTGGAAGGTTCCGAAAAAGGGGAAATGGAGCAACCCTCATCTCACCCCCACCCCCACCCCCACCACCGCCCCTGCCCCTCCACCCCCACCCACCCCCTTCCCCCCCCCTACCACCCCCCCTTCCCCCCTACCCACCCCCCCTACCCACCCCCCCTACCCCCCCTACCCACCCCCCCTACCCCCCCCCACCCACCCCCCTTCCCCCCAGCCTCCTCCAGGTCAGCCTCCACCTCCGCCTTCTGCGCCTCCGACTTGGCCGCCGCCTCGGAGGCCACCGCCTCGTCCGCCGCCACCGACTCCTTCACCTGGAAGGCACGGGACCGGGACCCGACGAGGCGACCCCAGGGCGACCTTCCAATTCGGGGGAGGCGATGGGGTAGCTCAAGCGCTTGGAGGATGCATCTCTTGTTTCGTGCTTGACTCTTGGTACAATTCAAAGGCTAGCTTCCAATTCCATTCTTTCCAGGGATCCGGATCTTTCTAGAAAACCTCCGGAAACCCAGGGCAAACGGCTGGTTTTTGAAAAGAACCAGGGTTGAAAAAAATAAAAATGGAATCAACCCTAGAAAGTTGCCGTCCAGCGGTCCACTTGGAGCCGTTTGGCCGTGGCTAAAAGCGCGGTTTGGCCTGTCTCAACATCCAGCCGATGTCCAGGAAAAAACGAAAGCTAGGGTGAACACGCAAACAAATGAAAAAACATCGCGGCCTGAGAATCAGTCATCGCTGTATAACATATGTACAGCTAGACTCACATAGACTCACCTAGACTCAGGTATCACAAGCTCTTGAGTGTCCAATCGTCCATTTGCGCACTCCTCCATCCAATGACAACACAATATGTCCATCCATGTATAAAATTATGCATGTGTGTCTGTCAATACGTCGATTGTTACCCAGTCATTGTTGGCAAGGAATCTCGTCCTTGCAAGCTTCCGCACACCCTGCAGGTTTATAGGTTCACGCAGCGTGTCTGCGCTAGTCGCACTGGCATCTGGGTGTCCCATATTTCCCTACAATGCCGAGACTCTGGTGCGAAGCATCCCTCAAGTCAAGCCGCCATAGCGCATAGTGAGACCAAAAAAAAACACAGGAACAAACACACGAACACACGAACCCGCGCCCGCCCGCGCCAGCCATCGCCCTCGCCCGCACAAAGGCCCGGTGGCCAAAAGGTCGCCCGGCGGCGCGATGCGGCGCGGATCCGGCCTTGGCGGTCTTCTCGGACTCCTCGCCGACCACCACCATCATCTTCTCCACCTCCTCGTTCCTCGGGGGCTCGGGACTCGCCAAGTGGTTGGAAGAGTTGCAGTTTCATCCCAGAAATCCCAGAAGGGCTCCCATGTTTTTTTCAAATGGGAGCTTCATCCAGATTTTTCCCAGGTGTTGGAGACTAAACTGTTTCCCAAATCCCCAAGTGGTAGCAAGGGCAACACCTCCGCGAAGCAAAACAAATTCTCAGCTGCCCCGTGTCTTGGCTAGAGGGAAGCTGGCTGCGGGCATTTTGATTTGAAGACTGCCCCTCATCCTGCTTGAACCCCTTCCCTGCCGCGCCCTCGGGTGTCGTGGAAGAACACATTTCGACCGTTTGTTGTTGTTTTTTTTGTGGTTTTTTGTCCCGTGCGGTCTGGAAAAATCATCTCGAAAGGATTCATCTCTTTTGCGGGCTCGATGAAAACCATGAGCACGCCTTGCGAGAGGCTCCGGGAGCCCCTTGCTTTGGATTTGCGACCAAGCTAGGCAACACCACCAAGGATCGCCAAATGCAGTCAATTCATTCTGGGAACCCAATGTCGGTGTGCAATCATTGGGGCGATGCTTGCCAATTTCCGCTATCTACCGGCCGCAAACCGGCGGCGGAGAGGAATAGCTTCTGGGCTTCTTGGCTTCGCAAGATATTAGCATCCCAGAGAGAATCAATGAACATAGGTGACCTTTTGAAAAAAGAAGATGGCCCTGGCAGAGTTTACCCAATCCCATCTAAACCAGTGGAACCCGTCTATTTCTAAACTACCCTAAAAAACACACGCCTATGACAACGAAAGGCTTCTCCGTGCACTTCCCGGGTTTTCCATGCGCAGGGGCTTAGCAATCAGCTTGGGCTGGAGGTTGATCAGCTCCACCTTCATGCCCTCCACCGACTGCTCGGTGGTGAGGATCTTGTCCAGGCCTTTCTCATACTTGTCCTGCGGACCGCGGACCGCACGTGCTTTTTCGGTGCGTGCGGTCGAAGAAATCGCTGGCCCAAATTTGAGTTGCCCCGGCAAGTGGAAACATGGAGCTAAACACAAACAAGTTGTTCTTGAATCGGTGCGGGTCAAAAAAAAGCCTACAAATGGATTGCCCGAAGTGGAAACATGAGCTCAAAACGTCCAATTCCTGGCTTCCAGTTTTTCACCCCATGTGGGACTTCAGACCGCCAGCACCTTCCGATTTTTCCGGCCGGATCCCGGTCCTTAAGGTCGGTGACCTGCTTCCGTCTGGCCGCCAGCAAGGTCTTGAAGGTATTGATCAGCTCCAGGAAGGAGGTGGGCGTGGCGTAGTAGATGCGCTTCAGGCTGTTCCTGGAGCTCAGCGATTTTTTCCCGGGGAGCCATTAATTCGGCTAGCGCGGCTGGCCCGATAAAAAAAAAAAGAGCCCACGCCCGTGGTTTGCAAACCCGTGCTCCCGAAGGAGAATGAGTCATGAACAAGGAACAGCACCCCCTGAAGTGGAGCTCTTGGAATTCTGTTGCAAGCTACTTTGCGGAAGGCCAGCGGGTATGTGAGGCCAGGGGGTGTGATATGCGAGGTGGACATGGATCCCAACGCTTGACTTTAGAAACGAGTCATGACAAGTTGAGAGCTGAAGCCCACGTCGCAGGGCACGCGCTGAGAGGCGGAGACGTCTTATGACTTTGGGGTGTTGTGTTGGGTCGGCTGGCTCAAGTCGGATATGCGAAAGGCGTCAAAGGTGCCCTGAAAAGGGTGAGCGCTTTCCAAATGCCACCTTTGCAGGAAAGCGACCCCTTCCGCCCGTCCGCCCTTCCATCCACTGCTTGCCCTGCCATGGAAAAACTGGTCGACCCTGAAGAGAATCTCAGAATTCAAACGGAAACAAACACATACTGAGCAACCACCATTCGCCCTCTGGACACAGACTTGCAGAAATTGGCCCCTTGGCTCTCTGGAACTGGTTCTGCTGAGAGTCTTGAACTCCACCGCGAGCTCCGTGGTCTGAGAGTGGAAAATGGAGCACATCTCCACACAACTCCTCAGCTTCGGCTCGAAACCGATCGCGCTTGGCTTTGGGGCCCACTCGATTGGAGACATGACACGTCGTCCTTCAATTGCTGTCCTTTGGGCGTCCCACCGTGAGGCTTTCCCAGAATGAGAATCACAGTTGAACACCAACCAAATTCCCCCCCTCCCACGGCACACACATTGAAAACCACGTACGCCCAAACATTGGAACAACCTTGACCCCGTCCCTTGATTGGGACTCCCTCCTCAATTCACTTCACGAGCGGATTGCCCAAACAAAGTCAGAACTTTCTATTTACCCTTAGAATGGTCCAACCCCCGAAAAAAGTTTGAAGTCCACTTCTCCCAGCAAGTGAGTCAATAAAAATCCTCCCCCGGCCAAAAGGCGAAGGACCGACTCCCAAAAGCGCCGCCGGGCGGCTTGCGGACCTGCTCCTCCATCTCCACCTGGCCCAAAAAGCGCTCCGCCACCGCTACCAGCGCGTCCGAGGGCCACTCCTGATGAGTGACTCCGACTGGAAGCCATGGCCCCCGTCCACCCCCCTTCCCCAAAGCAAAAGAAACAATAGGAAAGCAACGCACAGCACCCTTTTTTGGTTTTTGTAGGGGTAGGAAAACAACATCCCCTCTTGGCTTCCACTTTCTGGGGGAATTACGTTTGACTACCCACCCTCTAGCGACGGTCTTTGGGGGACCTTGCCAAAAAAGAAAACCACACCCAAAGAAAGCAAATCTTGAGATTCTTCCTGTGGCTGCTTCTTTCCAAATCGCTGCACACAGGGAAAACAATTGGCCGCTCCCTAGAACATCCACTGTTGGCCTCCTCTTCGTGGGGGAACTTGCAAGCGAACGGAAGGTTTCCCTTTTCCGTTCTCAAATAATATACACAATCCCAAGTGGATTCCTCTCGCAACTTGCAAACACACAAATAATATCCCCTTGATGCGTCCTTTGGAGGACTTTACCCACAAAGCATCAAAGACGGCGAACTTGCCAAGTCGCTTTCTGCAAGAAATTTACAATGGCATCAACCGCGTGTCGAATACTGATCAGTGAAGGGTAGGGGACAATGAACAATGCATCTCGTGGGTTACTTCAGGGCAAGTGTTTAGACCTGAAAGACTTCGAAATCATAAACGTGTGCAAATGATCAATTTCCTGTTGATTTCCTCGTGGTTCCCTTGGAGTGAGGTTAAATGTCATGACCCAGTGACGCGTGGCGCACGCAGATGCAGCTTTGAAGAAGTATGGCAGGGAAATTGTTGGCATGTAAAGGGAGCACATTAAGGCACCTTATTTGACATGTAGTTCCTTACATCCGACATCCCTCTTGTTAAACCCCGAAGTAGCATCCAAGCAGACGTCTGTATGCGGGAGAAAGATGAGTCGGGCGCACGGGGCAAAAACTGGGAGCGACAACTGCAATGCTCCCTATTGATGGCTGGTGTTTCTTGAGACCTTCATGACTGGCACAGGTTCAGCAAAGAATGCGCACAAACGTTGGCCCAAGTTTATCCCCAGCAGGAAAAAGAAGAAAGGCCAGGCATGCAAATATGTGTCACGGGAAAAAATAGGCAACAGCTACACCCCTTTCTGAACAGTCCAGGGCCAGTATAAACCCCTTGCGAGACGAGTAGAAACTAAGAAAACATCGGATTGAACTCTGTAGTTGAAAAGCCTGTTATACTTGGGAATGGCTGTGAGAAACCATGTCCGGGCGCATAAAGGGGTGAGCCCACTCAAACAAATACCGGAAAGGACCGAAACGTGCTTGCCCATCTCCCCCTCTCTTCCATGGCCAGGCCAGCAATTTTGGGGTGCTTCACTGGCACCTGACAAAATTGTGTGGGCGTGGCCCGTGCATGCCTTTAATCACTACCGTGCCTCAAGTCATCCCCCCCAACAACCCAAGTAACATCCATCGAAGAGGCTAATGCCCACACACCCGACCAGTGCTCCGTGTCCAAGCAAACTGGAACGCCCCGGTCGCATTGAGGGAGGGGGAGGAGAACAAAAAGAAGAAAAACACATAAGCTTGGGCAATATCCCCAACAGCACCACACCCTCCCAGAATCCTCGCGGAATGCCCCGGGACCATCCTCCCTGATCGGGGCCCGACGGCGCGATCGGGGCCCGATCGGGGCCCGACGGCGCAATCGAGTGGTGCAATCGGGGCCCGATCGGGCAATCAGGGCCCGATCGGGGCCCGACGGTGCAATCGGGGCCCGATCGGGGCCCGACGGTGCAATCGGGCCCCCGATCGTCCCGTGGTGCAACCCCAGCCACCCATATTATAGCTCAACGCCGGTTTTCCTTAGCATGCGGATTGCAACTGTATTTATAGCAAAACTAGGCGATGCCAGCTTGGTACAATTGACGGGGCCCGACTGAGTCGGGCCCCGATCGGGGCGCGATGGCGCAATCGGGGCCGATCGGGCCCAAACGGTGCGCCCCGACAGTGCAATCGGGTAGGCCGGTGAATTTCGCAAACCGTTCTGACGCAACTTTCGTGAAGCTCAGCGTGAAACTTTGCTGGAACCTTTCCTCAGGGCTGCCAATTTGGTGGAAACCTTCTGACCTCATAGCCCTCGCAGCCTCGTGGAATTCTTGGAACCAAGCAGCAATGCCAAGCATTTACTCTGCTGCACCGTGAGTTCCGCAGCGACACAAAACAGTGAAAGTGTGCTAAAAAACATTGATTTCGGTTTTGCTTAGTGTTCCGCCCATGAGCAAAGCGATCTGGCTTTTCAAGCGACGGGCGCACGACACACCCTTGGTGGAGCATTGTGGGGCCTTGTGGAACCCGTGTGGAATCCTTGCAGAGCTTTGTGGAAAGGGCCCACAGCCCTCGCAGAATCTTGTGGAACCCTGAAACCCTCATACAACCTTACCTCAAACCACCCCGGACCACCCCGCAGCCCTCGCAGAACCTCGTGGGACCCTGCTAGTTACCTTGCAAAACCTGGTGGAATTCTGGTGGAATTCTCATGGAACATTACCTCAAACCAGCCCGGACCGCTGGTGGAACCCTGGTGAAACCCTGGTGGAACCCTCGTGGAACCTTCCCCGGACCACGCCGCACCCTCGAAGGAATTGGTGGAATGGAACCCTTGTCCGGAGCACGACGGCTGGTGGAACCCTGGTGGAAACCTGGTGGAACCCTCGTGGAACCTTACCTCAAACCACCTCGGACCACCCTGCAGCCCTCGCAGAACCTGGTGAAACCCTGGCGAAATCTGGTGGAACCCTCATGGAACCTTACCTCAAACCACCCCGGACCACCCTGCAGCCCTGGTGGAACCCTCGTGAAACCTTACCTCAAACCACCCAGACCACCCCAGCCTGGTGGAACCCTAGCAGAACCCTCGTGAACCTTCCTCAAAGAAATTGGTGGAACCCTGGTGGAACCCTCATGGAACCTTACCTCAAACCACCCCAGACCACCCCGCCCTTGCAGAACCTGGTGGAATGGTGGAACCCTGGTGGAACCCTGGTGGAACCCCTGGTGGAACCCTGGTGGAACCCCTGGTGGAACCCTGGTGGAACCCTGGTGGAACCCTGGTGGAACCCCTGGTGGAACCCTGGTGGAACCCCCTGGTGGAACCCTGGTGGAACCTTAGCTCAGGGTCGCCCCGAACTTTTTGGAGCCTATCTGGGCTGAGACCCCCAAAGCTTTCAGCTGTTGGGGAAAAAAAGCAGAATAAAAAAACAGCCCCCACGCCCCAAGGGAAGAACGGGGAACTGGCGGCAAGGGGTCAAACCAAATCGAGGCGCGGTGTACCAGTCGATGGTGCAGCAGTTCACCAGGGAGGGGAACTGCCGGATCCGGGCACGCCAGGCATCGCCGATGGGGGAGAAGCAGAGCACAATGGCCAGCATCTTGCTGCACCTCTCCACCTGAGTGGCAAAGGACATGGCTGAGTTGAATAAGGCGGGGTGTGCAAACTGTAGAAACATGTCAATGCCTCTGGAATACTCGCATTCAACAAATAGGCGGGGCTTGCAAACTGTAGAAAAATGGCAATGCCTGGGAGAGTTAAACTTCGGAATTTTCGGCCCGTCAAATAGTGCAAATATCCTCCTCTTCATGACTGGTGGGTTTCCCTTTCAAATCATACTTAGCAAGAGGGGCCGATTTTAGATATCAATCCTGCGGCCTTTTTCCACTCTGGTTTGATTGCTGCAGACCCTTGGGAGAGGGCTAGAGGCTGGCTTTAACTGAGGTACACAAAACATCAACATGTGAGTCATACTCAAAACCTGGTACAAACATGGTCGACCCAGAACCATGTAAAGAATTTAGAAGGCGGCTGCAACTATTTCTGGCTGGGATCGTCCCTTACTAACCTTCATCTACCCGGGTTTTGATTGTGGCTCATGTCTTGTTTGACGGTGGCAAGAGAAGGTTGCATCAACCTCATGTCCTTATCCGGTGCAACATGGATGGCCCTGCGGGAATGCATGTATAACTCCTGGCGGTGTGTCATTGCATAAATGAGTGCCGATGCCACCGTTGATTCGATGCCCCCCATGTGATTTCCATGCTGTTTGGACAAAGAAATGAACTTGGCTCAAATAATGGTGGCATGACTTCCTCGCATCTTCAGAGATTCCCAAGCAAACATTCTCATGTAAGAGTTCTGAAGGTATCAAGAATGTCTGTTATTGTAAGGGGCAGGTGCCTGAATAAGACGATGCCTGAACCTTGTGGCGAATTGAAAAAAACGGCTGCAGGTGGAACAATATCATACGCAGCCTTGAAAAAGCCTCCAAAGAACCATCATATGGCACTTTCACAAAACCACCCAGCGCGAAAGTGAGGTTGAGAAGCCCAAGCGGCTCATTTTCACTAACTTCCTGAACTTCTGAGTGGATTGCCACAAGAAAGCCCAAACTTGTGTGATTGAGTCCCCCTCACATCCTGAGTGGGTTGGCCAGAAAAAGTCTCAACATTCTCAACTTCGCTTTCACCACGCCACTCAAATTGTCTTCCAAACAAATGTAAAGTCCAGGTGATCCCTCCAAAGCTAAAAGGAGAAGCCCTCCCACCGTTCATACCCTGAGTTCACTTTTAACCTGCTCCCCGCCCCCAAAAGAACAAACAACAAGAAGAAGCTGCCTCCCCCTCCCTCCCACCGACCCTGGGTGCCCTTTTAAGGGGCTTCTGGCTGAGGCGCGAAGTAGCCGTAGAGCTGGTTGGGCGTGCCCTCCGGGGCCTTGCCCTCCTGGCGCGCGGCCGCGCGCACCATCTCGCAGACCTGGACCCGCTCGTCCGGGGCGAAGAGGTTAGGCACCTCCCCGGTGTTCAGCAGATTGTTCAGGTCCTGCACTCAGTGGCCCCATGGGCCCCAAACGGGCCCGAAAAAGACCAAAAGAAAAGAAGAAGATGGAACGGGTTCTGTTTCAGCAGCAGATTGTTCAGGTCCTCTCACACAGCCGGTGGCCCCATGCGCCCCAAACGGGCCCCGAAAACCCGCACGGGCCTCAACTCAGTTGCCCCCCAAAAACAACCAGGCATGGGTCCTCTGGCACACTCAGCCGTTCCGTTGCCCCAAACGGGGCCCCCCCCCCAAAAAAAAAGATGGAACGGGCCTGTTTCAGCAGCTGTTGCCCCAAATGAGCCAACGAAACAAGACAAAAAAGGGCACAGCTTTGGGGGGCCCAGACATGAAAGGTGATCACCTGTTGGAGTGACTAACAATGGGAACCCAACAGAGGGAACAAATCAAGTCGGGACCCAGCCCGACCCAAAACCACAACATATACACCGCGCAGGGGAAGGCGGAAAACCTACGGGCCCACCTGACGCCCAAGAGTTGGTTTCTCCATGGGCACTGGAACCTGCCATAACCTCCCCCCCCTTTTCACCACTCCCAGAAACGGGGGTTCTGCAACAATGAGGTGCCCCTTTTGCCCTTTTGCCAGGGGGTCAGGGGGTCTGCCAGGGGGTCTGCCAGATCCGAATCGGTGAGGACCACCGGGCTGTGGCGCCTGATGTTTTCGAATCGGCCGGCAAAGCTGAGGCCATGGGCTGGACCAACCCGCCTCAGCCTGTCAACTAGGGGGTCTGGGAACAATCCTATTTTTTTGTACTTCTTACTACTTTCACAACTTCCATCTTCTTTCACTGTTTCAGATTTGAATGGTTCCATCAGCAAGAACAAGACAAACCCCATTCAACTATCCATCTTGTGACCCATTTGCATTGTTGCCATAGGTGCCCTTTTATGGGAAATAGATGGGCTTCCCTGGTAGATGAAATTAAACCACCAGGTCAACCAGGAAGCGCATGACAAACCTCTGGCCCGACGTCCTCCACAAAGCCCTCGCTCTTGATCCTGAGCCAAGAGAAGGCTCGGTGCGGTCATTGCGAACCGGGTGGCTCAGGGGTTTCATCGGAACCAATCGACAGGGGGCCTAGGGCATATTGAAACAAGCTCTTGGAGGGTGGGTGGGGTGTGGTCCCCTTCTCAGGATCCATGTTTGGAGAATTGCTCTAGAAGCGGTGCTGAGCAGCCAAATTTATAGGAGCCACCCAAGCTTTTCGACGAAATTTGCCCCCCTTGATGTGAAACCCTGAACCATGGCTCAACATGCTGCAGGGGCGGAAGCGAACCTCACCTGCGCAACTCTGCTGTCAGACTCCGGGCCCCTCCCAGCCGGCGGATGTTTGGGCAGCGAAGCTCTGCCAAGTGGCTGTGGTTGTCAAACCTATCCCGTTTTGGGGTATGTGAATTCACCACCCATTTTAGAGCCTATTGTAGAGCCTATTTTAGTAACTGGGGGCTGTCAGACACAGGGCTCCGGGCTCCTGCATCAGCCAGCTGCCTTTATTTATCTCTGCCATGTGGCTTTTGGGGTATGTGAATTCACCACCCATTTTAGAGCCTATTGTAGAGCCTATTTTAGTAACTGGGGGCTGTCAGACACAGGGCTCCGGGCTCCTGCATCAGCCAGCTGCCTTTATTTATCTCTGCCATGTGGCTGAAAAGCCCATGGCCAAGTTGTTCTTTCTGGGGATAACCGGGCTTTGGATTTTGAAAAGCCTCGAGGCGCCAACAGGGCTCCCTATATTTCCCCTTAAAACACCACCCCCACCAAGGGACACTGACCTTGGGCCCAAAAGGTGATGTTTAAATCTCGCCCAAAGGGAAATTTTTGGGGGACCCTGGCCAAGTGGCTGGGAGTCAGAGAAGAGGAAGACCGTCTTCTCCCCTTTGCCCCCCGCCGCCGTCAGCAGCTTCTTCAAATCCTCACGGAAGGCCAGCTGGTCGTAGCCCCGCGCGATCTCGATCCTCAGCTCCCAACGGGGAATTGCTGTGTAAGGAGCCCTCTGCCAAAGGTTTAGTAACGGCCCCTCTGCAAAAAGTGTTTTCTCGTTTTCTTTTCTTTTTTTCTAAAAAAAAACTGTTTCGTAGGTTCTTCTTGAAACCCAATTTGATTTCCCAAAAAGTGAAAGTCTAAAAATCCAACCCAACAGCAGTCCAGCGAAGCTCCGCTCGCTTCCGATCCCGAAGAAATCGGGGAACGGGGAACGGGTGGGCGGGTGGGCGGGGCGGGGCTCCACAAAATTGCCCACTTGACTACCCCGAGATAGAGTGAAACCCAGAAGTTTTCCCTTTGAAGGACGTCAACCACCCCTGGGCTAAGTCTATTGTGGGGTCAAAAAGTGGAGCCCTGGGGCTCAAACATCGGAATCGGTGCCCACAATGGAACCCTATGGACAAGCGGAAAAAGCAAAGCCCGTGCCAGGGCCGGCCGCACCAAAAGCCTGCAACTTGAAGGCGCGTTGCGCTGTCAGGTGTTTTCAGGGCTGTGGAAAATGACCACTTCTGTGATACAACAGAAATGGCTTCCCAAAGACTAACCCCCCATATAAAGGGGAAGGTTCCCTTGTATCACAGAAGACCCTGGGTGTTTTGATGTCACATCTTTTGCAGCTTTGTGGTATCCAAATGCGGAGGAAAACTCAGCATGTGCAAACGTGTGC